TTGTGTGTTGCGAAAAAGGACGAGAGGATATTAATCTCAAAGTTTTTTTTAATTAAAGGCAAAGTTTATCTTTTCAGATTAACATTTTCTTTTCTACCCCATTGACAAAAACAAAATATAAATAATGGAATACATATTCAAGGCTTATATGTTCAAGTAATCAGCTGTTTTATGAAGGGAAATGTCTAAACTATTTAAGAAAATACTAAAGGGGTCTTTGTCTCGATCATAAACAGTGTAGAGTATTTAAGTGTTTTTAGTCTCTAAACCTAACTAAACTAAACCTAACCTCAACTAAACCTGAGATGAAAGATAATCCATTTATTGTTTTAAAATGAGCCTTTATGAGTTTAAATATTAGATGTTTTAGTCTCTGTTTGTTTACCTCTTAGCTACTGAAGCTTCTAACTGAGTCTGTTTGGTTTGAGGTATTTATTTTCACACATCTGAGATGTGTTAAATATCAGCAGCTTACAACACGCGACTTCCTCATACGTCTGCTTCAAAATAAAAGCACATCACAGAGATGGTAATACGGGACTTTTATTGTGAAAATCTTTCCGGAATTAAATGTGTTTATCACTTGGAGCTGCAGCGGTGATTGTAGTCGCGAACACTGCAGTGAGAAAAAGCATCCTCAACCACTTTGCCCAAGAGTAAGAGCCACAGCCAACTTATTTAAATCATCTTGGACTTAAAACAATGACACTTCAGTTATTATTTTCACAGTCCAATCCAAGAAACCTGTAAAAGACCTGTTAGCATCCCTGAATAAAGTGAAGATGTATAGAAAACATAGTCATATATCATATACATATAAATAAAATCATTCTAAAAGTAAATTACATCAGGTTACAGAAGATATTTCTTCCAGTGCAATGTCCCTTTCTGTTCCCTCTTCCTGTCCTCTACTTTCTGTCTCTCTTTCTCTGCACTCAGTTGTTTATGTTCCTGAAAGTACATTAAGTATCCAGGTATGTCAAACAGCCTGTTAAGACTGATTTATCTGTTTATTTCATTGACATGTAAGTTGTGTACACGCCTCTTAACCTTTCTTTTCCTGTATAGAATCGACAAGCAGTCAACAGAGACAGGTGACACATTTGAGCAAGAATTTTCAGCCATGTTTAATGTGGCTCTTCTAACTAGAATGGCACTTTTAATTTAGTCAGCAAAACGTCTACATTAAACAGTTTGAAGTCAGAGAAAAATGTTCAGTATTCACAGTATTCAAGTATAACAAGTCTATTTTTCACCACTCACCTCCTCATGAGTCCATTTCACGTTACACTTACTGTCTTCTTTCTTATCTCCGGAGTCAGAGTCAGTATCAATGCACAAACTGCTGCTGTCTCCTTCTGCTTCTGTGCTGCAACCACACACAAAACTATTTAAGGCATTTAAACCTGTGATTCAAACTTTACTGGCACTATCAAACTCAGACATACACTTCACTCTGTCAAACGGTGTGCTTTGGGATCAGGTTTGGGATTGTTTAGAGCAGCAATTAGGCAGTTACACAGAGAATTTGAAAGAAATACTGAAGTTAAAGAAAGACAATAAAAACAACAAACATCACGTCCCCGAGGGGAAACGCTTTCCACACTTACCCACGTGACATCACTCTTCTCTCGTGTGGAGATGCAGATGTGTTATCTGGCTCCCAGCGCCTTCCGTTAACTCAAACAGTTTAACAACTGCTAAAACAACGAGTATTTATACTCATACATGTACGCTCGAATAACATGAACTGAATAAAACACTAGAAATACAACAACCGATTTGAAACTTGTGGTGTTGTTCCAGGAGAAATTTACCCGGGGTTGGAAGACTTCTTCTTCTTGAGTTTTAGTGGCAGGCAGCAGGCATCCAAAAAGTAGCATTACTGCCATCTGGTGGATTTAACTACTTTTAGATTTTCCTCAACAGACCACTTCTCAATAAATAGTCAATAAGGTATCTTCTGCCTCTCCCTCTCTCATCACAGTCCAGAACACTTTTCAGGTTACTCTGTCTTTGAGTTAGAGACCAGATGGATGTTTCCCTTGAGTTGGCTGCTGTATGTGACCTGTGACCTATTAACCTTGCCATTACGACCTCTGTTGCTCCCCCTGTATCTCACTGCATCTTTTTTTGCTCTAAATTGAATATGAATATCTTGCCTTTGTCCGATGCTATTCCTGTTTAAATTTTGACCAATGTGATTTTTGCGTTCTCTCTTTTTTCCCAGCATGCCTCTAACACTGTTTTCGCCACCAGGTATCTGTCTTTGCTTTGTATGTGTTTAATATCCAAGATAAAGCACCTCACAAAGAAGTTCATAACCTATAAACAGTTTTCATTCCTTTCCATACTTCATCCGGTACTCAAGTTATCTTCACGTGCCAGAAAACATGACGGGGATCAACATCTTGTTCCCCATGCATTAAGGACCCCCCTCAACTTGGGAAACAGTGCTGCCTCCCACTCTAATATTTACAATCTATGCTCCCACTGGGTGTAAAGTATGATGCATTCAGTCCTCTCAAAATGGAGAATGTTATTTACATGAGAGGCAGTGAATTCTGATCTCAATCACATAGTGGAAATTCATTATGCAAGGTGTAAGAAACGCCCATACTGAATCCCTGTCTACTTGTCATCAGGCCTCCTAGGTCAGCGTTCCCAAACTTTGCCTTGGCCTGTGACAAGGACCCCCATATACCATTTACCTCCAGTGGGGACCCTCTCCTGTACGTTTTTGTGAATTCCCTTAGTCATTTATTACATTCAATAGTTTTGTTGTGTTATTTTACAATACTTAAAGATTTTGATACACAAAGAACACAAACTTGTATATGCAGTGATCAATAACATCTAAAAAGACACATCAGAATGTTAGGTATAATAATATACGAGTAAGTTGATTTTTAGTCTTGTTCCATTTTCTCCCCCCTAGTGGTCGGGACCCCCACTTTGAAAACACTGTCCTAGATAACAACAGGAAAATACATTGTGCATCATATGTTCCAGCATACAGGATTATTATCTCAGAAATTGAGGCCTAGTTGTTCTTTTGGCATTTTAGTACAACTTTCTAACTGACATTCTCACCTTTGTGGTGTCATTTGTGTGGCAGGAATGTCCATCTTTTTACGAATCTGGCACAAACATCAATTTAGCCCCTAAGGAGGCATGGGCAGGAGGGAAAAATAGTTTATTTTACCCTCCAGAAACTATATTGTGTATACCAAAAACTATCCTGAGAGGAGATCACATGAATGTTTTTGGTGCTTGAAAAAATGTTGGTGCCCACCAAAATGTGCACAGTGAGCAGCAGAAACTATCTCATGCACACACAATAACCCTCCTGTGAGCACGGGAAACTTTCTTCTTTTCCGTACATTTTTGGGAGGATGAAATTATGTTATAGGAAGTTGTTCCACTATAACAACCTGCAACCAGCTCACTTAACATTTTCCCCTACATGATGTCTGCCTTAATATTTGCAGGGATGTCTGAAAAGTGGACATGTGTGATGACATAACGTTGACATTGGTATGGTGCCAAACGGACTTTGAGCGACTGCATTCTCAGCCTCTTGCTTGCATTTTGTCTCCTTCAAGTTGCACCATATTTTCCATCAGATTTGACCTGAGCGTCTGTTCCTTTTAGTCTCTTAAAAAAATAGTAAAAATATTGTATTTTATATGTATCGGTATCACAGTTTAACAACCAAAGAGATGTGCTTTATGATAAAAAAGAGAACAATCAAAATTAAAACCAAGACACAAACGCATTCACTGATTCATAGTTTGTGTAATACATGATTTAACCAATAATATCCCTCATGCCAACATACATTGCAATTTGCATCTGTTAAGTTTTCTGTAGACAGCATGTAAATGTGTAAATATCGATTTGTCACACCCCAGGTAACACACAAACACAGTGTCTACCAGTCTATAGGGACATCATGATTAGGGTACTTTAATGGTGACAAGAGAAGACAATATTATATGCCCTATTCAACAAAGTTGGAAAAAAACATCCACATTGTTATAAACTAATGACTTCATGCTAATCTTTGTCTAATATCTGAACATTGTCAGACTTTGAAGTTTTCAATAAGGGGTGGAAGAAGTATTCAGATCAAAAATAAAGAATACTCTATTATCAGTGGTGTAGTGATGCCTGAATAAGTGTGTATACTCTTTGTCATCTATTTATTTTTGGGCTTTTTATGCCTTTATTGAAGAGACAGGACAGTGGATAGAGTCCAAGTGGGAAATTAAATGGGATTCAAACCCGGGCTGTCCGCTTGGAGGATTATGACCTCAGTACATGGGGTGTGTACACTAATCACTCTGCTCCCAGCGCCCCCTGAAGTGGGTATACTCTTGATTTGTATCCCAAATGTTATTTTTAATGGCCCATCCAGCAAATGATAAAAGGCCTCTATTATAAACAGTGACATGTTAGACTTCTGTTGCATATTTAGTCAGTATGTAACTGCCAATTAGAGAGAGAATAGGGAGGGTCATCCCTTCACCAGCCAAGAAAGAAACTGCTTTTAATCTTTTTTGTATTCAGTCACTGTGAATTTATCCTTCTGAATGTGTTTTTAGTGCAATAAGAAGATCGCAGGCTATTTGAGTTGTATCAGCTTGTTGGGAAGGTTTTCAGTCTGTATGTTAATTGGTCAGAAGACGAGAAAGTGGAATAGTCCAAGTCCATCTATTACAGATAATAAGGCAACAAGTTTTTTTTTTATAACACAGTCCATTGTTTCTGTTGTGTACAAGTGGTAAATACATGTAATGGTTTGGCAGTTTGATATATGAACTACATTCACACAGGCTCAGAGCTTTGCTTCCACTACTACCTGGTCGGTAATCCTACATTGTCTTCCTCTTTGTTTAAACAAACAACACTGATGGCAACAAATCTCTTTGATAAATGGGGGTCAGAGCAGTTCAGGTATTTCCTATTTTTGATATAGACAAAAAAATCGACAGCCATTTCCCTGTAAGTGTATTTGGTTTTACTTGCAAAGCATTTGATACAGTGTTCTTTAAATGGTAAGCTTTAAACAAAACCAAAACACGTTTTTAAGAATCCAAACATAAACAAGTGATGTGAAGAAACTGGAAGAGAAGAGTTTTTTTTAATACCGGTTGTTCAAACAAATCTTTCTGTAAATACATGAGAAAATAAAAATAGAAAATAGTAATAATAGAAAAGTGTATCAACCATCCCTGCTAGTTCCATGTACCATCAATCACCAACTTCACTTCCAAGTCATAAAGGCACCTTTTGGTTTACATGAATAATCACAATTCACCAGCATATAATCCTTCTGCACAGCTGATTAGATATTTACATATGTTACATACAGCATGGCAATCTAATAATATGAAACATTTCTATAATAAAGAAATTAGACCTCTGTCATGAAGCTTAGTGTCACTTTCTATACTCGCAAAAGTCCATTGCTGCAACTTGTACTTTTACATTTTTCTTCATAATTTTTCCTTTTGCTATTTTTATTATCTTTGGTTTTAAAGGAAGAATGTGCGATATTTTACACATAAATACAGCAGAAATCAAGTTTATCCTATTTAAATGTCATGACTGACTACAATGAGTGAGAAGCATGAGTCCCACCAGCGATGTTGTTATCAAAGCCGTGTTTACATCATGTTTACATGGACGGGACGGCCTTGCATATAAAGCTATTTTAGTCAAGGACTAGAGAAAAGAAGAATGACACAGCCTTCTCACAGCTTATTTGGATGTCACATAGGTTTCTTTAGATCATGATCATTCTGTGTCAATTCCAGGACACAGGCAATTGCAGCTCAAGCAAAGGACAATTATGTCTGCCGCTTGTGCTTAATGATGTTTAATTATGGTGCATTCTAATTTATAACTCCTTTGTGCGAACGCAAGTGGTGAGGGGTTGGAGGTGTGCAGCTGGAGGAGAGCAGAGGCTTTAGAATAGAGGAGGTGACACCAAATAGCAGATTGTTTTGGTTCAATGCTGGTGCTCAAGGGCGACATCTACTGGATCAAACAGTCGCACATTCTTAAAGAAGAAATGTAGTGGATGTGATTTGATCATCTTTTACCTCATTAACTGACAGTATAAGCTCGCTCTGCAACACAAGATCAGAACCATCTCATTTGAATGCTGAGCCGCTGATGCACAGAAGTCTATCTGTATTTAAGTCAGGATTGTAGAAGTTCCCTGTGAAATCTGTGGATATGTGTGAAACCTACTTAGACAACCAGACATTTCCCTGTGCCTTAAATCCATCTCAATGTGAAACCTGTGTAATGAAGTGTGTTTTGATAAATGCTGTCACAACATAAACCTGTGCATTATTGAATCAGTTCAGAGTTCCGTCTTTTAGAACAGTTTGTTTGTCTTAGACAAGAAATATAAAAATGCCTTTGTCCTTTATATGTTCCTGAATGTCATCAAATTGATACAAAGCACAAGTACAACCTGGAGCTATTATGTCCCTCTTCATACAACAAATATGTTCATTAAGATTTGCTTCTTATTTGAATGAGATTAATGAGACAGATGACATATAAACTCTATTTCCTGCAGCCATAAAGCCTGTGAAATCAGATCAAGATTTTATGCAATTTCATACAGACCTAGGAGCTCATGTGATTGGTTATAACTGAAGCTCACTCTGAATCAGAATACAATACTCTGATTCTGGGTTTCTCCAACTCATACCGTTTTAGGAATATCTTCCAAGCTGCATCCAGTTTCTCCTCCCTGACCCTTGCTTTGCCCTCTAATTGCACCTGCAATCTCCGGTCCCCAAAATGACAAAAAATATAGTGTTTGCACCCAAAGTGTTCTGTTCATTCTCCATCAACATACTTGGGACTTCTGTAAAAAAAAGAGTTTTGAATATCTTACTGCTAACTTTCTCCATTCTTGGCATGTACCCTTTCTGTCTCACACCATCAAGAAGAACTATTTGGAAATCCCTTCTGTAGTGATGCCATGTGGGATCTCTACTATGTACACAATGAGCTCTTATTTTCATGAAGTCTTTGGTCAAAGAGTTTTAATAAATCAATCGCCCTGTTCAAAGGTTTGAACAGTTAACGACTGCCTCACAGAAAGCTGTCTTCAGTGGCGACATATGAGAAGCCATTGAAGGCGTTGTTGGCGCTGGTTCCGGCATTGAGCTCCGGCGTCCGACTCACCGAGTTAGGAACCATTTCTCTGGTGAACTCTGGATCAATATGCTGAGTGTCAGCTGGGCCTCTCTGGAAGATGAAAACAATAGTTGAATGTGATAATGCATGACAAGGAGTCCTTGGATGAGGTTTATTGTAAATTGTCTGCAGATTAAAAGCACATAAGAGAACAACTGCACTATCACTGTTCACTACACTTTATTTAAACACCAGAGTAAATAAAACGGTCTCATTGCTCCTTTAAATGGCTAAATGTAATGTTGAAAGTTTACTGACAGGCAGCCTGAAACAACTCACCACATTTGGGTTGTAAGGAGGAGTGGTTCTCTTGTGGTAGAGGTCGTCCCAGTTAATCGGTGAGAAAAATATATGGTTCTTTATTTCCAGCTATAAATAAAAAACAAATACATATTTACATTATTGGCATTTTCCATTCGTCTTGTTAAAACTAGGAGACAGTATGAGGACATAGGCCATAAAATAGAGAATTGTAGGATTATGATGTTGTTATTAACATGAGCGATGGAGATGAAGGTGTCATATGTGGGAAGTGGGCATCCATGAGCAATGTGACAGAGAAAATGTTTGTAACAGTATTTACTAGCCTACTTGGATGGGTTTTGCAGAGCTAAAATTGTCATGCTATGTATACTTTAATTAAGCAGTGTAGTGGTACTGACAGTTGTGACCTTAAACAATCAGCTAGACTGCTTTAAGAAGTCTTTTCCTTAGTCAGCACTTTTTTATTTGATTTATGTGGGCGGCTGTGGTTCAGTGGTAGAGTCGGTCGTTTCGCAACTGGAAGGTCTGGGGTTTGATCCCGAGCTCCTGTAGACACTGTTGTGTTGCTCCTGCTGCATCAGCAGATGCATGTGAATGAGTATGAATTGGGTGAGTTAATTCTGATGCTCGCTTTACAAAGCAGCCTCTGCCATCAGTGTGTGAATCGGTTGGTGTGACCTGCTGAGTAAAAGCGCTTTGAGTAATCAGAAGACTAGAAAAGAATCCATTTACCATTTGTTCAATACAGTATGTCTCTATTAACATGCTATGTAGCATAGTCACAGGCTAATCAGTTTTTTGACTTTCTTCATAACTATAGTTTATTTGAGGATTTTCTATCACGATTAAGAATCCACCATAACAATGAAACTGCAGAGGTGAAGGTTACAAATGATTTACTTATTGGCTTACCCCTGGTCATGCTGCTTTAATCTTGTTGCTTAGGAACCTGAAACACTTAGCTACTAAACCTCCCTCTCTGTTTGCATTCATGCTATATTAATGCATTTTACAACCTTTATATCTTCAAGTCCTATGTTACAGACTATATTCCTTCCTGGGAGTATTTGTGCTGTCTTGTCTTAAGTTTGGGTGGATCATTGCTGTGGACCTGCCTTAACTCAGTTTCCCAAAGATGGAATAAGCATTAGCTTTAAGTAGAACTACATTGAATTGAGTAGTCCTTTGAAAAACACATGTTTGGTCTAAAACAGGTCTGTTCTTTTTCTGTAAAACCATCTTTGTTAATGTGCAGCATAAGTCATCTTTTTTTTTAACATAGCACACTCACAAAGTCGGCGATGGCTCCGATGCGTCTGTGCTGGTCCTTCTGCAGTAGACCCACCAGCAGAGAGCAAACAGCGTCAGACTTCCCAGGGGGCAGGAACAGCGGCTTGTGCAGGATCCCATCGTACATTTCAGTGACATCACGGCTGTAATAAGGAGGCTAAACACGAGGGATCCGTAAAGACATCATTAGTTCTATATTTTTTAGAAATAAACTTTTTTATAGTAAAAACAGACACTGCTTGTTTTCTTCTCAAGGTCACACAGAGCAGTTTTGATCAGCAAGATCACATATATAGATGTATACTACATTCATGGTTTTTACCATGTATTACCATAGACTGTATAAAACATGGACGTAGGCTCAGTGACGTCACCCTTTGATTCCTGAAGCAAACTGTTGAAGCCCATCAATGGTGGTGGCCATAATGAAAATGCTGTCTCAAACTAACTTTGAGTCAACCTAGTAATAGGCATGGAGCTAGAGCTGAGGCGGGCCTAAAGCCTCCTGACAAACAGCTACAACAGCTTGCATGTGACCCTCTTAAAGGGTGTGCTGATAAAGACATGATCTATTCAGACCATATGGGGTGTGTATGGGGTCAGGGTCTTTTGGAGCCAGGCTCAAGTGGTCACTGAAGGAACAGCAGTTTTTTTGTGACTCCTGCATTGGCTTAATTCTTTAACATCAAAGTTTGCTGCTTGTGTCTGACACAAGACTCCATGAATATAAGCTAGAAGATGCAAGTTCATTGCATAGAAATTCATGTGATATGAAGTTGAATAATTTTCTTTTCATGACATGACAAAATTATTTAATTTAATGACATGAAAATATCTTCTTTGTAATTTGAAAAGCATTTATTTTTAATTCAGGTTATAATGTGATCTTTTTTTAATGAGGTAGCAGCATTTCACATCCATACAAAAACACGTACCAGGCTATAGATCATCTCATAAAGCACTGTTCCCAGACACCACCAGTCCACTGTCCTGTCATACGGTTCCTTTCGTAGAACCTCTGGTGCCAAGTACTTCAGACAGCGGACATGATAGAAGCAAAGTGAAACGAAGAGGGAAAAAAAGTTGAGAACAGAGGAGATGAAAGAACCATAAGTAGGGGGGCAATACTCACAATGTCATGGGAGAGGATTTATTTTCTACTCTACACTCTGGACCGTATGACTTCCATGTTTTATGCACTTTTACTCACTTCTGGAGTTCCACAAAAAGTAGACGTGGTTCCTTCTGCCTCTATTCCTTCTTTACACAGCCCAAAGTCTGTCAGCACAACATGTCCCTGCACACACAGAGCACAAGATGGAGTCCTTACTCAGTTACACAACAGGAAAAAAACTAATAATGACAATAAAGAGATTTAAAGAAACAAATGTGTCAAATACATTTCACTCACCTGGGAGTCTAAGAGAATATTCTCTGGCTTTAGATCTCTGCAACAGACAAGAACAAGCAGATTATCATGCAGAAAGTTATTTTGTGTATTTACTCTTCAGTGGTTTACAGCAGGCAATAAGGCTCTACAGCTTATATGTGATAAATAAAAATTCAAGCAAAGTTGAAAAACAAGGTCTTCCAGTTAATAACAGAAGTTGTGACTGACCTGTAGATTATGTTTAGAGAGTGAAGGTAACCAACAGCGCTTGCTACCTCGGCTGCATAGAACCTTGCTCTGGGCTCTGAGAAACACCTCTCTCTTTGCAGGTGAAAGAACAACTAGAGAAGACAGAAAGAGAGAGTGTCACATGGGTGGGCTTGCCAACAGGTTATGGAGACGATGTAGTGAGAAAGAAACACATGAAAAAAGAGGAGAGGAGTAATGGAAGTTTTTTCTCAAACAGCAGATGTTACACACACATCAATACTGAGTATCTGCACAATAGCAAAAGAAAAGCATGTGTTAGACAAAGAGGTCTTCTGATTGCACATGGACTAGATGTTCCTTGTTTTATTTGATTTGTGTAAATAAATTATTACACTGGCCAGTTATTGTTACAGTTGGGACAATAGTGCTGATATACTGTACTTCAGTCAGGAATACTCTCGTCATAGATTTAACCATTAATTGCACTTGTGGTTTGTACAGTTTCTATTTGTATTTAGTTCTGCTCTTAGCTCTCAGCAGTATCAGTGCAGCATGCCAGAGATTTTTGCTGAGAGCGCAAACCTTTTAATTCCCCCCACGGGGACATGCAGAACATGTGCATGTAATGATACTGACATCTTGCAGACATAACAAGCAAACAATTCATCCTAGAATATAACATATTCTGACTGAAGCTGGTGCAGGTTGGGGTGGTGGAAGGAGCATTTCACAGCAGTGTGAGGCAGAATGGTTTAAATAGAGCGCCTTGTTGTCAGAGTGTGATAATGACTGGTTGGCATTGGGGCAGTTATCTTGATCAGCTGATGGCTGCTCGCGGGCAGGACTCTCGTATTCCCCCTGAACTAACGCAGGGCTCCATGTATGAGAGAGATTGGTAAGAAAAACAGGTTCTTTCTGAAGAAAGCAGATTCACACTTATAATGTCTCTTTAAATTAATACGTAATTTTGTTCACCGCAGATGAACTTTACTAATTTAGTTACAGGCAAAACCAAGCAGAATGCATCATGACTCAGTGGAGTAGATGTAAAAGGAAACTTAATTATGACACACACACACACACACACACACACTCACACACACACACACACACGCACACACACACTCACACACACACACACACACACACACACACACACACACACACACACACACACACACACACACACACACACACACACACACACACACACACACACACACACACACACACACTCACACACACACTCACACACACACACACACACACACACACACACTCACACACACACACTCACACTCACACACACACACACACACACACACACACTCACACCCTCATAATACGTCTACAAGGTCTTAATCCTATTGAAAGTGGCTTTTATTACATGACACATCAGCTATCTGAAAATATTATTATTGATGTTGAGTGAAGCACCATTAAATGTCCTGGTACCACTCTGCTAAAGCCGTTTTTGTCCATCTAATCTGCAGCTTTTTTCAGAGAAGAGGGTCATAAAGCTCACTCATCAGTTTTTATATGATAGATGATTCTGTGTTCATTTATTGGTCCTATCTAGTTTATGAACCATACCTCTCCTCCATTCACATAGTCAAGGACAAAGTAGAGCTTCTCTGGGGTCTGGAAGGAGTAGTGGAGGCAAACCAGAAATGGATGTTTGAGACTCTTCAGCAGCACATTTCTCTCTGCCATTATGTTCTTTTGCTAAAGAAAGGGAAAAGGGAAAAAACAAAAAGATGTTGAATAATGAAAAGATCTGTTTGCATGCTGACTTGTTGTTTCCGTTTTGACACAAATTAGACATTTTGTTACATCCTATTGAGAATTCATTAAATTACTTGAAAAGCTCTCATTCAATCTTTTCCATTAATTTCTTCTGTTTTATATCACGCAAAAGATGAACCTGTGACTCTTTAGCTACAGGAGCCGAGCCAAGGGGCGGCCAGGGCCCCCATAGACCTCTGATTGGTGACCCCAGTGCCTACACCAAAATCCTGATATATGATTGGCTATTAGCCTTGTCAGAGGACTAGTGTTTAAATCAACTTTTTGGGCAGTGTTACAAGGCTGCTTAAGATTTTCTTCGCATTTCAATGCAGCATTTGGCAGTATTTTAAATTTGGACTTGATCATACAACTTCTTTTTCAGTACTAAAAGAATTGAGTTAGACAGAATCTTGGTTAAAATAATAATTCAACAGTTAGCAAGCCAGCTAAATGGGCCCACAGTGACACAGTCTAGGACTTGATCAATGAAGATAACTAAAATAGAAAAATGAAACAGGCGACTTAACATCCAACACGGCTAAATGTGAAGTGTGTTTGAGCAGATATTCTCAGTGTGTCAGACCAACACACAAGTGGTTTATGTGCTTGGAGTTGTAAAATCTGTCCTTTGTACAGAACAAGATTAGATTAGAGGCGATAAGGATCATGTTGCTAGTCCAAAACTGTGTTTACTAATAACAGATACTCGCAAACATTTTCTCTTGGCTCATAGTTTCCACTGCTAAAGCCTGGCACATCAGAATACTGTGAAGCTCAAAAAAGACTTTTCTTTATTCATCTCCTGATCATACGCTGATGTCTGCGTTTCCCCTAAAACTGCATTTTAAAAGGTTAAAGTGTGTCGATTTATAACAAATATCATCATTACATTTTCCAGATTTTAGCTTTAAGAGGATTAGAATATAACTGTTCTTTATAAATGCTGTGTTTCCCCTACCATTATATTAGGGGGGCGGCCCGCCCCCCCCAACAGCCCCTTGAAGGTCAAGTAAAAAAAAAAATGTTTTTTTAAGATTTCTTTTATGGCTTTTTGTGGCTTTATTGTAGAGATAGGATAGTGGATAGAGGCCGTAATCAGGGAAAGAAGTCATTTAAGGATACCTCTCCGATAGAAAAGGACAGCTGTCATTAAAAGTAACACATGAACACCAAGATTCCTTCAAGTGGAGGAACCTAGAGGAAACACTGAAATGTTTAATTAAAGTTGTCAGCACACTTTAAGTGAAGTTTTAGACTTGTACTGTAGTGTAAGTACGTGCACAGCAAAGCCCACCTCTTTTTTCTTCAGGATGACTTTCTTCTGCAGCACTTTGACGGCGTAGAATTTGTTGTCTGCTTTGAGCTTGGCGAGCAGGACCTGCATGAAGGTTTGTTTGTTAGCAGCTTGTTTAATAAACAGACTTTGCCACCATCTTGATACACGGCCGTCAGAACATTTTATCAAACCGCTCCGAGAACAGCCAACAACACAGATAAGAGCTCTGTGGGAACAGATGACACTGAGAAATCTGAGACAAAACACACAGGTTAAGACTAAAAAAAACAAAACAAAAAAAGGTCAGAAACTAATCACCCTGCAGCCAGGACAAGACTTTTGAGTAATCAATCTGCAGTTTATTGTATTCCTTATTTAACACACTCCACTGCTGCATTATTTGATAGTATTTTGTTGTGGCATTGACCTGATAATGAGGTAACTTTAAGAGGCCTCATTGGATTGTATGTTAATGATTGATGAAGCACATTCTGAGCAGCCTGCAGGTAGACGCTCTCTCTCTCCCCCCCTCTCTCTCTCCTTCTTAGGCTCTCTCCTTTTTTTTCTGACAAGGTCAGTGCAAGAAAATCACTGCTACTAATTGGATCCACTCAGATCATTCTTAATCTGTATATGGTCCACCCTTATTTTTTTCTGCGTCCAGCAGTCCTGACAAAGCCCCGTCACTGAGAACTACCTGCTTGTGAATGTGTTACCTAAATGAGTTATTATAAGGAAACTATTCAAAGGAAAACACAAGATAGAATCAACATGAATGATAAACACAGTTAAATAATTAATGCTTCACTGTTACCTTTCCAAAGGTCCCCTTGCCAATGACAGCCAGGAAGTCAAAGTCAGTGGGCCTGGCGCTGAAAAAAAGACACAGAGTAATTATTCATTTGTTCAAACTTTTTCGGCAGATAGAATTACTCTTTTGTGTGTGCGTTATCTTTTTTAGCTAACATATCATAGAGAAGCATAAGTAATAAAATAGGTTTAACTTTCTTTCTTGTGTCTGAATCAAGGGATTGCCTAGTGCCCAATGTACAGAGGCTATAGTCACAGCAGCCGTGGGTTCAATCCGACCCCAGCCCTTTGCTGCAAGTCATCCCCCCACTCTCTACTCCCTATATTCTTTTTAAAGATTTATTTTTGGGCTTTTTGTGCCTTTAATGGAGAGATAGGACAGTGGATAGAGTTGGAAATCAGGGAGAGAGAGAGAGTGGGGAATGACATGCGAGAAAGGAGCCACAGGCTAGATTTGAATCTGGGCCACCCGCTTGGAGGACTACAGCCTCCATACACGAGGCGAGCGCACTGACCTCTGCGCCACCAGCGCCCCTCAGCCGTCCTATCTAATAAAGGCAAGTGTCTGAATTTGACATATAATAAATATCATAGAAATATAATGTTGTATAAAGTTCAATAAAATAGAAACCTGACCAATGAAAAATTTGTTTTACCAATAACAATACAAGTTATTTTTTGCTGGCTTGGTAGCTGTTCATCATGTGGACAATCTCTCTGTGTATGACTTTTAAAAGAGCTTTATTATATGTATATTATCTATGATGGCTGTGAGAGCAGAGGTACTGACTGTGGGTTTGCTGAAGGTCCCAGGTTGACATCATCTTGAGGAGAGGACGATGGTGTCCACTGCTGAAGGACAAATAAACAGAAAACAAGTCAGCAACAGAAAGGTACACTTTGCATTCACGAGTCTGAATGAACATACATAGACCATGAATAACTCAAATGTACTTTAAACATTACTATTGAACATGAGCATCATTTGAAATATAAACTTAACAATGTTAGGCAACAGGTTTGTTCATGCTGATATGCCAATTAGACAGCAAAAAATAGCTTATAGTTCCCCTTTTTTGGCTGACAAAAAGAAAGAATACCAAAAATGGGGGTTTAAATATTTTGCATTGAGGACCTAGACTTGTTGAAAATACATAATTTCTAATTTTGGTTTTAACCTGGTATTGATTAAAAAAATGGGTGTGCTGTTGTTGGAAGATGATCTAATGTACAGTAAAATAATCTTTAGTAATATCCAGGAGAAACAACCACACCTGTATGAGATCTTCAGGATGTGTTAATAATAATAACAGTTGGCTCAAAAACAACCTTTTCTTAAAGATGAAACTTAAACTGGTCTGTCTGTGTGACGAGTTAGCTGTCACAGGTCCGGGTAAAAAGGAAAAGTCCAAAACATAATTATTTGAAAATTAGAAAACAGGCTGAAAAGGACTCACATTACAGCTTGCCATGGCCATTAACCATTCCACGCCCACTGGAGATCCAGCATCAGTGTTGGACAGACCTGTGAGAGGAGAATAGGAACAAAGGGACATGGCATCAGCAGCTGTGCAGGAGGGAAATGTTGTGAAAAATGTTGGATCCTAACCACAACCTTCTGTCATTTCAAGAATGAGAATTATTTAAATGAACCCACACATGACAATTAATAAATCAATACATTTACCGATCAATCATTTTTGAGAGGAGGTGTACACCGCACTAATTGTTATTCTGTGTGTGTGTGTGCAATCAACTGCTGACCTCAGGATGACGGGATGCCAGCCGGGGGATCCAGAGGAACTGGTAGTTCTGGTTTGTAAGGAACAAGATGCTGGAACAACGGAAACACGGAGAAGGACATTGTGTTAATAACTTCTCCTGTGTGTGTGTTTGAGAGTGTGTACATGAGAGGACTGTATCAGTGGACACGTTTACACAGTAAATATTGTTGTTTCATTCTCATATCTTTCAAAATATACGGGATGTCAAAGATCTCTCACGCACACACACAACAAAACACACGGAGAAAGACAGAGAGAGAGAGAGAGAGTGTACATAACTTGTAATTCATTTTCTCCCAAGCAGCTTGTCTTTATTTAATTATAAGTACAATATGATTTAAAATGTACATTTCACATTAACATTAATGTTTCTGCCTTATTGCAATTTATGTCATTTTTTAAATTGTCATTATAAGTCATTTAATTAGCTGTTACCCTCTTGAGGTTGGAACTTGGAAATTTATTTAAGTCATACATTTACGAAATTAATGAGTTGTTATTTTAGTATATAGTTGTATCAGAAGAGCAGCAGCCGCCTGTATGAAAATGAGGAACGTGGAGCATCTTGTGAAGTTATACTTTAGTAAAGGGTTCACAAATAAGGAAATACTTCCTTGACTGTAACAGATTGATGGAGTATGAACTCTCTGTGGATTGAACTGTGATTATTTGTGTTGGGGTTTTACTTATGCGGTTATTGAAACTATACATTCTTTTGACACATCAGCATCAAATTGTCAAAAGTATCAGGACCCTGAAAAGATACTGCAAGAAACAGGGGCTCTTCCAGAATAAAGACCCACACTGCCTTGGAGGAAATTGTCTCTTGTGTGGCAGAGGAAATGGCATTGAGGTTTCCCCTTACATACATTTTCAGGCAGGCGGATGGCTGCTCCTCTGATACAACATTTCAGAATCTGTCCAAGTCAAAAATATCTGTTTAATGGTGATGGAATGAAAACAGATGGGTTTGTTTGGATAAACAAAGTTTTCATTAAAGGTGCACTAGATTTGGTAATGAAGTTTGAAAGTTGGAGAACTGAAACAATTCTATGTGATATTTTCTGAACTAAATACACAAACTTTATTCAAGGGAAAAAATGGGTCTCTGGAACACTGTTTTGAGTTTAATAAAAAGCTACCAGGAGAGTTACTGTTTCACTGTTGAGGGCCCCCCACCATAACTTCTAGCGTAGCATTTAATCTTTAAACAGTGTTCCAAGGACCACATATTCCTCTGAGGACAGTTTGTATAAAGAGTTATGAACATATACCACAGCATCTGTACATTTCTCCAACTTTCAGATTTCTCTACCAAACCTCCAATAGTGCACCTTTAATATAATTCACAGAACATGATGTGCTAATGTGCTAGAATCAGTATTTTAGATAAGTAAAGGTACAAAGCTTAACAACTGTCAATTTTCATTCATTGGCCGACCATACACTTTAACCCTACTATTTCTTTTGAGAACTGTGACAATGCTGACATTAAAATAATGAAAAGGTGAGGTTTGAGTCTCATAAGGAGGTTCAAGAGATTCATTGCCATTTGAAGAACTAAATGGAAAAATTGAACATATAAAAACAAAAAGAAGTTTAAATTTTTAGCTTTGAGGGAAACCCATGACTTACACCTGACTGACTCACACAGTCTTAAGAATTGAGCTGTGCTTTTTAAGCTTTTTAAGCTTTTTCCCTCATTTTGTATTGGTCTCTGTTTCATTACTCCCCACAAATTAAAATCTAATATGTTGTGCAAAATGAATATACTTTGACCCATTCACACAGACTTTAGTGCATTTTTTTTCAAATTGATATCTTCAAGAGAAAATACACATACGAGAGGAAATATATTATATTAACATACAATTCAAATCTGAATAGAAAACTGTATAGATGTTCCTGGATAAAACAAATGTTCTTTATTGGATAAGTTATTAACTGTGATATAAATCAATCTCCAGAACTACCTGATGAATTAATCTGAGGACAAGGTTTATTAATAAAGCAGGGACTCAGAAGGTGACCAAAGGCTCATTACTGCTGGTCAAGATGTTCATCATTTGACAGTTAAATATTTTGTTCATTCCACAGGAAAGAAAAGGTATACCATTGTACTAACAACAACGAGAGGGAAACTTTGAGGCGCACAGCTGCTCTCAGAGCTCAAGACAGGCCAGAGGCTTTGAGTCACCAAATCAACCTTGGTTTCCAAAAGTCTGCCAAAAAAGTCAAGTCCATTTCACAAACTTGAAACCCTGATCAATAAGAACCATAATCATTGTTCAAGAATATTCTAAAAATATTCTACAATGTCCTGTTGAATATTTACAACACACCAAATCAAAACACTCCACTGATTTACGACAGAAGCTCCTACGTATTATGGACTTTGAACTATTTAAAGACCAACAAAATATTAACAGCATCCAATAAACCATTCACAGCATTCATTCTGCATAGACCGATAGTGACGTTATGGGATATCAATAACAAAGGAGTCAATATAAACTCAGGTATCTCAGATATCATGTGGGTTCTGAATTACACACGTTATTAGTATCATAGCACAGCTGTGCAATAATGCATGTTGATTATATTATTCCTGGTTCTTGTAAAATCATTAGATTTACTCACCTGTTTGCATAGGATGAGAAGGTCAGTGAGCCTCCCCGTCGATGTTCGACTGTCATGAAGGAAGGTCGCCTTCATGAGTGAATCAGTAATAAAACCAATGGGGCGGAGCATGGTTCTTACAGTGGTTGACGTGTGTTTATATGTCAAGGGGAGAAAAGAAAGGAGAGAATTTAACTTCCGGACTCTACTATTTACTTTCAAAATAAGACAGAACTTTTCTTGCTATTTATCTAAAAATTAAAGTTGACTGCTCATTATTTATAGTAGCCTATTAATTACATTATTATTATTTTGTCGAATTTACTGCAGCATATCTGACGTGTAGCCTGAGTAGACTCAACACGACACACGTAGGTTATGTGGCCAAATGTTACAGACAATGCTAATAATCCGATTTTGTAAAAATAGCATAATAATATTAAGCTCTAGGCTAATTAAAATTGCTCAACGTTGATTTCTGCCTATTTCTTTCTTCCGAGGATAACAAACACACACCACAACAACACCACATCATTTTGCACATTGATGCAAAAACATTAATGCAAAGTCAAAAAAGCCAAGTGACTTGAAGGATTTGTGATTTCCCACTCCTGCAATAAAATGAATTTTAAATGGACCGAAAGGCATTTTTCCAGTCTCCTAAGCATCCTCTTTCCAAAGGCGAAAATTAAAACCTTCTCACCTGCTGGTGTTTCTAGTATTAAACATTAAGTTGAATACTTTTATTTTGCCATCTGCAGGTTATGGGTACAAGCAACACTTTCTTTTCTGACCCTGAAGTGGAACAATAGGACAAGTAGTGGAAGTAGAAAGGGCGACAGGAGCTTTTACCACCACACCCGACTGTTGACGACAATATGGACAATAGGGGGATGTGATGCAAGCAAGGTAAGTTTATAGTCAATAATGCAACATACACAACGACCTTCATAAGAACAGGAAATGCAGTGGTAGTGTCAGATCCCTTAAATAAGACAAGGGGCAGTGGCTTAAATCAGACAAGACAGCTTTGGACATTTATTAATTCATATGGAATGAATGACATGTGTGACCCCAGATTATGTTGACACATACACACATGCACGCACACAAACACACGTATCCCACCAGAGAGACACACAAAGAAGTTGGATTCCAAAAGCCCTTAAACAGTCCAGTAAAATGACCATTATATCACAATATCAAATCCATACAGCATTTTAAACCAATTCTGAAATAAAAACGTAAACATGTAAACTGACATGTAAACAGCAGAGAACTTCCAAATCCATGTTTAAAGTGCCAACACGTGGACTTGTGCACTCTCCAGTGACCAAAGTGGAGAACATCATTGTGTAAAATCTGTTTGGCTTCACAGTAAAATGCATTTTTTTTCATCTATTAAAATATAAAATAAAAATAAAAAATTAACAAAATGCATATTGATTGACAACTCACACTTTTGTTTCTGTTCTCTGACTCAAGTTTCACATATGAGGGTAAAATTGTAAATCACATCTCCTGTATCACTTAGTTCACATTCAGAGAAAAAAGGTGTGCTGCATATCCAAACCTTTTTCCGACAGTCTGAACACGCAATATATTCACTGACTGTTTATTGTATAACCTGGTTGGAATCCGTCCAATAACATAAATGAGCGGTTATGTTTTGTGTTACTACATACAGTGTTTATTCTTAACTATTTTATTGCACAAAATATGAAGCTTGTAGGAGCCTCACTGATTAGCTTAGTCTACTGCATCACACTGCTCTAGCTTACTGTATGACTGCATTTCTCCCTGCAGTGTGCACCATCTCTTCCCTCATAGATAACACTCATATATTCATCAGTCAATCTAATGTTATATCTGCAATATCAGAAGCTTTCCAACTGTTGGATTAAAGGTCACATATTATTCAAAATAAACTTTACAATGGTTTTCTAACACTAATATGTGTCTCCAGTCCATCTACCAACCCCCAATTATGAGAAAAGTCCATTCTGTCCGTCTTTTGCCTGCTCCACTTTTCAGAAAATGTGTGCACAAACAGGCCGTTTAAAGATTTTCCCTCCATGACATCACAAAGGGCAGTAACCCCTTCCCTAGGTGGGTGACACTCCCACAGCTAGGTGTTTGTTCTGCCCTCTGATTCTGCCTTTACACTGTAAAGAATAGGGCATGGTGTAAAGTAGCCCAAGCCAGGTCCCCTTCCAGAGAGGGGCGTGGTCAGACACAGCTCATTTACATTTAAAGGTACAGACACAGAAACAGCCTGTTCTGAGCAGGGCTGAAATAGAGGGGTTTATAGACATGATCAAATACAGGATCAGAGTGGATTTTTAGCAAGAAATTACACAGACGTGTTTTGGGGAGCTCTGAGATTTACTTAAACTTCTTAAAAAGTGAATAATGTGTGACCTTTAATCTGAATCTGGTTATGGTATTCCTGAACATTTGTTTAAGTATAAACACTTTTCCAAAATATATCTCAAGTCTCTCTTTACAAGGTGTTGGGTAAAGTTCATACTGACCTATGCCAAGCCGTGTATCAATAACAATGATTTTAGTTCAGGAAGGAGAAATATACATAGTATTTGTTTCACCCATGTAGATGTGAGCTGATCCAAAATAACATGTCTTGAGAAGGAGACCCAGAAGAAGGAACCAAACAGATTAATTAAATCTGTGTTCTTCATCCTTATGTGCTCATATCTCTATTGATACAGAAGCCGTAAGACCTTGGATGAGTTTTGATCCCTTTTTTTGTAACATTTTTTTTCTTTACTTACCTAATCTTCAGTGGGGCTTTTATTATAAAGGTATTGGACAAATAATGACATATGAGCATCTACACAGATTGGCAGAGGAGAGTTATGATCATACTCAGACAGAACTCCAGTCATCAGTTGTCAAAACTACCTCCTCCATCCTCCAATCTACTCTCTATACCAATATGTGTGTGTGTGTGTGTGTGTGTGTGTGTGTGAAAATGTGTATATAAATATATATATAAAAAAATGAATCTCCATATCTTCTATAATGTTCCATATTTGTAGACTTTAATTTCCCTTCTTCTTCCAACCTCTGTTATATTTCTTCCAACCTCTGTTATATATTTTCTTACCCCTATCTCATCCCCCCCCCCCCCCCTCTCTGATGGGTAAAGGACATCAAACACATGAAAAAAGGAGTCAGGGCCGTTTTCCTGCAACAGTATGAATTTGGCACATGATGACTGGCTGCTCAATGGCCTCAGTGTTGAAGGGTGGGATCACTTGAGTCCCTCATCTATGCTCTTGAACATGAGGATGGCGTTGGAGATCTTTAGGGCAGGGCCTAGTTTGATGCTCATGATCTTCACAATGTCGGTCTGGGTCAGCAGCAAGAAGGCCTCCCCGTCGATCATCTAGGCAGATGCAGATAAAACCAGTGGTGATATAATTTGACACTGAGAAGGATACATGTGAAAAAAGTTTGTATTGCATGGCATGGGTATTCTTAGGGAGTGGACAAAGAACCATCAATACTTTAACTACTTTTTGTAGTAGTTTAACCTCTTTTTATAGTCGTAGTTACCTCTACTAGTAGCAATAGAGGTCAAAAGTAAAAATCGGGTTTAAGTATGGGCAAATACAATTCCTAATGACAAGCTAACGACAGCAGGATGTCATCAGTGAAAAGGTAAACATCGGCAAACAAGTTGACCCATCCCACTAAAACGCTATTCTGACTGTTGTTTTCACTGTCCTGATGACTGACCATACATTTCTTACCTCTTCTTTGAAGAGACGAGCCTGTTCTTCACAGCCAATTAGATTCTGGACAAACCTGAATACCTGATGAACAGCACAGAACAGAACAGAGTAAATCCAAAATATAAGCAAATTTAAAAACAACAGAAGAAGGAAAAACATTTTTTTTTGTAAATGATGAGATAAGAGTTAGCTCACCTCTTCAATGTCCCATCCTGCCACCTGGCTGGCATGAATGCCCTGTACACCTGGAAGCAGCTTACAGTGCTGCTCCCAGCAAAGTGAGAGAGTCCTGTCTGACTGGCCGCTTAAAGCTGACATGAAGAGTGAGGGATACATACCCTCTGAGGACAGATCTGACAACAAAGACAGAGAAACAAACAGGCCTGCATTAACTGTTGTTGATCTAGGATGACTCGGAAAAATATTTCAATCTGTGTTTGTTATGGTAAGGGCTCATAACTTTAAATTTATATATTTAGCATTTTCTTGTCAAGGAACTCAAAATGTAAAAAATGTGTGATGTTGACAATGTTTGCTTGATCTTGGGGAAGATACAAAACTCCATCTTTCAGAACAGCCTGCTATATGACCATCACAGTCATAACTTTTTCAAGTAATGCAGAAAAATATCTTGGATATCTGTTCCTGCTACTGTTTTAGGAATGATTTAAGGATCAGTACTCACTTAAACATGCATCTTTCACACATGCACAAAACTCCTGACTACTGAACAGCCATGCCAGCCCCATGAAATATTTTTTTGTCTGCGCAAAGTCTGTGTAAGCCAATGTGAGAACCAAGTTGGAAAATATTAAGGATATTTCACCACGAGCAAGCGGGAGGTATGATGATGTTTAGATCCTTCCAGCGTGCAAGGCCATAGACTGTATGTGTGCAACTGGTGCAGTAACTGTGCAGGTTAATGACTGCTTCGGAATATCTCTGCTCTTTAGTTCATATTGTGAATATGGTGATCTACATGTATCATCCATGTAAAGTCAAACATTTTCATCATGGCATCTGACTTTGTTGCTTCCTCTGCTACTTCTGTGCTGTTCTTTTACTTCCCGAGACCAGAGTAGGGTGTTCTGCCACAAATTCAGGAACTACAAAGGTTAATGAAGAGTGAAAGGCTTGAAGAGGTCGAAAAGCTCCAGCAACATTTTTAGTATTAAGATTTTAGTAACTTTATCTTCATACTGAAAAGGTTGCTGCAGCTTTTTTCACCTGCCTCCTGAGACCCCTAGTCCACATCCCGCCACACAGGGATAGCCTCCACCTGTGAGTTGTATGTGTGAACAAGCAACTCAGGAAGATTTCAGAGGCCTCTTGACTGAAATTTTGCTGAAATGTTCAGGAGTGCATAATATGTTAAATTGGCTTAAGACAACATCTACACATGCAACTGACATGAGTGCTTTAAATAAATCTCCTTTAGGCAAGTGCCACCATTTTTTGAATCCCTGAGGATGCAAATGAAAACTTTTATAAAACTCACTCTGGTAGTCTCTCTGTTGGTTCTTCCTGTATTTGGGAGGACGGCCAATCCTAAAAAATCAGAGTCAAGGTAATGTGAGAAAAAAGCAAACATTGATGCATGTAGGCGCACGCACGCACGCACGCACGCACGCACGCACGCACGCACGCACGCACGCAGCAGCAGGCAGGCAGGCAGGCAGGCAGGCAGGCAGGCAGGCACACACACACACACACACACACACACACACACTTTTACCTGCCACGGTAGTGGGTTTTCTTGGTCCGTTGTCCAAAGAAGAGGTTCCTCTTGCACTCTGAGTCAGACAGTTCAGCCTTCAGCCTACCCTGGTTGCGCTCAGCCAAGGGGCAGCCAGATATACAATGATGAGCTGTGAAACGGCCGGTCACATGGCCTGACCCATCGCACCCAGGGGTCGGACACTTCCTGTTTTGAAGAAAGAGTGCACCAGAGCATTTTATGGGGATTTCATAATTGACAAACTGAAATTAAGCATCAGTGTTTAATTTGTTTACCCTGGTAAATAAAAGATACATTCATTGAGTGACCGGATGTTCAAGTTAAATGTACTGACCTGTTGTGGAAGCTGTACTTGTTGGTTTTGGGGTGGCTGATTGGCTTACAAGGAACAGAGGAGGGGTAGGTGGACTGGCCTGTAGCAGGAGGCTCCCTCACCACTACGTACATTTAAAAATGACTGATGAACCCTCACTTTGGACAGAGGACAACAAGTGATGTTTTACAAATGCTCTTGCAATGCTGTAGTAAAGGGGGAGCTTATTACTGCAGCTAAAAATGGGTGTAAATGCCAAGAAGCCTTTTTTACAATTCATATATTTTTCCTGGTATAGCAGTAAAAAACCCAAGGTGTCAATTATTAACAAGTTTACAGAAGAACATTATGATAAATACAAATTATCCAAAATAATGAAAAAGTGAAAAAGATTACTTAATGTTGTGCAATGGCAATTTAATTAATCAATTAAAATGCATTACTGTTTGATAGTCAAGAATGACTTTGCATAAAGTCTGACTTTGAACATAGACAGAAGTAATAAACAGAGTAAAGTGTGTTGGTTTCTACCGTGTGGTTGTTGTATTTTGGTTTCACGCGGGGGAACCTTCAATGGGTGACCAGTTGCCTCACACCAGCCGGCTGGGTGAATGTCAGGGTGATCAGAGTCCATCCATTCATCATAGACATGGCTCCAGCCATCATAATGCACCTTTAGAAAGAGTAGAGTTAGAGCTATGAAACATGAAATACAACTCACACATTGAACTCAAATTATACAATCTATTGTTGGTTATAAAGAGCCAAGATATAAGAACAACAAAACAAAATCACAAATTTCTGAAAGGGGGCAATAAAGTGTATCGTATGGTATCAAAGCATTAGTTATGGCCAGTGGTTTTTACTATGATTGGCTCCTTGCCATGGCAGAGGGCTGATAGCAGCTTTCTATGTATTTTATGTGGCACATTTCAATATGTTTGCAGTTTAATTTGTGTCTTTGGACAAAGTTCTTCTTTTTAAGTCCTTGAAGAAATATTCTCAAAGATTGAATTCCCCCCCTTGTGTTACTTTTTCATATACACATGGGCCTGATCACTTTTCCTCCTCCAAGCCCCCCTTGACAGAAAAAGTTTGAGAACCACTTGTTTAGGCCCCAAGAAACAACTTTCTGAAGCTTTAATGGACCTGAGAGAGCTTCAGGATCCGAACTTCATTTTCATTTATTCAGCACTTAATTATTCATGAACCCCGAGCAGCAAGCACACACACAGAGCCGTTAGAGACCTTAACGCGATGAGTGTCGACCTCCTCCACTGTAGCCACTCTGATCAGACCAGGACTCCTCTTGTCCACGGCCTCCAGTTTCATCTGAGGATGGAAGCTGTGGGCTGCCCGCTGGAGACAGGAGAGGGTGTCTAGATATTACAATAACTTCTACATTCAGCAAAACAAACAAAAGTATCAAACACACTGTCCATAAAGCGTTGGCTTCAAATGCATGAAAGATAAAAGTATATCATTGATATGTTTCTTTACTACATTTTTTGGTAGTTTGTCCTTTTATCACAGATTTAAACGTAGGGAGCTTTAGAGATCTGTGCTTATGATACAGTATTTGTAATAAAATTAAAAAGTCAATGTGCTTAGATTACTACTGTAGATCTCTTAAAGATCCCTGACCTTTAAGGCCATCATTGACATACTTAAAAAAATGATTTGTCTTTATTTGTAAAATAAACCTTGCATCTTTATTATTTTACATTTCTCTGACATATTCTTCCACTTTACTAATTTTCCTCGGCTGTTTTCCGCAAGTGAATGGCGCTGGCCAATTCTACAATTAAACAAGTCGCCCAAAGCAGGTAATACTCTGCCTTCCTACACAGTTTAACTAAAAATAGTACATCTATTGTTTGCTCTCACCACTTTGAAGGCTTCAGCTGCCACTGCCTTGGAACCTGTCTCTTCCATGTAGCGAGACCAGGAAAACTGGCTCTGGTCTGGATAATCTAATGCAGAAAAAAAAAAGGGAAAAATAACATCACTGAGTGGGAATATAATGTTAAAAATGATCCCCTACATGTGCATTATTTATTGGTTAACTCAAAGAGTTCCCAATATTCTTTGTAAGTGAAATATTGAATTATGTTTCTAGCTGTATAATTCATTTGCAGGAACATATCATGAAAACTAAAAACTCTGTGGCACACTGAAAATAACTTTACCGTATTTTATTGTGCTTAAAATACAGTTAAGTTAGTTTCAGTGTTAAAATATCAAACAGGACACCCATCTGAAAACTTAACTATGGGATACTGAACAAAAAAATTTCCAAAGGTAGTAAAATAGTCCGCACACCAGAAGCTGCTCCAATTAAATGTAATTTAATGGAAGTTACCACCTGTAACATCTCGGGGCCTCGCCCTTCATCAGACATGAACCAATGTGTCACAGGTTTTGATTTATTTTTCATATATTTATCTATGTTCACTTCTCAAAAGCAGTTTTACAAATAATAACAGTTTGATGTTCTTAATGTTTTCTGAGTCGGGCCCGTCGTGTCTTTGTGTGTCAGTACAATCTAAGTCACATTCCCTGTATGTGAATTTACCTGGCAGATAAAAGATGGTTTTGGTAGATTTTGATTTTCAGTGACATAACTGTTGTTGTTTTATTGAGTGAATGATGACCAGGGAACACATACGTTACCTTGCGGTGGCGTTAGTGGGAGGTTCCTTTCTTGGCACCAACCAATAGGGTGAATAAATGGACTGCTGGAATCACACCTGGAGATTTTGACAGACAACAAAAACACTCACCATTACTTTCTTTATTTGAATGTTTATTCTGATGTGCCGTAACAACAAAAGATTCAGATGTACAGTTTTTAGAGCTGCTTACCTTGATGCTCAAACAGTATAACTTCAGATATCTCTAATGCTCATTTCAGGATTTTAACTATCATATATAAAATCAGTTACTGTGAAGTATTAGGCTCTGCTGAGCTAGTTAGTGTCAACAGTTTTTACTTAATTTGGTTTATGTAGCCTCAAAGTTAGTTCTATTAGGGTTATAGTTTGTTCTACAGATAGTCAGGTAACTCATTGATTGGAGTGTTTTTGTGATTGTCATCTTGTTTCAACAGAGACACATGGACCTATGTGGGAAATTACATTTTTAGCTCACTTAGAAATAACTGAAAAATGTATGATTATCAATATTCATCAAAATAAGTGGCATTATCAATAAAATATGTGAGGATATAAAGAAAATGAGACATCAAACAGCTGCATTCACATTTATAATAAAATTGTTTTTTTTTGGTTATCTTCATAATCTATGAAATTAACATGGAGCAGCTCATGCATCAGTCTGAGCTGCTTTCACTGCATGATTGATCAGGGGAAAAACACACTCACTCACTCTCTGAAACCATTGGTTAGGACAAATGGATAAATCAATTGCTAAAAAAAAGCAATATCACACTAGAGGGGGTGATGTTTTGTATCAAGTACCCCTGGTTGGTGCAAAAAATTGATTGATTGAGTCTGCAAGAAATGTGTTCTACTTTTCGAGCTTTCTCTCTCTATTTGTCTTCTATGGAGTTTAATCAACACATAAGCCAGCCCAATCAAGCCCAACCAAAAGGGCAAACACAACACAGTTGGTGTTAAAAGATTTAACTATTAAACACATAGATGATTTCAAAACAGGCTGATTAGACCTCAGGGTTGAAGAATCACTGGTAGAAGTTTCTACCAGTGACAGAAAGAGGACAGTGACATTCAATAATAAGACAAAAATGGGTTTAAAGAAATGTTTGAGAACAATTTAGGAATCCGGCCTTGATTTTTTTATTTTTTTATTTAAACTTTATCACTCTATCACAAACTGCAATTTATTGGTAGCAGCTCTGGTCCCAGTTGATTGATAATGCCTTATTCATTCCTTTCATAAAGTCCTATCAGCCCCACTTTGTTTGAGGCTCACCAGTAGTCATATGTGTCATCCCAGTTGTCGAAATGAACCAGGAAACGGTCGTCGACCACATCAGTCACGGTTGCTACACAGATGAGGGAAGGGTTCATGCGGTCTACAGCTTCTAGCTTCATTCCTATCTCGAAACCGCACTCCATGTCGATCTATACACAAAGCAGAGCATCACAAATTACAGGACAAGTGCACACAACAAAGTAGAGTCAGACAGAGCTGTGGACAAGCTTATAAAATTATGTGACATTTACACAGAAGCTGAGTGCTCTTCAAATATACAGTGTGCCTTTGTTCCAACATTTGTTTATTAACTCAGTAATCATCGAAATAGGACCAGATAACAACAGTATGTCATACTGAAGATGAAGCTTTGAAAGTGTTCAACATTTGGTTGCTGCAGGAAGTCAGGATCAACTCCACAATGTCCCAACATGAAATATTTATATATAAAAAAATAATTAGGACACAGGCACACTGACAAAGGATTTATGTAAAAAAATCAAGATTCTTCTCTTCTAGGATTTAATTCCATTCATAACTTCAGAAAATCCCACTCCACTCCCTGCTAATTGCTAAGGCTAGCTCTATAACTGAGTAGAATGCCAACTTGAGCAGCAAGAAATTCAGCCAGTCTCACAGATGACTGGAGTCGATCCTGAAGTATGTACTAAATCAAAAACAGACTTTGAAGCCATTAATCAATGAATCCGGAATCGTTTTGAATCGAAAATCGATTCTGAATCGAATCGTGACCCCAAGTGTCGAAATCAAATCGAATCGTGAGACACCCTAAGATTCCCAGCCCTATAAATGTCATAACATTTATTTTATATTAGCACTGTTTTTGAACTATTACAATCTGCAAAAAGTGAAAGGGCCTAATTCACAAAAGGACTGTGCAGCTTTTGCGGCTACTTCTCAAAGCACAAGCAAAGGGTTAAATGCAGCGCCAACTGGGAAAGCATATTGAAAAGACCCATTATGCATTAAAAACTGACACCTTTCTTTGCATAAGTACCTTGTTACAAAAGACGTGTCATTCACAAACAACGAGAAATAGCCACGCACATTAAGAGTGAAAGAATTACCGTCTGCTGAGAGGAGGTGGTAAATGCACCCCAGTATTTATAAGGGATGACATGCACAAACTTTCCGGTGATCAGGACATCAATTCCACCTTTATCTGTAAATAAAGTCTGTTAATATTACCTTTACATTAGTGTTACTTATATAATCAGGGGTTAAATTTTGTTCACATGTGTGGAGACGATCGGGTGAGTTATTCAAAAGGGAGACAAGAGGGTTGTTGTTGTTTCTTTGATCGGCTGCTCTCACTGACTTGTTAATGGGATGGAGACTTACTTCAATCAAACTTTGTTGTAAATAGTTAACGTTTGTATCACATCTGTGAAGACTTGACTTCACTACAAACTGGTAAAAAAGTGTCCCCTCCCCTCCCGGCTCATCATCTCTATGTGGCTCATCTCCACAATCAGACGCAAAAAAAAGGAGTAATCTGCACAGAGCAGGACAACTTCATGAGCGTGTGTGCTCTAACATCATTAGGCCAATATGCTTGGTGAATTGACCTTAAGATGGAGCAGATAACAAGCACAATTGAAGCTACTTATAGCGGCTACAATCTGCTTAGTGGACTCCCACCCAAAATGTTTTGAGAAGGACGTAAAATGTGTGTATGTTTTAGAAAGAACGCGGGCCCCATTTGCAAAGGCTTTAGTCCTCATCGCCGCGGCCATGGGTTCAAATCCAACCTCAGCCCTTTGCCGCATGTCATCCCCGACTCTCTCCACCCAACATTTCCTGCCTCTCCTCAGCTGTCCTGTCTAATGAAGCCAAAAATATATTTAAAAAAAAAAAAAGGAACTGCTTCTCAATAAGAAGCACTCACACTTGTCGATAATACCACTGCCCTATATTATATATAGAAGGTTACCCTCCCAGGACTGGAAAAGAGTTCTTTGGGCGCCACTTGTGCTTTAGTCATTTTCAGGTAGTTGTCCAGGTGAACTCCTCCTCTTTACAACCTGCAGAAAAGACAGAAATGCACAAGGAGGAGAATATTTCAAAATTCTGAGAGATACACACGGCTTCTTCTCCAAGATTTGACTTCATATTGAGCTAAAGCCAGCAGATGTTTGGCCCAGTATACAGTTACAGTAAGAGTGATAACAACAAGTGTGGCTCTAAAATGATTAAATCCACCTAAAAGTACCTTAAACTCAATATTTGACACCTTGTCTTAAAAACAAAAGACATGTGGCTCCTTCCTTCTGGTTGACTAAATGCAGACCTTTGGACTAAGTCAGAGTAACAGTTCTAAATCATTGTGCTAAAATTAACTGACTTCTGGCATTTATGGATTTACTTTATAGAAAAGGTATCAACTTGTTGTTTGAACATAGGTGAAAAAGAGAAGTGTGGGAAAGTTCTTTCTGTCCATTCTTCTTTTTGCTGTTTTGGTCTTTTACAGTTTTGTCACCTCTGACCTTTGGGAGTGTGCAGTTTATGTCCCGTGCTTTCACACCAGCCTGCAGGGTGGATGTCAGGGGAGTTTGCATTCACCCAGAAGTCATGACAGTCAGAGTAGCCGTCGAAATGGAGCCGCAGCCGGTAACCACAGACCTGAATGATGACATGATACATGAGAGAAACAACAACAAAAAAACTGGCTGGAGAAGGGAGTGAATGACGAATCTCTAATACTATGCATTGTCATTAAGTCCATTGATCGTGTTAATGAGTATCTGACTCACCTCCGCCACTGTGAGGACAAAGTACATGGACGGATGCTGCGGGTCGATGCCTTCCAGTTTCATCCCCTGTTTAAAGCCGTTCTTTACAGTTGGCACTCTCTGGGCCTTAACAAATAAAATAAAAGAGCAGCTTTGTTAACGATCACAGAGGAGTAAGTAAAATAAAGTAAGAGGAGGTGGAATCAGGCCGAGAACAAAGATAAGAGCACAGCAAATGGACAGGTGGAAATTGCTACATTTTTATTATTCTCCTTCTAACTTGATTTCTTCCTTTTTTATTCTAGAAGATAAACAGCTCTTCCAATTGAAGCTCTCATTGTGAAAATATTGCATTGCCAGAAAAATGAATCACTTTTAAATGAATCACCCTGAGAACTCCCTAAACCTCACACATACACAAAAATATGTCTACATTAGACTCCAAACACACTGTCCATGAAATTTTAATTTCTATCTTAGCAATGCTGCACATTCTTTTTATTCAGCGCTATAGATGTGTGCTTGTGCTACTAGCAGAACTGCAATGTTTGTTAAAGATGATGGTTAAACTGGGTGGCAGTAGCTCAGGCTAAAAAAAACAGTCTGAATATTAAACTCAAACATACCTCTTGGAAAAGCTGATTAGGTGCAGCAATTGCTTTTCTTTCCTCCAGATACTGAGCCCACGTCCACTGCTCTGTCTTACTGTCTCCAGCTACAGCAAAAGTAGTATTATTTTTGCAATATGTGTAACAGTGACATGTAATAATACAAGATCAAGGGAGAAAGAATTCAATAAACAGCGAACAGCTAAGTTCTGTCCATTTCAAAGTAAAATGTTACATAAAACATTATATAACCAATGGAATCATGTAGCAGCCCCTCCTCCCTCTTACTGTATGCTCTAATGTCACATAAACTAGACCCTCATGCCCCCCCCTCAACTCAAAGATGTGGAGCAAGAGCCAGGACATCACCAGGGTTATCAAGGGGGCCTCTTCCTTCATTGGTGATTCTTAAAGTTAGACCCACCACACCCCAGGGAGGATATAAGCTCTGACATCCCAGAGCCACGGCCCTCCATGCTAACTCTCCCTGCCCATCATCTCCACTCGTGAAAAGACAGGAGGAGAAAAGCAGACAGAAGAGTTTGCAGAGTACTGATAGGTCAGAGAGAATGTTCAGAGCTGGATAAAGTACTCTGATCACTTGATGACACAATTCAGCAGCCCTATAAAACGTGCATCTGTTGATATTACAGAGAGATCTGATTTAATTTTAAAGGTAATTCTTCTTCCTGTTACTTAAACATGACTTGCCATTGTAAGATATCCTCCTTTGTATTTAAAATGAGAAGGGAGAAAAAAACAATACACTGCACACAAAAACAAAAACAAACAAGCAAAGGAAGCGCCAAATAACATTTAAAAGTGTTTGATGATGATATACGAGACCAAGGGCCAGATCCCCTAAGAATGGATTCTGCACAGAAAATATCACCTGCAATATGCCTCGTTTAGCACCCTATCCACAACAGAATTTACACTTTTTATATGCCGGCACTAACATGCACACAGAGTTGTCCTGTTCTGCACAGTTCACTCTTGTTTTGCATCTTAATGTTGAGAAAAGCCGTCTGCAGCTTTGCTCTGTGCAGAGCTGTACTCTAAGCTGATGAAGCTGTTTTGGCCACATAAAGATGATGAGCTAGGAGCGGAGAGGAAACTTTTTCAGGGTTTATTTGGATGCCACTAAAGCTAAACTTTAAAAATATATACAGTGTTTAGATCAAAGCCTCTTCTTAATGGAGCAAGCAGGAGGAAGTTAAGAAAAAAAACCTTGCATCTTTGTGTGCAACTGCTCCAAACCTCTCCACAGACTGATTTAAACCGTGGTTATTAATTATAGTCATATCAAAGTAATAATTACAATCTTAACAGATCATTTCTTTTAATGTCATATAGAGGTGGTGTTGTTTTCTAGATCACTAAAAAGTTTGCGTGTGACAGCTCTTACAAATACTGCATCACAGTTACCCCCAAGCTGAGAGCAATGTGCTGTTGTTTTGTGTTAATTTGAGTACACAGAGAGACAGAGCAAGAAAGAAGGAAGGAGATGTTGCACCGATTAAATACTCAGGTATTAATGGCATAATAACACCACTGCTACTGGCTGTCGCAATTAGCGCTGGTCTTTGTAGATGAGATGGTATTTGCAACAAGGCTTATTTGCATAGGAAGGGGCAATTTTTTTAATATTCCTTAATTTACATTGATGCAAATGAGGCAGGCACACACAGGGCGCAGGTCAAGTTTGTGCGCATTTCACCCTTTGCATGCTTTGTGGATTCCACGCTATCTTTTTCTCTCACATGCAAAGGTTTTTCGCCCGCAAAAGCGGCACAATTCTTTTGTGGATCTGGCCAAAAATGTGAAAAAAAGTAATAGTCCAACCTCTGATTTGTCTGATGTCTGCTTTAGAATCATCCATTTTCTCATCCTGCAAACATAAGAGAATTAACAGGACTTAAAATCAGAGGAAACAAAGTCACTGAATTAGACCAGACAGTGGTAGGAAAAAAAACATTTAGAGCAGTTTGCCAGACCCATATGACCCACTTTTGCTCAAAAATCAGTCTTCATGCGCACATTTTCATAAATAACTGTTTTAAATCATTCAAAGGAATAGCAATGATGTCCCACCGTGCCTTCCATGTCAGAGTCTTCTTCAGAGGGACTCAGGTATTCTTTCCTCTTTCTCTTCCTCATGGGTTTCAGATGATCAGGGTTAAGAGATGAGATTCTCCCACCTGCTGGCACCTTCTCTACCCCGATGATCCTCCTGAGGTGCAGACAGGACAGATAAAAGTTATTTTCTCTGAGCAGGGTATCTATCTTTGTCATTCACAGCATAGATGTTGTTGTACTTCACAGTCTCTGTGAAACTGCCTTCCCTGGCTTGTTACTTTAAATCAAACACAGGTATACTGCTGCTACTGTGTACAGTATATTTAAATATATAACTTCAAACTATAGCTGTTCTATCCTTTGGTGCTACCTGCTGCTGGAATCTGAATTTCCTGAGGGAACCTTCCCAAGGAATTAATAAAGTTCCTATCTATATCTGTCTATCTATCTATCTATCTATCTATATATATAGATATATACATCTGTCTGACTATCTATCTATCTATCTATGAGATTGTTATGAGCCAGCTAGTTAGTCCAAATGAGGGGGAAATCTGGAGCCCTAAACATTCATTGCATGAGTGTGCTGCGATTAAATGTGTATTTCTCCATAATGGCAAACATTTAGATACAAATTCTGAGACCAATAAAATGAACGACATATACACAGTTCAAAACATCCGCTTTTGCTCCACAGCCATCCACCCACCATACTGTGCATCATTTTTAACATTCAGAGGACACACTGGACTACACAACTGACTGGTACCAACACTTTGAAACATATGAGTGCCAGGATTAAAAAAAAAAAACATGAACACATATGTGACTGAATCAACAAGAAATAAGGAGGGGAACAGTGTGAACATAAGCATATGTGTCGGGATGCATGTGTGGGATGAAAAGAGAGGCAGTTTTTACCCACTTACTTGTCAGTAATGGGCTCCCTGCGGAGCTCCTCTGCGTATGTCCTTTGAGCTCGTGGATCATGGTTGTGTTGTCCTGGTCCGATCTGGACTTCAGGTTTGCCTGGCATCAACAACCTTTCTGGCTCAACAGTCACAGCGCTCATGGAGACACCAGGGGCCGACACATCTGATATAAGAAACAAAATGAAACTACATGAAAAACTGAATGACTTCTATATCGTGTTGGTGCTGTCACTGCATTCTGATTGTATTGCTCTTATATTACTTTTTGGACTATGTTGACATTTACTTATCACGCCAGTCCATTTAGAATTGAATTGAAATTTATTTTGGACATGAATAAATTACATTTACAAGTGAACAAATGAAGGGAAACCCCTCCCCCATAAGTCATTGATGATTCATGCTTCCATGCAGACAGAAGGTGAGGGGCCGAGTTGACCACTGCACAGAGGAGGCTCAGGTGTGTGTGGAGAATACGTCACTAAAGACGAAAAGAGAACTGCGGTAACTTCCAAAATATGCAAATCCATTTTGGACGAATTTGCATAAAAGGAAAAGTATGATGGAGTCTAATCGCCAAAGACATTTATCTTCCTAAACTTGTTAAATAAATTAAAGTTCACTCTTAATTAAGTCTCTTCTGGTTTAAATAGAAATATAAAAACTTTTCCTGGTCACACGCACACTAACAGTTTGGAAAGTACCCTAAATCTGTAATTCGATTGTGCTTTTGCCTTTTCAAAACATCTGAGTGATGTCTGCGTGACATGTTTGTAGATGGACTCGTAATCTTCACAAACAAGAGGTGTCGCTGATGTAAGTATTACTCGCTTTAGCGTTATATACACACTAATAATCTTCTAAGAACAATAAAGTCATTTATAGACAATAACCTAGCCAAATTAACTTGATGCCTATAACACCAGCAAGACTTTTCACATTTTTGTGAGTAAATTGGAGATGCTCATGTGGTACATCTGAAAACAGAGCATTGATCGTGATAAAGCTAATTCAATAGTGTCCATGCAAATTGAAATGTTTGAATGAATTGCTGTATTTTGTGTTCAGTCTCTGGTGTCTCTTTAACCTTATGTAAGCGTGACTCTACCTGACATGCCCACTGGAGAACTTTCTGCATCAGTGGATCTCACAGACGTTCTGGCTGCTGGTTCGGTGATGCTGCTGGTGGTCCCTGGGGTGATCAGTGTGCTTAGCGTTCCTACTTCACTTACACAAAACTATACACATACACAAAAACACACATGTACACACACCAACACAAACACACAGAAAGGCATCAATGAATCAATTTGTCAAAATGTGTCTTGAGCCTTTATCATACATGGCTCCTAAATCCCTGAAAATGTAAAGGACAGGCTGCCCCTAAAACCTTCCTGACTTGCCTGTTAACACATGCACATCACAGCTGATTAAAAAAGTCTAGAAATCTATATTTTATCTGTTACTGTTACAGGAGATTCTATATTGTCAGATGGTGGGGGTAGATACATACTGGCGAGTATGAAGCAGCTTCATTAAGGACACAAAGTTTTCACAGGTTGCTCACAGGTGACAGAATATAAATGTCATCAACCCCCGAATCCTCGCTTGCATCGAATCTTTCAGATAATTTCCTGCTGCGTTCTTTCATCAGCTCACCTCGACTTCAGACAGAGATTTTGCGAGGCGGCTGACAGGAAAATCCTGAGTAGAGTCTGCGTGAACATCTGTTTGTTTTTGTTCACACATGCATCTCACTCCAAAAGAAATCTAGAAATCCCCAGGAGATATATGTATAAAAACACAATGGTTTTCACGAGCATTTAGACATTTCTCCTCAATAATTTGCACATATGCATTTTTTGTAGTTTCCATGTTCCTAGCCTGAAACCAACAGAAAAACAAACGGGATTTTCTTCTTTTTTTTTTGCAATTCAGAAGTTATTAGCAATATCATTCTGTTTAAAACACCCTCTTTAAAGTTGGCTCCATATTGGGTTTTTGTATTTTACAAATACAATCGCACCCTCAACCATAAAACTGATGGCCGAAGCTTCCATGCAAGGTGCCAGTATCTATTCTAATCATAACACACACACTCATAAACCAATGAAACTGAATTAGAAAAAGTATCAGTATCTTGCCAAAGGACCCTTTGACTTTCAGGCCTGAGGGGCGGGGGAATTATGCTCCCAGCTTTCTATTTATTTGCTGACCCTTTCAACCATCTGAGCCACAACCACAACTGATGTGATCAGTTCTTCAGTGTGGAATCTAATATTTGAATCATCATCATTTGACTGAGTAGTACTCTGTTTAATGTTCTGTTTTTGTAGTTCATCTTATGAACAGATACTTCCAATGTTTTGAGTTATTCTAAAGCTGCGATCACAAGATCAATAAGATCCTTGAGCCATAAGAATGATATATGCAATTCTTTAACTTGACAAGCAAGGTAAGAAATGCTAGAAATCTGTCCTGAAAAAGATGCTTAGAGGAAACGTAAACTTGTAATCAATTGTTTTATTTCACGACAAACGTTGAAACTTAAACATCGCTTTACCTTGAGGTTGCTGTTGGGCAGGATGGCCATTCCCTCCTTCCACTCTAGGACATGGACAATGCTACAAGCCCCTCCTACCTGTGCTGTCAGGGTGGGGGCGGCCGTCTCATTAGCCCTGCCTCTTTTACCTGGTTCTCCTACTGCGAGAGCTGGTGTCACCTCTATCTTCTGATGGCCAGGAGCTGAAAAGAGAGTTGAATTCATATTCCTTAACTGTCTGCATGACCTCACCTTAGTGAGCACAAATTGTTTAACTGTTTCATCATGTTTTGAACTGAGTTCCATTAAGTCGACATGTTGGCCTGACTAACAGGAACCAGTATTCTTTTTATTATTATTTATTTAATTTTTTTTACAATTTACAACACCTTTCATTCACATAACCCATCAATCGATCTGCTGTAATACATTAGTAATTCCTAATGAAGCCTTTAGCTGTTTGTCTCAAGCAGAGATGAAGAGTGGGCTGCAGAGGTCTGGTAAGCTCGTTTTAACTATCAAATATCTTTCTTTTTAAAAATGGTAGCCTACTGCCCTTATTAACATTGATTGTAACAATTGGTTTTATTGAAACTTGGCTAAATAGCCAGAAAGTGTCTATGATCTCTATCAATGGCTATAATCACTATCCTTATTTTAGATCATATTGAAGTTAAAGAGAATGTTGTTAAAGAGAACATTGGATCTTCCCTCTGCAATGATCTTGTTGCTTTAGTTGGAGATGAAGCTGAGGCTGTCTTTTTAGAGCTTGTTGAGCTTTTCTCTCGAAACAAGGTTATCGTTGGCTGTATTTAAAGGCCACCAAATTACATTATAAATGGCTTTACTTTTCTCTCATGATTTCGAGAGAAAAAAAGCTATATTATGGGGGATTTCAACAATCTACCTCCTAAATAGCCTCATTATCCCGATGTATTGACCATGCCTTGTCTTTCCTCCCTCTTATAACTAAGGCAACAAAAAATGACTGCCAAAAATGAAAATGTGATTGGTAATACATTTACAAACTCCTATTGTGTCTCTGGGATTCCTGTTATTTTGTTCTGCAACTTATTTGACCATCTTCCTGTATTTCATTTTGCGCCCCTTAATTGCCAAAAGAAATCCTATTAACAAGGTTTGTCTCCAAAATTTTAATAGCAGAAATATGAATTTGGTCTATCACCTTTAAAAGCAACCGTAACTGTATTTTTTCTCTAAAAAAAAATATTTAATCAAAATGATCACATTCTCCAACAGATTTAGCAGTTGTACTCCTTTGTTCCAATCTCTACAAATTATCTATATTTTTGTTTCAAATATGTTTCTTTGTTTTCCAATCTATTAACAACTTACTACCATCCTGTTTTCAAAATGCACTTCAGTTCAACTCCAAAACCCCAACATTACAATACAGGGTCAGACAATAATCTTCATCCATACTTCGTGGCCGGGCTGCCGTCCTCAGAGAAATGCTCACCTGGCAGGAGAAAAGCTGTGGTGGTGTGTGTCTGTGGTCGAGCGTTCTTGGCCACATCCTCACTCCCACTGATAAGAACAACCTTGCTGGGGGATGAGGAGGATGGTTCCAAAGGGGTGCAATCAGGTTCTTTAGGTGGAGCCTCCATGCTCAGTGTGGCACTCTTATCTTTCCCTTACTTTGGGGCACTGGAAAGTTTGGAGAACAGTAGAAAGACTTCCTTCAGCTTTATAGCACAAAATCTTAGGTGAGCTTTCACAATCCATTTGTGTTCTTATTTTAAATTAGGTACAACCACAACAGAAAGCTGCCTGCAAAGCTAATTTGTAGGCCTATTTCTGGACGTAAACAGAGTGGACTTACAATCTCAGGTGCAATTAACGTTCTTCTATTCTGCCTTTAATGGACAAAACATAAATGTTTTTAACAGTTGTTAAATGTGCCTAAATGTTTTGCTTTTTAGAGGATTTTTAGAAGATTTACTCATACAATCCACAGCTGGGAATCAAAAAGTAGGAAAACACTACAGTCATTACAAATAAGCAAAGATATTGGATGTGAACAAACTTTTGTGTTGTACTATTTCTGGAGATGAATAAGCATAGAAACTCTGTTCTAATTTTTTCTTCATCCAAAATGTATCTCAGACATATAATGGCAAAACAAATAATATAAACAATAAAACAAATGTGAAAACAACGAAAACTAAGAGATTCTCCCCAATTTGACAAAAATACATTTACAAAAGTTTTTGAAGTCCCACTTTAAAAACTAATGCCAGAGCAGAAATGCCCTCCTTCATTACCAATCATGACCTGGTATGACTTTTTAACAGCCATCCACTGCATCCAATAAAAAACATCAAACACATTCACGCATCGGCTGCGAAATACATACACACAAAATATCTTTTCAGTTAAAATGGCGGAGGAACAGAGTCCTTGAGGCATATAAATGTGTAAAAACAGTGTCTTAAATTCAGTGAAATCCCATTTAGTGAGAATGTACCCTGTGTAACCCATTTCAGGTGCACCTCAAATTAATGAAAAACCTTTTTTTAACCTGAAAACAACGTCAAGCATTTTATATATCTGTGTTTCACCTCGGCACGGCCACCTCTGCGACTGTAAAACATTTAACTGGATTAAGTTAATTAAGCGTTATCAAATTGAGTGTCTTTTTGACGAAAAGCATTGTGGTAGATGCTATCCATGTCGACAAACCACTTCACTTTAACACACAAAAACATTGTACGGTTTTACAAGACATGTGGTTCAAATATGTCGGTGTCTATATGAACAAATATTGAATAAATAAAAATTGACAAATTTGTTGTTAAAGACATCAATTCGAAACTGAATTTTGGCTTACCAGCTCCGATCGTCTGCGGCTTCTCGGCTGCGACTGCGCATGCGCGTTTCCCCTGTACAGTCACTGCTAGATGGTTTAAATGTAACGTCAAAAGATTTTCAGAGCAATTGTTCCACTTTCAGTAATGGTTGATTTTGAGAAAACAACACAATGGACATTAGAATTGTCGATATAAACCTCTTTAGATGTAGCTCGAAGGTTTTTCGTTGCAAATTCAAAGCAGCGGGTTGTGCCTGCTCCCGCGGCACATTCATCCTGTTCATTTTTATCCGTAATGAAAAATAATTTATTATATATTTAGCAGGATATAGGTCATGTTGTTTGTGCAGTCCATGTCTTTGTACTCCTCACACAAAGTGACATCAAAGATCAAGAGTTTTATTAAGATCTTTAATTATACATACAATTAAAAAAAGGACATTTCTGTGAGATCTCAGGCGCATGGAAAAAAAAATATGAATCTGAAAACATGGACTATGGGCATGCACTCAGTATATATAAGGTTTGTTATAATAAACTTTAAAGCAAATCAAATAGATTTGAAGCAAGAACTGCCAGTACTAGCTGCACATTTTATACAAGTAGAGGATTAACAAAACCCACAACTCAAATAAGGAAAAAAAGAAGCGAGCGACCCGAGGCTGCACACAGATCAAAGCAGGAAATAAAGAAAATTGACACTGCATGAGGGCTTGAAGCTCTAGTAAAATCTAAATCCAGAAAATACAAACAGCCTTCAGCAGATTACCTACTCAATGTTTAAAAAAAAAAAAAATCAAAAAAAATCACTGGCATCTAAAACATTAAGTGATGCTGATCTCATGGTCTATGCATGTGACGTTTAAAACTCAAATCATAGTAGCCGACCTACAATGAAAATAGTTTTAACATGGATAAAAATCTTCAATATTTCATGTCAATATGCATTCCTTCAGTAGAAGTTTATCTATCAGAGTTGAACAACTGACAATACTGCAAGTCAACTGAGATCGATCAACTCCTTGAGAAAGAAATTACTGACTTGAGACCAAAAGGCAATAGCTCCAACACTGCAATTAAAGGCTACTTTTCTACAACCATGCTCTTTAGGTGAGCTTAAGACAATGTCTGATGGACGAGCTCTGAAATAGACATTTTAGAACATCGTATCAATCTACCCAATCTGTTGATTGGAGTTACGGTAAACTAAAAAAAAAAAAAAAAAGGCCTTTTCCTACACTATAACCAGTTTGTGAGGTTTGATTGTAGTACATGTACATTTTTGGGACATTGTTATCACTTCTGAAATGTTGAGACATTCAGCCCTGTCCATTGACTGTTCTGGTATGTTATAAGGGAAAGTTATAAGGACAAAAGTCTAAGTCTGAATTTTATTTAAAGTACCTCTACTACTGTGGCAAATCCTCAAGCTACGTCATCTATAAGCATATTTAAGAACAGTGTGTAGTTGAAGGGGAAAAGTAGACAAGTCAGGAAGCACAGACCAGTATGATGACACCGCTAAAAATGTACAGCAAAGTGATCAAGCTTACAATGAAAGAAAAATTAGTTTTCCATTTCCACTAATCCTGAGAAGCTGATCTAGACCGTGAACGAGACCTCGAGCGGCTTGCTGACCTCCTCTCTCTTGATTTGGATTGACGATCATCCTCCTGTGGAGATGGGGAGCGGGAGGCAGACTTGGTTGCACGTTCCTCTTTCCCATTCTCAAGCGGGGAAGGTGATCGACTGCACGACTTCTTGTCACCGGAAATCTCCTTTGATCGACTACGAGAATCTCGCTCCGACTTTACCTTTGAGCGACTCTTTGACCGGGATTTGCGTTCAGCTGAACGTGATTTCCGGTCAGCTGAGCGTGATTTCTGTTCAGCTGATCTCGATTTCCGCTCAGCAGAACGCGAGTGTGATTTGTGGGAGCGAGAACGAGACTTAGATTTACGGGAGTTGGAACGGGACCTGCGGTTACGAGAACGTGATTTGCTTTCTCCTGACTTGGAGCGAGACTTCCTTCCTGATCTGGAGCGTGAATGATGACGTCTCTTGTTGCTACGGGAACGAGACCTGTAACGAATAAAAGAAACACACACATCAATCATTGTTCGCATGGCTCCAATTCATAACAAGCATTATCCTGAGACACTTTACATGACTGCACTAACTAACAGGCAAAGGACACATCAGATCCCCTGAACCCGATCTAGAGACATAAATATACTCCAAGATTAGACTCAATCTTACCTTGAGTTGGATCGGGAACGACTCCTGGAGCTCCTGCGGCTTCTGCTGCGAGAACGGCGGTGACTACGTGATCTATGGGTGACAGCACAAAAGTTAAGACAGAACTAAAGCTACTGCTTGAAAACATGTTAGTGCTACAAGAGTGTTAGTGACACACAGACGGTACTGGCTGATCCCTCTGATATCAAGATCCCTTCATTAAATGGGTGCTGTATAGTTTAGACCAATCAGTCACAATCATGATTGAGAAGACAATTTTCACATATGAACTCCTGAGACCTGTAGAAAATCTCAGGTGACTGCCTCTAATATTCTCATAAAAAGAACAACACAGAAGTGGTTGATAAAGTAGACGCATTGACTCAGAAAGTTTTCTCACCTTGAGCGGCTGCCAGAGTAAGACCTTCGTTTGCGAGTTCGGTCCGGCACTAGACGAATTTTTCGCCCATTGATGTCGGTGCCATCCAGCTTGTCGATAGCCCTCTTCATGTCCGACTGGGAACGGAACTCGATCACCCCCTCATTTGTACGTTCCTTGTGGGCATCTGCGTATGTCACCTCTCCAGCCTGACGCATGAAGTCCTTGAGAACACAAAGTGTTAAAGGAAACCCCTTAAACAATGCTGGGAATATACTTATGTCTGAACAGTTCAGCAGTGTAAATGTTGTTCCTCTAATGACAACCAAGTAGACAAGGGTCCGGGTTAAATATATACCTTGAGGTCCTGCCAGCTGCAGCGACTAGACAAGTTCTCCACGATGAGACGGTACTCAGTACGGACTGGGGGTCCATATTTATCCCTGCCAGCACGGGTGCGGCTGCTGTAACCACTACCTTAAAAAAAAAAAAAAAAAAAAAACAGCACGTGAAAGTTAGAAACAACTTAAATGGTCATGGTGCAAAAACATGCTGAGGAGCCATTAAAATAAAACACAAGTCACAGACATGTCTCATCAATGTCTAAAAGGGAATTAAATTTAAAAAGGAATGAGTCCCTCTGATCTCGTTTTTAAACACAAAGCTTCAGATAAGTGTTCTACAAGCCACTGCATGGGCTTTTTGTATTGTTCAACATTCTGAAGTGGTTCTCTGCTGCAAAGAACACCACTGCATATGTTTCCAGCGATACAAAGCCCTCTTACTCCAGCACATTACACTGTGATTCTTTAGCTGCATAAACAAATGGACAGTGATGTTCTTTCATGACCTCTGAACCCTGTAACACAAACAAAAGGGGGATATCCACATAGGTTGCGGTCAAGAATATTGTTGGATGAAATCAAGAATGAACGATGTAAAGAGATACATACACTAATCTTAAGGAATTGGTTTCTGACAGGAGTTCAGTCCAAAATGTTTTTTTCCCAACTTTTCTCACTTACAACATTTCTTTGATTGCAAGCTCTTTACTAGAGCGGTCCACTTATGTTTGCTGTCAACATAGAAACCAATGGCAATCCTCACCATCGCCCCTGGTCTATTGGCAAAAGGCTGAAGTCATCATGGCTTCCGGTTAGGTCAGCCAAGGATCAAGGGGGGTAAAGGTCACACACACATTGTAAGGTGAAAGCCAAGGCCAAACGGGACAGGCAGTCATCTTAGCCAGTCATCTTTAGCCTCAATGGACTCTCAGCCTCAGCCCGCAACTGGACTCTTTCAAATTGAAACATCAAGGACTTTTGTTAATATGGAATATGAAAATATATACCAATGTTAACAATACACATTTCACATAAAAACCTAAGTCTGGTCCTAGTTATGAGCTTATACTTCACTAGCTAGGTTTGTGGTGGATGATGTGTTGTAAGCTTTCTTCTCTGGTGCAAACAACATATTAGAGATTTCCCACCATATGACTTGGCTCACCAAGTTTATGATTATCGCCCATGAGAACTATGCTGCAATCCCTGGAAAGAAAGCCCGGCCTCCTTCATGTTTTAGTTGCTAATGCCAGCATACACACTGGGGTTTTGCTTTCCGAGGGCTGTGGCTTGCAGACTGCTGTTCCTTCCCGGTATTGAACCAATGGCCAATCATGCCCGTCCATGATCAAGTAAGGAGGAGCAACAAACTGCAGGTCAGCAACCCATGATGGTCAAACTATGAACTGTTTTTAAAGTAAGATCACACACAAGACAAAATGTAAAACTGGATTTCAAAAACAAGAATAATTTAGATTTGTCCTGGTTTCATAGGAGCTCCTCCATGGGGCACGTTTAAAAACCACTGCATTTAAAATAGGAAAGAGTCTGCATGCATCTGGGTTGTAGTAAAGTAGGTGGCAATGTTAACGATCAGTATGGGATTTAAGACTGTTGCATGTAACTTTTAAAGTGTACCGTAAAACAATAATAAATGTATTAGGTCAATATGCGCCGACATGAAACAACAAACTGCTCTATGTGCAGTCGACACCTCACCCCTTGGGAAGGGAGAGAGGGTGCATCTAGAAATGGACTGAACTTACTGCGCCCACCACCCCCGTAACCCCCACTGTGGCCATCTCGATCTCGCCGTGGCCCCCGAGCATGTTCCACGATCACCCGCTCCCCGCACAGATCCTTCCCGTTCAGCTCGTACACGGCATCGTCGGCATCCCGGTTATCCTCGAACTCCACGAATCCATATCTGAAAGTGAGAGACAATGTATTACATCAAACAACCAACTCAAGACGTTTCTGTCCCGATTGCACGACACAAAGTGTTCTTTCACGGAGAACTAGCTGGTTATCGTTAGCCCGGCCCGCTAGCTTTAGCAAACACAAAGACGCCATGTTGGCCATGCGACGTGGGCCACACGCACAACATGAGAAGTTGTAAAATAGAAAAACAAGACACTATGTGTGCTAATATAACAGAACAACTCACAGGGTTAACTTTGCGAGTCTATTAGAGTGTGTAGAAACACATTTGCTTAAAACTTTAAATGTCCAAGTGCCATTGCTGTAACCGTCAATATCCCTGTCAGCTAGGACGGCTTGAGTAGTCCGCGTTTACATTTCCAACCTAAAACACTCACCCATTTTTTAGATCTATTTCCATGAGCTTTCCATATCCACTAAAAAAACGCTGTATGTCCTTTTCACGGACATGATAGCTCAGACGTCCAATATAAACACGGGGCATGGCTCTCGACTCTTCTACACCACGGCTTCGAAGAGGCTGTCCTCTGCTGTTGCTGTTCACTCTGCTGCATCGATCGCCAACAAGCCTTAAGTGGTGTTGCAGAATAGGCCAATCACAGCGAAACATGGTAGGAGACTTCCGGGTGTTGCATGCACCTCGCATGATGTGTGTAAAATATTTATAAATGTTATTTCTCGGGGCAGATATCAATACGCTTCCGTAGATATATAATGACAAAGTAGCTGAAGTTAATACTTCATATACGTTTATTGTCCTTATTGTGCTGTAGACTCGGCAGAAGACGCATTTCAATATGACCTGCTAACAGTGTTTGACTCTTAAGTGTCTGGAGCATAGCTTGTAAATTCTGTAGAGGAAATTTACAGGGTGAATGCAAAATATGGCAGCAAAGTATTTTAGGGGGGATGCAAAACTCTGAAGTGTAGAAATCCGTCTGCCATATATTGAATTGTACTGCCAGGTGCACGCATTTCTCTGCATAACACCGTTATTCTACTTTAATGAAATGCAATTGTTATCTTTTTGATTATACAAGATTAAAATAATTGTGTATTTCGTATAATAAAGATGTCACAGCGGCGAATCTCGAATGGACCTAATTGAGCATTGGGTTAATATTTTCTGTTCGTCATGTACAACAGCCGAAGGTTATATGTAGGGTTTTCCTTTTGTTCAATGCAGTCATTAACTGAGTAAGATAGCCCATTGACCGAGGGACTAATAGAGTAATACATACGATGAATGTTTTAAATGAAGACTATAAAAGAGGTTTATTTACATCTAATATTTTGGCCTTCAGAAAAAGCAACATGGCAAAAATATAATTTCATTTAAATAATTTTAAAGCGGAATATTAAGAGACATTTACCATGTTAAAAGTTTATTTAGATCCATGGATTCATCAGTTCTTTTGCACAAGCATCAACAGAGACCAGGAATGGAGAGAGTAGAATTTTATTTTTGTAAAAACCAGTTTGAAATTCTATAAGCCAGACCATATCCACATTCTTCAAACAAGACCAGAACCAATATGAGGTATGGAGTATAATTCAACTGGAACTCTTCCTGTCACATCTTTTTTTGAATTATCAGACTTGTATATAATGTAGCTCTCTGCTCAGAATCTGTTTTTAAGGGGTCTTGCATAAGCTTCAGAAACCTGCTGCTCTTGACTTACCGACTTAAATTTATTTTCACAACCTCTTAATCAAGTCTCCAAGTTTTTTAAAATTTGTTTGCCTTTACTTCAGAAATGTAATAAAGTATGAAGAAAACAACTGCCCTAACAGCACTCAAAAACAAACTATCATTTCTGTTAGTCTCTCAAAAACACACACACTTCTCTATGAAAGAGAGAAGATGCTCTCCCCTTTACCAAGTTATAGTAATCAAACTTTGTTGTCATCTTCAGTAATAATCATAACTAGGAGGCCTGTTGGATCCTGTCACTGACAAGTACTGGACTGGCAGTATGTAAGTTCGGATTTTGGAATTAAGAACTACAAACCCAGATGCAACTTAGCTCTGTTAATGGAGATGAGCTTAGCTAAAAGCTGGAAAAGGCTTTATTCTCTTAAACAGTACTCAGTAAGTAAAATGTTTTAATGAATACACCTGTGCATAAGCAGTCTGCCACATGGTCAAGCTAATAAGGCTCTAGGAAGAAAGACTTCATATGCAGTACAAATTTATGTTTAGGGGGAGTGGCTTTGGCATTCATTTTGTTGGACAATATCAAAACCTAGCCTGCTCCTGCTGGTCTCCTCAAAGTTGCCTAGCCCTGCTTATCTACACTTTGCCTTGCTGCATGGAGAAATGTAATCTGCAACTGAAGTTTACTCATGACTAGAATGAATTAGGTTGCAAGCCATATTAAATCAAGGTGTTCTTCAAAAAACAAGAATTCAAGAAAATAAAAAAAAAACCTAGTTGGTGGAGGGTTCATCTGCCCGACAACAAATGAAATGAATCCAACAGTGTATGTGGTACATATAATATGTTAACAGTACCTGAACCCCAGCTGTCAGCTTTAGATACTCTCTCACTCTGTGCCTGGTCAGGCCATGATACAACTGAACAACAGGCAAACCCTCCCACAGTTCGATTTAGAGAGTCCTTTAGTAATTCAATGTGCCTTCCAACCCAGGCCTCGGTAATTTTGATTGGAAAAAGGGGAGGCTGAGAGGGGATGGAGCCCAGTGTAGATGGTCTTCAGTTGGCTTTGGCGCGGAGCTGCGCCCTCTTGCTTGTCACAGCCTGGAAGCCAGTCTTGATGCTGGCTACAGAACAGCGGGAGTGGCACGTTTCACACTGCAGGAAATAGAGGCGAGTGTCCTTCTGCAGGATGGTCTCTGGGGAGCGGCAGGTGTGACACGTAACATATTCCTCTGAAAAGGGGGAGAAGACTGATTTTAGCACTGCAGTACATGATAGAATTCACTATTCTCTTATTCACCATTCCTTTTCTGTACCCAACAGCTTCAGGCTTTGTCTTACTATAGAAAAATGGAATCATTAACTGAGTATGTTGCCTAGATCAACAATGTAACTCAATATATGTATCTAATTAGGTCAGAAGGACGTTGAGCTAAGATTGGTCCTTTCACCAAATCTTTTTCTGCTGATGTTTGTTTTGATCAGTACAGAATCTTAGCTGAGGAAATGTCTATTTGCCACAATTTTGTGTTAGTAATCTACAAAACAATGTCATGCATTTACAATCGAAAAAAACTGTATGGGCATCACATCACATTAGCCTTCATGAACTAAGTTGGTAATGTGGGAAATTTGACCACTCATTTATTTTGTGTTTGTGTTAAGGGGGCTGATGTAAACACTAAAATTTCACAGTTAAAAAGTCAAACAGGCATGTGATTGGAAAATGATGAAAGAGCAGGAAAGTGTTGATGCAGAGATTCTAATCATTCATTTGAAGTTCATTTGTATTCGTTGTGCTTTAAATGAAGGGTTAAAGTGCTACTCACTGATATATCTTCTCAACACGTTTTCTATCTGTTTCTGTTGAAATCTGCCTTTGATCACCAGCTGGTTATTTCCATCTATGGAACCACTGTAAACAGAAGACAGGCACAAATCAGAAGAACAAACTCTCAGAACAGCACACAGACATACGTTTACAGTCAATGTTTTTTCACTTTGAAACAGCTCATTCAGTTTGACATAAAGTCCAATGATGGTATATTCCTGAACCGTATTATAGTCAATATAAAAAAATCATACCTTGTTCCCAGCTCAGCCAACAGGAAAGCAAGAAGATGTTTAGGCTGACGATGCAACCTGTGATAAAGTACATGAAAGGTTAAGCACGTGACATGATTTATGACTTTTGAGTTGGTTCAGTTTCTGTTTGATGCCAAGCACTATTGTCCATTAGTGTTTCAGAGGGTATCAGGCCATATGCAGGAGAACAGCACATCCCAAGACCAAGAGGTGGAACAAATTGTATTGGCAATTATCTGACAACAACTTGTATTTTATTAATCTATATCAACACATCGTGCTAAGCACAGCAGCTCCGAAAACGCCCGAGCGCATATGGAGGAAAAAAATCAGCTGAGAGCGCCTGTTGCTGTGTGTGCATAAGAGCAACTGAATGGGGGAGCAAACTTGGATCTCTCACTGTTGCTTTGCTCCTAATTGAGAGGGGGGGGGAATGTTATGAAAAACAGAGGTAAAGCCTCCTTCTTGATGTGATTGGCTGCTACGGCCAACATCGGACCACTGCACTGCATCGAACAGCCACTAACATTGACAAGCACTGTGACTGAAAAGTTGAAAAAGTGTTAACTTTTATGCGTGCCCAAAACCAGCTGGCAAAAACATGTCGCACAGCAGCAGAAAAGAGCACCCAGCAAGCGCGCTGTACCATTGGAAGACAATGGTTTTGCTGGGGATGTTTTCTAGCTCAGTGTCTGTGTGATCAGGCCGCAAGTCTTTTAACTTCAAATCAATTCTCTCTTCACAACAAAAATTATTATCACACAGAAAAGGAAATCTCAGGTGGATGTCCTCTACTGTTGGTTGTTGGTCATCACTCCCAAAGGTTTTATCAATGTCAGACAGTAGGGGAGAGTCATTAGCATATGACCTTTCAGATGTGTATCAAAGTATTCTGGAATTGACTGTAACAGTGGGAGAGGTCAGTGTGTACAAAGAGCAGATAGCAGAAGAGGCTCACAGTTTGCAGATGTCTGTGAAGTTGACGAACGAGGTTTTCTTGGTTCCCACTCGGACCACCTGAGGAGGCTTCATCACAAACTTCCTCTTCTCTCCAGCCACCATGTCGGGGTTCTTCTCTCTCATGATGTTGAAGACTCGATTCAGGAGCTGAGACAGAGATGGTGCAAGGAGTGGCTGTAGTTAACACTGACCACATAATATGCACCAGGAACTATATATATATATATATATATATATATAGTTCTCCTTTGGTTTAATCATTTTTAGTTTTGCATTTAAAAAAGACTATGAAACAGGGTAGGAGAGAGAGTACTCCAGATCAAAAGGACATTAAGGGTTCTTTAGAATGTGAAAAACATTTAATACAATGATTTTTAAAAAGTTCTAACTAATGTATTATCGCCTATCATTGAGCATCGTACTTCATTTTGTCCATGTTAATTAATGTCATAAAGACAGTTTTCTGGCACTTCAACCTGAGACACTTTTTTAACCATTGCTGAAATATGAATCTGCAGCTGGATGGACAAACAACACTGGATGCCGTTGATACGAAATACATTTTTAAATACTGTGATGATTCTTAGACATGTTTTCAAGTTATAGGAGCGACTATCTCTGAAATGTTTTATCAAAAATATGCCAACATTTATACATCTACTGTATGCGTAAGTGACAGTGAACCGATAAATATTTGTAGTATGTCTGTGTGCCCAGATCTGAGGGTGAAAACATAAACATAGCACACAACCGCTCAAATTAACTAAAAAAATAGTGCTTGTGTTTGAGATTTGAGATAAGTCCACTTATTTTCCCTCTTGGGTTAGGGTTAACCCCTTGTGACACAAATCCTTCAAGTCTTTTAGAAGCTCACGTTCAAAAGTTCCCTGGATAGAGACAGGACTTCCTTTCTGGTGCAGAGGTGTAGTCTGTTTATAGCTGAGCCTTGTTTGTGCGTGTGTGAGCAAGTGGTTGAGACCACCATCCTACCTCATCATAAGTGTAGTCTCTTTTTGAGCCTGCCCAGGTTGGTCCTGTGGAGGAGCTGAAAGATATACCATCGTTGTTTTTCCCCTCATCGTCCTCCAGAGCTGGAAACAAACAATATAAATGGCTCAGTATATATACATCTTCCTTGGGTCATCTACATCCAATTTGGGGTTTCTTACACTCACCGTCATCATTTTCCGGCAACTCTCCTTCTTCAAAGTCTACTTTCTTTGGCTTCTTCTTTTTGGTCGGAAGCATCAGGTCCAGGTTATCCTCCTCCAACACCTCTGACTGCTCTCCTTCTATTTTCAGCTCCTGATGAGAAATTTAATTCAGCAAGTACATTATGAGTAAAGTCCATGTGAATGAAGTTAAGATAAGAAAAAACTATATGTGATGTTAGAACTGATGTTAATGGAGCGGACAGACAAAGGATGATATAGTCAACAGGTGACTGACCTTTAACCCCTCCTCCACATCATTATCAAATACTTTCTTGGGTTTCTTCTTCTTTTTCTTCTGGTTGAAGAAGTTTAAGTCGTTCAAATCATCAGATGGCTCTAAGATGAAAAACAAACAAAAAATGCTTTACTCCAATTGAATCAATGCTGGTAATTACATGTACAGTGTCACGTCACTGCAGAGGAATATACACTGATCATGAGGCTTACAGTCTGTACATCTCTATTTTCCTCTTTACCTTTCTTCCTGCCTTCATCTTCATCCAGATCAAATTCCTTGTCCTCTCCAGCCTCTGGTTCTACTTCCTTGATCTCCACTTCTTTAGCCTCTTCTCCTCCCACCCCCTCTCCTCCTTCCTCATCCAGCATGAAGGGCTTCTTCTTCTTCTTCTTCTTCTTAGTCATGTTGGGATCAAAAATCATCTGAGGGAGAGAAAAGAAGATAGGATTTAAGGGTTAACTACCTAAATTAAATGATGGGTCTTCTGTTTTACCCTTTGTGTGGGAAACAATGTGTCGGATGAGAATCCAACAGTTTTTCTTAGACTGTCTTTCAATCCCTTAGATCAGGGGTGGGCAACTGGCAGCCCGGGGGCCACATGCGGCCCCCATCAACCCTCAATGTGGCCCTCAGGTAAATTTTTACACATCAATTATTTGGAACATGAAGAAAACATAACTAAATATGCCATGAAATCATGAAAGCCAGAAGTATGTCCATAATAATATTTGATCACTTGCATATGTTGAGTTAAATTTGAGACATAATTGACTGTAATCGTTTAATTTGGCCCTCTGGCAGTGAGAATTAAATGAATGTGGCCCTTGCTGTCACCAAAGTTGCCCATCCCTGCCTTAGATCTATAGACTGTGGACAATATGCATCGCTGTGATCACTTAACAGACGATGGAAACTTACACCTCCCCTGGTGAATCTGTTTAGTTTAGATTCAAATATCAAAGCCTGATAAATTAATCGGCCAGTCGATAATAACTGCTGATATTAGCATATCCAGTGACTATCGGTGTCTGCTAATTTTATCACATAAATGTGCTGATATTATTCGATTTAGTCACCACTCAAACAGCATTTCATTGGAGTAGCATTGTTTCAACTAGCAGTTCTCTTTCACCAGCAGAGTGTGCTGTATGGATTATAACAAGCATTATCACTCCAGTGTCATGCAGTGATGCATGTACTATACATGCACAGATACTCCCCAGTTCAGGGACCATCTTGACTTTTATATAAATATTAAAAAAGTTGTTTGATAGTCGTGTCGGATATTTTTCTCTTTTTAATATCGATGTCGGCCCCAAAAATCTCATATCAGTCGGGCACTAAAACATATGCCATGTTTAGAAAAAAGATAAGTTGTCCAGGTACATGTTCTGAAATGGGATCACGAGATCATTTTTTATGTCTTGTATCGTTCTTCTTTCCATCACCCACTCTAATCATAAAATAAAAAGGTTTGCCACTGTGTTCATATCATCAAGATACACTGTATCATTAAGATATCAATATAATTATCATCAACAATGATGAAGTTGAAGGCCAACAACAGACCCCTCCAGAGGTGCAGAAAAGAGGCAGATCAATGAATGTTCATGTGTATCCTGTAAGGTGAGACAGCTTCCATGTGTAGTATGGGGTTTGAAACTGAAAACTAAATACATCTTAGATATCAAATGAAACTTTAAAATACCCATCCATGTATTATCTCAGGTGGTAAAACTACTAATGACAACTAACATGAGATATTTACAAGGAAACTACTTTCATAAGCGTCATTTTGTAACGTTAACGTTCTTTACAAACATTTAAAAATAATTATCAAACTTGTTTTTTATTTTATGATGTCCACCTTCGTCGTTTTATCAAGAATCTCTGTGTAAAGCCAGTTGTCTATGTACACTGAACAGAGCTAGAAGATATCTTTTTGTTCCTGATCTTGAACATAAAGCGTTAGCACCGCAGCCTGGATGTAGCAGGAAGCTAATGATGACCACTTGGTTTCAGCTCTTCATTTCGACTTCTACATTTAAGAGGTGGATTGATTATTCGTGGAGAGTGTGAACTATCGTCGCTATATGAGAGAGCAAGATACAGCGACATGGTGGATGTTTATCATTTCAGCTGCTCGGGCCGCTGTTAGCCCGGCAGCAGCCATGTGAGAGCTGGAGCGGACAGGAAGAGGAGAAGCTGAGGCCCAAAGTCCTCCCCAACAATATCCTCCGTTAATTCACTTCATTTAAACCAAAACATCTACAAATCAACAAAGACAAAACATCCAACTATTGGCAATCACTCACCTCGTCTCCTGACATGTTTGCGGACTTAAAAGTTACCAAAATCTGGCTTCTTTATTCCCTGAATAGTCCCACACACACTACTGCTGCTGCGCTGAAAATTTCTTGCATCAGCGTTCGAGTCCCAGTACGCACGCGTAAAGTCGCAAAAACCTGACGTCATTCTTCTTCTTCTTCCTTCGGATTTTCGGCCGTCTAGATGCCCTGCAGCACATTACTGCCTCTCATAGGCCTGTATTGGTAGCACTTCAGCTATTTCCATTTTTAAGAGCAATCCTCTTGAAACTAACTGAATTTAATTACAATCAGAATTCCTATCCACAATAAAGCAGTTTTAAGCTTTTGTCTTTGCTCTTTGTATCCATGGCAACAACCCATAAATACCCATGTTGCTGTTTGCAGGCTCTGCATAGTCCATCATCATGACTGTATCTTTGCTCAGTCCCTTGTGAATTTATCATGATCATGACTTGGCCCAGATTACATTGTTTGACTTCATGCTATTTGTACTGAAAAGTTATGTTTTCGTTGTCCCACTGTCTCTTGCCACACTGCTCTTACATTTCCCTTAATGAAGAACCAACATTTGGATAACCGGATACTCTACAATTAGAGTATCCGAGTTGGTTCCGATTGTCCCAAGCAGAACCAACAATTTTACAACAAGGTCTGGCCATGCTCTCCAATTGTTTCTTCTCAGGGCTTCTAAAACTGAGGGTGAATCTGAACATATGACTATCCTCCTCTACTGGAGTTCAACTACCTACTGCAGTGCTAATATTATAGCAATCAGTTCTGTTTTATATACCAAAACTCCCTAGACAGTCATTTGAGGTTTACAATTTCATGTTAAGAAATGTAAAAGGAAACACCTGATTTTCTAGTTTGTGGGTCTTGAACCCCATCCCTATAGATCTGAAGAATTTTCCCAGTGGTTTTCTAGCCTTTGCTTGACCATCCCTGAATATGCAGTACTCTTGTGAATTTTTACACTCCCTACTAGTATACTGAAAGCCTAGCTTCTCCGCTTCTTTACTCATATTATACTTATAACACAATCTCCACCTGTTACAATTTACTTGTATCATTTTCAATAAATATTTTTTTAATTTTGTGTACCTGATTGATGACAAAAACCATACATTCCCTTGTATTTGATGTACAAAAAGATTATATTCCATATCAGAGCAATGTGTTAGCATAGTGGTTCCCAAAGTGGGGGTTGAGACCCCCCAGGGAGTTGTGAGACGCTGAGAAGGGGGTCGCGAGAGGCCTTCCATAACCAAATGCATTTTCTTAAATGATTTCAAATTGCATATTTTACCCACTTTACTGAATATATGAAAAAAAGGAGTGAAGTTTAAAATACGATAGTCGTTATTTAAGATTTATGCTGAAATGAAAGCAATGTCTATAAAAAACATCCTTTAAATGTAAGTTTGCACATAACTGCAACAATGTATGTGTCTGTTGCTCCCTGTGAATAAAAAATACACACATACATCACCTGTGTGTCTGCTTATTACATTTTGTACATCCACTCAGTCTGTTTATGCGTGAAGATTACTTATGTTCTGCTTTTAGCCTTTCATACAATAAATAACTCAAACAGGGACAGAGGGGGTCTCCAGTCTCTGGCACAGTTACTTTGGGGGTCCCAAGCTGAAATGTTTAGAAACCTCTGTGTTAGCATACAGTCTGAAATACACCTTGCATTAAAAAGTAACACTATATATACTCATATCACACAATGACAAGAATTGAAAACCTTTAATGATTTTGCAAATAATATTTTCACGGGATAAATAAAACATAGAAATTGCAAACATGCTTGTCCACCAATCTTTTCTTCTGCCTTTTTTTCTGTAAAAATTGTACATTATGACTCTGAAAAATGAAATGAATTAATTTCTTGAAACGCAAACTATAGTAGTCCAACTATATTTATTTTTTTAACATTATACTATTTGAAAAAAAAGAAAGAAAATTAGGTATGTGACGTACCGAGAGTCAGGATGGAAGTGTTTAACATTTCACTTACAAATGCAAAATGTAGCGGTGCGTTTTGAACTGTATTGTGAATCCTCACTGCTGCATGCCACACAGCCGCGCGCACACACACGCGCACACACACACGTGCGCACACACGCACGCACGCACACACACACACACACACAAAAGAGAACCTTTTAGTGACAGCAGAACAGTATATTAAAAGAGACAAATCTGGGATATTTACACTAAATCACAGGAACATGGAGGACACTGCCTTTCAGGGAGGGTGATGTTGTAGAAATGTCAACATGTGGTAAGGTGGGGGGGAGGGGCGGGGCAAAGCACACAGCCTGAAACAAAACAAAAGGGTTTGGACTCTGGCAAACACACATCTTCTTCATTTAGCTCATGCTCAGCTGTGCTCATATTTTCAAGAACAATTAACAAAAAAAAAAAAAAACAGAGCACAAAGGATTGGTATTTTTGTGAAAAAGAAAACCTTCCAGCAGGTTCAACACAACAATTACAGCTAAATATGTTGGAAACAAATCTTTGAGGATCAAGCTCCTATGAAAATTCCCCTGTCATCCAGTTATGATAACAACTTCACCAAGCTTATAAAACCTCGCTGAAAACCACGCCTGTACGGCACCACAGTGCTGATAATATCACACTTTGATATAAACTCTGTGGTTGTTGAAAGAACCCCACCCAGAACAAGGACCACAAAGTGCTAGCATTGTAAAATCGAGGACAGAGATGTATCAGGTGAATTTGACAAGGTGCAGTGATAGAGCTTCAATAAATAAGCCCTTGACATAGCTTTGTTTGCTGAGCACCCAGGAGGTGCCATGTTTGTGAAGGGGTTCAGTCAGGGGGAAAAAAAGAAGGAAAAAAAAGACTACAGCATTTTGCTTATTCGTAGTGTTACATAAAGTTGACGGTCATCTCTCCTCACACGCGCAAAAACACTCATAAACAACACCCAATCAGTCCATTCTCTCCAAAGCTGCTTCTTTCTCTTCCTCTCTCTGATGCAGGTATGATCAGGCAGATGCTGTGTTTACATGGCTTCCATCGCCCAGCGCTGCAGGTCCTCCATGTCGTCCTCATCCTCCTCTTTCTTGGCTATAGAAAGTGAACAGAAGAAAAACATCCACACAGTGAGTCATATGAATGGATTTGTACTGTCATGTTTAGCTGATCTCAGCTTGTTTACCAACATCCTCTGGAATCTCCAGAGAGACAAAGGTATACTGCAACAGCTGAGCTTAAAGCAAAAGATGGACTTATTTTGTGATAAGTAAGAGAATTTAATTATTGTTCTGATTATTGAAATCTTGGCCCTGAAAATGTGTAATAGTTTTCTGTATGTGTGTAAGACACAGTCTGTTTTGGTTTTCTTTTTTTTTTTTTTGGGGGGGGGGGGGTTCCCCACAGAGAAAAAGGGTTTAAATTGTCTACCTGTGTGACAGTTTCTATTATGTTCAGTGAAGTGTACAACATGCAGTTTGTGTACAGCTGTGTCGCTCTTTTAGTACCATCTGTTTTCACTTTGTGGAGTTTGCACTCCTTCTAGCTGCAGTACGGTAGTTGAGCTTTCAGCCTATGGTGAAAATTATGAAGTACAGACTCATAGCCCGAGAGTTTTGCTACCCACCTCCTCTGGTCTCGTTAACTTTAAGACTCTTTCAATCAAAAGAGCACAAGGTTTAATTACGGAACAATATACCACTGTTTTCTTTTAAATGCACGATTATGACCCAGTGAAGATGTTAAAAAGTTGAGCCCACAACTTCTCTGTTGCGCTCTCTGCTTAGCAGCTTGTAGCAGCCCCACTCTGACATCTCTCTAACCAATGCATGTCCACAGGTCCTGTTTGTGCATGTGATTCAGGCCTGTGTGTGTGAGAAGCATGTCCCTATAAATAACAGTGTAAAACTGAATTTCCCTCAAGGATTAATAAAGGATATCAAAATCAAAAATCAAAAAATATATTGGTCGCACCAGGAAATAGGACAAGCCAACTTTTTAGATGAATAAATAGCTATCAAAAGTGCGTCTCATACACCAGATTTGGATTTCATTTTCTCTACATTGGCTGTTCACAAAAACAGCAGAGGAAGGAGGACAGAAGAGAGGAGGACAGAGCTGCTAGACAGTTTGAGGTAAAAGACTTATCATTTCTAAACTGTCAACCTCAACAGTCTCAGGTAACCAGTAATTAGTTAGTCAGACGATTTGCAGTTATCCTTTGGGGGTTTCCTAATCCAAGAACAAGAAAGTGTTTTAAGTAAGTCTACATCCTAAACAAAAATAAAGTTAGGATATCTCATAAAAGCTTACAATAAATTCATGTGGTGAATTATTTCTATAAATTTGGGTTTGCCTTACAAAAATGCACTCAACAACCTTTTCTCTTTTCATACGTCTAATATTTTACATTTGTTAGATGAATATAATTGCTAATAATATCACCAGCAACAACAAACAGATAACTAGCCTTTGTTGTTATTAGCCTCTCAATTCCAAATAGAAGCATCTGTAATCCGTACAAATGATGAGGCTATAACTGGCAGCCAAAATGCATGTTGTCAGTTCAATCCACACAAACACCATAAAGTGAAACAACTACAACTGCACTTTGACTTCCTGTAGTCTCCACTGTTTACCTGGCAACAACAGCTGAGAAAGAGTGTGCATGTATATCATTTCCCTCACATTTTGACCCAGTCTTTTATATTAGTAAATGCTGGTGAACTTGGACAGTTCTTGTTTGGATTTTTAAGAAGGCACTCACCAGGTCTGGAAGGTAATGAAGTTGAAGGCACATTTGGGAGAGGGACGTTCTCTGGTCCCCCGATCTCCAGGAGGTTTCTATCCAGCTCCTCCTGTTCTAGCTCATCCAACTCAGCCAGAAGCTCATCCTGGAAAAGTCGGCAGTAAACACAAACACAAGGATTAACCTGAGTCATCGTCACTGAAACCACAAAGATAAGGATCCCACCAAGAATATCTCTATTATATATAAAACTGTTTTTCTTTTTAAACTAAGTGTATGATGGCTGTGGCTTAGAGGTAAAGCAGGCTAATGATTGGATTGGCTAAGGATACTGAGTCTGAAATTGCTAACCAAGGCATAACCAACAAGTGTATGAATGTATGTGAATGAAAAGCTGATTATTTGACTTGCACAGCACCTGATTAGTGTATGAATGTGTGTGTGTGTGTGTGTGTGTGTGTGTGTGTGTGAATGTTGACATGCAGTGTAAAGCACCTTCAGTTCTGCTGAATTTGTTTTTAATCTCTACCTTGTTTTTCTGGGAGTTAGTGTTGGCTAGCGTAGAAATTCAGAAAGAGAAAATCAATTCTCTTGACCACATTATTCCAGGATAGCTGATTACATATACAGTGGTGATGTTTTTTCAGAGAGTAATATAATTAATAAATAAATACATAATCCTCAATACCAGAGCAGTGACTCGAGAAGCGTAGAGGTTAACTGAATGAGCTCATGCTGGCGGATCCTAGAAGTAGGCTCGGCAGCATCAAGAATGATCATGAACTTCAATTTACGCTTTTTATGTCAACCAACATCGATACGGCATGTTGAAAAACAGAAAAAAACAATAGTTGACAATTTCCTACAAGGCAATGACAATTGCTGATTCTGATTCCCCTAAAACTTGCATATGAAAAAACTAACAAAAATCTCAAAGCTGTCTCCCACCTCATCAAACTCTTCTCCAAAGCCGACAGGTTTAGAGATTGCATCAGAGATTTCCTGGGCTAGCTCCTGCTGCTCTGTAATGTCCTGCATCAGGTCGTCCACCTTGTCAATATCCCTGAAAAAGAAGATTTAGTTGTGATAAATCATTTTGACATATACAGTATACATGCATTTTTTACCTACACACACTGAGAAATAAGGGCATGAACCATTTACAACACATTTTTAACTGCATATGTTGTGCATTGATTACATAAATTCTACGTATTTAAGAAGGGGATAAGTGTGCGTCCTTTTTTCTGTTGGGTTCTTGATATATTTATTTTAGTCATTTGATGCAGTTAAAATCTGGATGTGATCAGGTTCATTCAGGGAGGTATTGCTGGATAATAAAGGTTCTGTTTTTGGCAGGAGCAAAGCATACTTCTGATAATCTTTCTGTTCAATCAGACAACACTACAGTATCTTTAAAATTGCATCAAGGTGATCAATCACTCGAACTGTAAAGAACTTCATCAGTGAATGGTTGATAGATTTTACATGTTTTCGTGGGCAGATTTCATAGCCTTGGCAGCGAAACCCATGTTCTTGAGCACTTCGGTGTTTGTGTTGGCATTCTCCAGAGCTTCTCTCTGGAACTCGATGGTCGACAGCGTGCCGTCAATCTGGGCGAGCTGTTTCTCATACCGCTTCTTTCTTTTTAAAGCCTGCAGAGCCGCTGAGGAGAGAGACAGCAAAGAGAAAAAAAGAGTCAGGATTAGATTGTTACAAAAATAGACTGCTTTGTGAGTATGCAGTTTTATGATATTGAATTAATCTCTTAGTGTTGGGGAACTTTTATCCCCAACAAGGAAGGACACCCTGAGTAAGTGGTTGAGCATTAGCAGATGCAGTCAGCACAACATCTGGTGCTCTGTGGAACCACAATGATCAACCTATGTGGAATTAGAATCTGATCAACAAGGATTTCATCAGAGGGTCCAAAGATAACGTATTATCCCCCTTTTCTACCTTTTCAAACATTCTCCTTTGGTCAAAATATAACATGAATCAAGCACCAGAGGAGGTTTGTGACCCTGTATAAACCAGCTCTCTCAGAACACTCCGTTTTGGTGTGTGTGTCTCTTTAAATGTAATGACCCCCCCCCCCCCGAGTTTTCCCAGTAGACATCAATCCTCTGTAGCGAGAATAAAAATTTCAGACCTGCGCAAAAGTTTTGTTCTAGGCTGGGGGTGGAGTCCATGGGGAGATACCAGGGGAGGGGAGGGGATTGTTTTACCAGAATCCCACTGTGACATCACAAGGAGAGCAAATTAGAAACGGAGCATTTTTCTCTGTGTCGTAAGACTTATACAGACCACAAACAAAGGACTGGATGGGTTTATTTCACATGTTGTGGGACAGTAGACACTCAAGTTACCCAAATAAATGTTCAAAAACACTGTCAAAGTGAATTTTTCATAATACGTCCCCTTTAAAACTGGTGCTCGGCGGTTGAAATGTAAAGTAGGAACTAATTAACCGAAGTAGTCACATGACCACAACCACTGAAACAGAGCCGCTGCAGTGAAACTATCAGTATGTGTCATGCTCAGTTGACTCATTATGACCATTGTTGTGGAGGAAGAAATAATTAGGATGACGGACATGCTTACAAAGTAGTCAAGTATTTTTTTTTGTTAATAATGCACTGTAATACCCCTGAAGTCTGAAACTTTATTTCATCAACCTCTTTTGATTCTTTACTTTATGGATGACCTAAAGTGTTAGGTTGAACCAGGCAATATGGATTTATATCTCGTCATTGTATCAATAATATTATTCAACCCACTTGTTTTGACATGACACATAGTGGTTGGTCTGTCAATATTTATTTTATTGAAGTAAATCTCAAGGACTACTGGCCATTTGGTGACAAACTGGTCAATTAGACCTTGTCCTGTACCATACTTGTATCTTTATAAGGTATTTAACATTTTGTTGGTGTTAGAATATGGGATTTCAGTTGCTGCCATCATTGTTTGTTTTCTGGCATTACTTGCTATAATATTCATTTAAAGGCAGCTTTAAACCACCTGACCTGAGGACTGTAGGTTTCAATCCAAGGTGCAACCACGCCCACCTTTCTGACAATGACATCACGTCGTTGTACAATGCTGAACCCTTGTCCCAAAACACTGGACCTATATCTGTACTGCCAGACTATCTGTAGACCATTAACTGGAGCTTTACAGTCAACACAGTCGAGTACTTTAATGTTTAAATGGTCAGTGATCGATCAGAGCATGATCACTAGACATATGCTAAGATGACAAGGCCACCATTTCCTGAAACAAAACAAAGATAAACAATAATCAGACCTCTTATTTTGTGTGTAAACCATGTCCGTGATAAAGACGCTGGGAAAGTTAGCCAACTTAGCTAACGTTCAAACGTTTAACGTACCATCACTGAGCGGAGCACTTGATGATAAAGAGTAGAAACTGTATGACTTGTGTCATGGTATCTCACCTCTTTTGTTCTTCGTGCCGTTTTTCTTGGCAATTTGGAGTTCCTGATCGATCTTTTTCTCAAGAAATTCCTGTTTTTTCGTTAGCATCTCTTCCGTTTCTCGGAGTTTCTGGATTGCCTCCTGTGGGCTCGGTCCCTTTCCCCCCTTTCCCCCTCCTCCCAATATCTTACTTATCCACGACATATCTCGGATACTACAACAAGCTTATTAAAAAATATAACAAATATGCTTAAGAAACCAAGAACACACACCTGGCTAGCACGCTGCTAGGCTACACTGATACTTCGCCCAGATTGGGACCTGGAAGGATTGTTGATGTTTTTCTACTTCCTGGATAAGGCCCAATGACGTCATGTTGCCCCGATGAGTGGGGGCCGTTTTTGTTGAAAGTGTCTCCATCTCCTGGCGAAATGGAGCAATAACTAAATACTCATATTGTAGATGAACTTTCCAGTCAGAGAACCTTTACTTTGTTTTATTATTTAAACTCTCTCAAATAAACAGTCATTTTAGGGGAGCCTACTGGAAGTCCAATTTAGTTTTCTTGACTTAAAGCATGAAGCTGTTTGAAATAATAAAAGTTAAGTGTTTGGCCATCAGCACTGCCACACATTAAAATGCTTCCAGAGCATATATTTTGCCTGTTCCCCTTTTTAACTGATATTACAGTAAATTGACATTAATCTATTAGTATAAGTTAATTTATTATTTTTATATATTTTAAAGTGACCCCATCCCCCAAAATATCAGCATGGGCTGAAAGGTTCTGCCCCTCATTGAATTATTATTTTGAGCAGCAACACAAAAACATTCTCATCACAATTGGCTGCATTGTTGAATGAGGAATAAAAGGGTAGTTTTGAAAGAGCAGACAGCAAGGGGGTTTATGTATTTTAATTTATTATGACGCTACAAGATCCATGATGATTGTTCAATCATTTCCTTTCTTTAATACAGTATGTTAATAACTTTGCCATTTTTTTTAAGTATTTTTATTAATATGTACATACAAAAGAGTAACCAATTACCAGGTGATTACATTTTTGTGTGACTGATTCTTTGCATGTGTGGTCGAAGCGCTGTTGCCTTTTTTTTTTTTTTTTTTTTTTTTTAAATGTAGTGTGTATTCACAGGTCGGTCTTCATTCCAGCCACCTACATTCCCACCTCTCTTGTCCCTTAGTTCCCTCAGGCAATGGAAAAAAAACATATGTTTCTATTTTTCTAACAACCTCCTTAGATGGCCATGTGATAGTAGAGATAATAAACTGTGTTGTGTCAGTTATCCCACAACCACCAGAGCAAGAAAAAACAAGAGAACGGAAAGGAAACAAAACACACACAAACTGAAAAACCCGACTAAAGATGGTCCCTTATAAGACAGTTTTTTTTTTTTTGCTTATATACCAGCAACACTCAGAAAAAAAAATATAATAAATCCCGGTCATTTCATGCAGACTGCAGATTGGAAATATGAATATAGTGCATTTGAATATTAAAACAGAAGGGTTGTGGGTACATAATAATGTAAGAAAACAAGCAATTAGCTGCTGTAATACACTAGAGGATGTAAATGCAATACTCCATGAACAAAATTAACTACGGTTTCATTCAGTAATGTTCTCTATTGAAAATGTCTGGGAACAATTTGAATGATAAATCCTCTGCTTTATAATGAGACATTTTAACCAGTGCCTGTATCATCCTGCGATAATACTTTCAAATTAAAAGTATTCACTGTGTAAAGTGGATGATGGTTTGAAGAAAATGTTGCTTTTCTTTTTGATCTCGTCCACTGTACCGCATTCACTTGTTTTTAATATAATATTTCTTTTTACTGATTTATAATTTTGCAGATAAATTTAATTACCGTGTACACACACACACACACACACACACACACACACACACACACACACACACACACACACACACACACACACACACACACACACACACACACACACACACACACACACACACACACACACACACACACACACACACACACACACACACACACACACACACACACACACACACACACACACACACACACACACACACACACACACACACACACACACACACACACACACACACACACACACACACACACACACACACACACACACACACACACACACACACACACACACACACACGATTATCAGGAGTGTTAGTTCTTTCTTATTGAAAATGTAAGTGAGAAAGTTTTAAGACCAAAGAATCAATAAACTATCAATGAAAGACAAATAGCCAGCATGAAGCTACTTTCACTCATCACTAGCTGTTACCTGTGCAAGTTGCGGAAGATCATTTAGGAAGATGGGATGGACGGAAAGAACAGATCAAAGGGGGTGATTTTTCAAAGAAAAAAGAAAAAGGCAAGGCCCATGACAAAAACACTTGCACTGATGGTTTTTTTGGGATCACCTTCCTTCCTTTTAACATGATTTTTTCCCCCATTCAGACAAACCATGACAATATTGCCTTAAATGTTAAAAAAAAGAGAGATCAACATAAACCAACAAGACATCCCCATTGTCGTCATGGACACATCCTCTGGAGCAGGCCATTCGTCCGTCCATCCGTTACTGTGCTCTTGTTTGACTGTGTCTCTACAGGGCCAACTTGCCAACAATGACTCCAATGACAAAAAAGAGCACGCAGAGTGCCAGGAGGCGGGTGCTTAGACCTTCGTCCCTCATGGTTGAGGTTGCCATGGTGGGAGAAGAGTGAGGAGTGGCCATTGAGGTCACCTTTCTCTTCCGCAGCCCGTCGTCTTCCTGCAATAAAGGAAAAAAAAAAAGAGTTATAAATACAGTGAATAAAGTATCGAAGAAACAGTGTACTTACAACAAAGTTTGCCCACCAGAGAGGATTGAGAAGTTGATTCAAATGTAATACATCCCCCTTAAAGGGGTCTTGTTCACCAAATATCCTCCATGTTAGACACAAGTTTTTTGAAAATTGATGGAAAAATCTGTAGACTGTCCATCATTTTCACAGGTAAGGACACTGGTGGAAGACTTAAAATGCAGGGAAATTCCATGCAAAATTACAATGCCACCAAATGACACATAGCACACTTTGCACTGTGATAAGTGACACTATGAGCGAATGCTTGCATGAGCTAAAACTAACATACTCTATGAGTCAACAATGGTCTTTGCTAATGCTAACATAAATGTGCTAACACAAGCACAACACAGTAATTAAGTACCTTGGTTTGGCACATGCAGACAAATCAAATTATTACTGAAATTAAAATGACAGGTAATAACACATGACAGAAATTTTACAAGCCTTTCTGTCAAAAGGACAAACAGCGAGAGTCTAACACAACCTCTGCCCCCAACATAAATGTATATACAAGTTCAGACCTTTTTCCTCACCTTAAGTTGGGAGGACTGATTGATATTAGCGATGGGTCATGATTTTTGACTATCTAAATAGTTAATAATTTGTAAAATAAAAATTCAGAAGCGGAGAAAAATGCAGAGACTTCTGCATCTGTCAAAGAGCTGAGTGTGGAACTCCTTCAAAAAATGTATTAAAATGAGAAGAAATGCAAACTTTGCCAGATAAAACTACTGTATACACATAGAAAATAAAACCAACAGAAGATACAACACATATATGCCTGTCTATCCACCCTGCTCCATACTAGACTCAATTAGCGACAAGATCCGTCCTGTATTTCTGTGCACAGTCTACTTCAACTTACCCTGATCTGTTTGTTTTCTTCCCGTAGCCTCTGGACCTCCATCTGCAGCCGCTTGCACTCCTCCATGATCTTTTTCACCTCTCCATCATCCAGTGAGGCACTGGCTGACTTGGGCAGCACTGAGTGCTCAGTCTTAACAGAGGAGGCAGAGGAATACACAGTTTGGTTGCTTTCATTCTCATGCTGTGGAGAGAGAATGAGGGTGGACGAGGATGAAGGGTTGAGAGTTGAGGGAGAGGAAGGGGATAAGGAGACATGCAGAGACATGGTAAGGAGTTGGATGAAGAATAAATAAATCAGAAATAAAAAAAGCATGAGATGGGTGGTACAGTGATGCATTGCTCATGGGCAGGACAATGAGAAAATACTAGGAGTAAGAAATAAGAAATAACGCTAAGGAAAAATGTAATATGATTTTTCTGTCCAGTTTATAGATCTGAATGGTTGTGCTGGAATATGTATTTGTAAATCAAAAATGAATTATTATTTCAGTAACACAACAAATGCCCATTAACAAAGATGAAGACTTACAGTTTTGTCATTTTCTAGAGGCATCTCAAATGCACATCTCAACTTTGAATCCATCAGCTCTTCAGGCTTTGCCTCCTTCCACTGTGGACGAGAGCATCGACATGAAAAAAAAAAGAGGAGAAGAAGAAAATACAGCCAATGTTCATACACTAACTGTTCAGTAAATGTTGATTATCCATCATTTAAATATAAGTAGGGCTGTCAAATGATTAATGACTGCATTTCAGTAGTTAGTCGGGATTAATCACATTTTTAATCGCTTGTTTAAAATTCCATTATTTCAAATTAAAAAAAAAAAAAATTGTGAAACTTTTATTTTGAATTTTTGTACTGTCTTAAGGTGAGAGTACTTCACATGCTGTTCAAATTCAACCCTGCTTTTATTCTGAAATAAAGTAAGGACCTTCTGGTAGATCGAAGGTTATGACATTAACTTCACCACGGAAAAAGGTAAATGAAAACATGTAAGCTGAGCTGTCTGAGATTTCTTTTCAAGTGAAATGAGACATAACAAAATGCAGCAGTGTCGTTCTTTTACACCATTGTGACTACAGGGTGCCTTAAAGGACAAAATAGAATGTGATTAATCGTGATTCAATATAAGGTATAGTCCTGAAAAGCATAATCTGCGTTTGTTGTGTTATCTACCTCACAAAACAGGTGTGCAACAGCCTGTGCACAGATAGAGACACACACACACATGCTAAATTGAATGTGTGCATTTGTTTAGTGTTTACCCAGTCAAAGCTCAAATTAGATTTTTCTGTGTGTGGATTAAAGCAGATTTGTTATTCACAGAGCGATTTCTATTTTGCGTTTGTAATGTTAATGTACTTAGTTTGGGGGTAACAAATACTGGCATTGAAATGATGCAGCTTTTTACACTGCAGACTTTTGTACTCAGATTTTATAAAGAATTTTTAACAAAATCAGGTTTATCTGACAGCTTGTATTATTATTGGAACTGCAGCTATGTATTTATTTTGGAAACAATAGCCTACATAAATGAGATGCATGGAGATTCATTGTGAATGGTTGTGCTGTTAAAATGCAGAATTGCAGTCATGGTTAAGTGGGGAGGAGAAAGGTTATATTCAAATAGTCTTTTCTTTGTGCCAATTACAAAAATGATCCGATCTGTGACACTGAATTCTTATCCTATCTGAAACCTTGAGATTTGTGATCCATTGCACTCCTACTGAGCAGGCCTGAGTAAAGTTCAAAAGTATGTAACCAAAGTATGGTTGGAAACAAACAAACACAAAACAGGTCAACAGACACAAAGTTGAAGGTATAAGTACATTTACCCTTCAGCTGAATAAAATGAAAACGTGTTATGTTCTTGTACTTACGACTCCTTCCATATCAGTCATGTCGTACGGAGCGATCATGGACTGAACCATGAATTTATGTTTACTCTTTTCATTTGGGTCGTAGTCAAAAGGCTGTAGCATAACTGTGGGGACAGAAACAATAACAGAATAAATAGCTCAAATAAGGATATAATTAGAATTGAAATGAAGGAAACAAAGTCCTTAGTTGTGACAGTACCATCACTCAAAAAACTACATTATCCAGGTTGTTTTGAATGTTAGAGATTAAGCTTGATTTCCATTATGGAAATGCAGAACATGTTTTTTTTAAGGTGTTCCCACAAACAGAAATCGGATTGCAACTTTGCAAAGAGATGCATTTTGTTTCAGAACTAATCCAAAACTATGTGAAGATTAATGTGATTTTTGGATTAATTATTTCTTCAATTTGAAAACTCTTTAACACTTATAAATGTTCCTGTTTCCTCATTCCTCAATTATCCGTTTGGAAAAAGATAGAACAATTATCCTCAAAGCCAGTGGTTCTCAACTGGTCTAGCCTCAGGACCCACCATCTAGTCCTTCATGAGAAATCATCACCCAAATTTCCAATATATTTAATGAAAACTTGTACAGTTTGGACCACAGATTTAAACTGTTTAAATAGCACCACATAGACTTTTTGACACAATTTCTTTTTCGAGGCACACAATTGTGACCCACTGAAAAACGGCTCTGCGACCCACTTTGTGTCATGTCCCACAAGTTGAGAACCACTGCTTAAGTTACCAAGCACTGACACGGATTTAAAATCATGTCTCCTAATGATTGACCAACAATATTTATAACCCTTTATATTGGTGCGTCATCAGGAAACATGTTGGCTTGACATTGAGCGTGCATTTCTGGAGCTACATCAATTATTTAATATGCTAGCTACTACATTGTGTTCTCCTTCTGTTGCAGCTAGCAATTAAACAGATTACAACATTTGCCAATGTTATTCAAGTTGCATTACTGAGTGATTTGATCTATAAAATGCTTTCTTCAGCTCGGCCATCAGATCAACACTGTGGTGAATTTTTCTTAGATATCAAATACCTAGACCCAAATTAGATTCAGTGTCTGAAAACAAACCACAGAGACTTTCAAATAAACATGTTAAATATCCTAAACATCTCTGAATGAGGTATGTAAAACACATGATGGGTTGACTACAACCAAGCTGTTATGTTGTTAGTAGATGCAAAAAAAATGGTTACTGACCAGAAACATTGATGGAGGTTCCAGCATCAATGACGCCACTGTTTGGACGCACACAGTATCTGCGGGGCGCGGTTGTCTTGACTTTGAAACACACATTTCTCGCTGTGGGGTTGGTGAGCTTCAGAGTGGCCGTGACAACATCTGTAAAGGGACCTGAGGAGGACAAAGAGAAACATCATTAAAGTTGTAACTCAAAGGTGTTTGTCAATTTGTGACACGTGTATAATAGCTTGAGGACTGGAATATTTGGGTCATTTTATTAGCATTACTTGGAATCCTTGGTAAATAATAAAATTAGTTGATATTATACATTTTGAAACAGGTTTGTACACAAAAGATGTGTCTGACAGGAATAATTTGCAAAATATGTTATGAGTAACAACACAGGGCCTGCCATTGCCATTACAATCCTAAATTAAATGTTCAATGACTTAAAAGAGCAGCAATGTGAGCTAGCTTTACTACATTACTCATTGTCTGTCTGTAAAAACGTACTACTTAATAAACAAGTCAACTTTTGTGACACAAGTGCTAATGCTTGTTGCTTTTGTGAATTTCAGACAGTCTCACTCATGTCTGATTAACCATGTTTTATGGCTCCAAAATGACTTAAAATCTTGGTTTAGTAACTGAATCCATTACATTTTTATATCAATAATCAAACAGAAAGGTATTTATCTCTGGATATAGCTAATAAACCTGGCACCCCAGCTCAGTCTATATTTGAAAAACAGTTCTGGAAATGAAAAAGCTGAAGAGGAATTCGAGTTTCACAGTACAAACACAGGGTAAAACTCTTAATAAAATCTGCTAGTTTATAATATTGTGAAATAATCGTAGTAATGAGGCTTGTAAATAATACCCTATTCGTAGAAAATGCTAGAATAGTCACTTATTTACAGTAGGGTTTAAGCAACACTTAAAAACGGCATAAACGCAGAATGTACATATATTATACAATAATGTTTTACGACAAATGAATATAACAGAATGTGTGAATTAAAGAAATTGGAGTACGGGCCTGCCCTGACGCTGCAATGACAGCTAGCTTATCTAGCTAAATGCTACTAGCTTACTAATTAGCATCGTCGCACACTGTCGTATAACCTGTCACCATCACTGCCGTCGTACACAGAATGTGGAGTAAAGTTAAATAAGTCGTCCTTAAGCTACTATTACAAAAACACATAAGTATATTTTGTATAAAGATGAAATAGTTGAAGCAGGAAACATTACAGTGGAACAGTTTCTAGGCCCTGCCCTCTGCTTTAACGTTACCTCTGAATTTCAGTTCGTGTTGTGGCTCTAGCACCAGGACTTGTTCTGTTCTTGCCATATCCCGGGGCTTCTTCCTTTCTTAACGAAGAGAATAAGTTATTTTCCTGCAGGTAGCCCGGAAAGGTGGTGTAGCTGGCTTCCGAGGAAACGAACCTGCCGTCCACGGTTTTTCTGCGGAGGGGAAGTAGGGGGAGGACGATTATAAATGCAGCACTACTCGGACTGACAGGCCGGCTGACTGACTGCCACCGACAGCTGCTGAAGGCTAAAGAAGCTACTGCTAACTCTGCTGCTAGCAGCGGAGGACGAGGCGGAAAGGAAGGAGGCGAGGAGGAGGGAAACGTCATGTGAGGGGCGGGCTCAGGTGTCCACCGTCAGAGTCACACAGACACATCTCATCTTGGATGTATAACTGACACATAGGATACATGCAAAAGGTTTTAAGAATAACTAACACAGGTGTTCGGCTAACATTACACATGGATGATAATGATCAGAAAGCCATCAAATCTTTGAACAAGGACCATTACCCTACTAGTAATTTGGAAACCCATCAACCCAAAAACATCCTAAATATTATGACCATAAGGTTTTTATTTATTGTTTGATCAGTTGACTGAACGTAGGCTTTTTGCACATGTCCTTTCTAAAAGCAGATAATGAATTACTATTTTATTACAGTAATCTAAGTATGTTTACTTTCTAGCATATTGCATGGTATCACTGCTCAAAAAGACTTCAGGACGGATCATAGGCCTACACTGAAATATTTACAGTCTATGGCCTACACAAATGGATACATCTATTTCCTTGTGCACATGACTTCAGTCTTCTCTTGTGTACTTGGAGCAAAATACTAACCTTAAGCAGAAATCAACCTTTTTCAACTCACCTTCATGACAGCAGTAACAGGCTCTACTACAGAATGTATGAGATCCGGGTGAACATTTTCCACAGCCTACCCAATCTTTTGTTGCCTTGTAATTCTAAAACAGCTTTAAAAAAAACATCAGTTGCAACATTTTCAAGTTATTAACCCTGAAAAATGTTTGTACACTCCTCTGTTTTTTTTTGTTGTAAACACCTGAGGTTAGAGATTCTTTTAACATCTACGTATATCAACCATCTTTAGCACATGATGTTCTATGGGAAGAATACATTTCTATACCACAATTTAGGCTTTCAATAGTGTGACCTCAAAGTGTGATCGCTGATCGGGACTTTAGACTATATACTTCCTATTTTCTTTTAAAATGTAACAAATACACAGGTTGGGTTGGAGGTTGACACCAAGTGCCTCTGCAGATCATGGCAGTGGTGGTTCTAGACCACTTTTACTGAGGGGGCCAAACTGGGGCCAGTTGTTTTATCAGAGGGGAACATTAAACTCAGGTGAAAAATTAACAAAGGTGATCACTTTAAAAAAATAAAAAATTATGCCAAATAATAACGAACATCTTTAAATACCTCAACATGAAATACCATAATTTATATTTATTTCAGTAACAGTATTTAATACTTAGATTGTGAGTCCGGTTGTTTAGTCAACTACTGTGCATGTGTTATGAGGGGGGGCCACAGGGGGGACCAAGCTCAGTGTCACAGGGGCACTGGCCCCTGTTGGCCCCTGCCTAGAACCGCCCATGGATCATGGACCAAAAGTTCACCAGAGTAGGACATGACCAGAACATGTGGGTTAGGTTGGCAGGGGTTTTATGACACCTGTCGCAGCTAGCATCTAATTTAGGGTAAATATTAGCAAGTTTTGATTTGGTAAAATGAGCCTGGTGTACTACTTTGAATTGAATGATACCTAGTCGTGCTATGTAATTTTTCTGGATATCAGTTCATAAAAGTCAGCCAGTAAAGTTTGTACAGGTACAGGTGCGCATTCAAATTCAATTGTAGGTAGGTATTCAGCCTATGTGACATGCGGAAGAAGGACTCAATCAGTAACAGAAATAAGGCTTGGTGAGTAATTGCCAGATTTTCATTTTGGGTTCAACAATTCCTTTCAGGCTTTTGTATCTGACTGAGTTCATGGCAACACAGGCAGAAATTCAAAACAGGTATAAAATAATTTTTTTTTTATCTCGAGTAAGGTTGAATTTTCAGTCCACCTTTTCACTCACCAGCCAACTGCAGAACAATATACTCTGATGGGATTTTTTTTTTTTTTTTTACATTCAACCTATAATTCCAGTGTGTGAGTGTCTCCTCTCCGAAACTACACCAAAAAATCTTTGAGGTCCTCTCTGTGAGTACAGGCACCGCATATCTTTAGAGGAAATGGCTGATACATGCACAGGAAACTCCTCTTCCTCTAGCATGGACTTACAACCTTTCTTGCTGATGAAAATCAAGGAATGATTTAGCAAAAATGTGTCTCCTGTGGGAAAGTAGAAAGCATTGAAGCCTGTATCCGTGAATGCGTTTACATGCATAATGACAGACCTCTTGCTGTCTGCACCAAAAAAACAACTTTATTTCTCAGAGCTTCTGTTCATAAAGTAGAGACCCATATTTGATGTTCACATTAAATGAAGACTAGGGCACTGAAATGAGAGAGCAACTAATACTATACAGGCTGCCACTGCTGTGCAAGGCTAGGAAGGAGGACCCCCTCCTCTTCGTTCATCAGAAAATAAACTGAGATTTCTTCTTCCTTCTTTACATTTTTGGCCTTTTTTAACCAAAGAATAAGATGTGTAGAAACAAGCAATGTCCTGCATCTCTAAAACCCTTCAATATGTCTTTAGCATGATGGCCCAAGAAAACAAAAGAAATCTGAACACCACTTCAGTTGAAAGGATTTAAGTTATAGCAATACGCACACTATCAAGTGTACAATTTGTCAAGGTTCATTTGATTCTAATAAAATACTTTTTTAAAACCCATATACATTTCATATAGTTATCTTTTTGGGGTATATGGATTCAAAAATAGACATTTAAATTATAGAGAGAGAATGGAAAGGAAAGGGGAGAGATGTAGAACTACAAAGGCTACGATGTTGTCCTCTGCCCCGAGGAGAGGGAGTGAGAGAGAGAGAGACAGAGAGAGGAGGCCATGGATGGGAGACAGTGAGAGACAGAAAGAGACATGGATAAAGAATAAAGAGAAGGAAGTGGCTCTGGAGAAAGGGAGATAGGATTGGCCAAGCTATACAGCGCAGAATGACACCCACTTTAGCTCATTACACACGTACAGTCGTGATCAAGGCACAGGGATCTTCTAAAAGTTTCTTTTCAATAAAGTTGTACAAAATAATACATTTTACAGTCTGTACAAGAATAATAGTTCAGCAGTAAAGTAAAGACACGTACAAAGGAGCAAAAGGGTGGGAAGGGGAAGAGAAAATGAATGGTGTAAAAAATAATTAGTGTCCCATTTGTCGTTGTCGTCTTCTTCATTTTTATACTCCAGGGTAATTATCATACTTATAGTTTTCTCCTCAAATGAAAGAGCACTGCTAGTGAGAAAAAGGTGCAAGGAAGGGAAGGTGGTGGTGGGGAGGGAGAAGTGGGGAGCAAAGGAGGAAATGAAAAAGAGAGGAAGAGCAATGTGAAGACAGAGTGAGTGGAACAGTCAAGGACGAATAAAGAGAGACATACAGACGATGCAAGAGTTAACGATAAAGAGAGAGCGCACAGGGCACAATGGCACAAAAGTCTACACAGACAAAAAACAGCTGTGAAGACAGTAAAACGGGGTCAATCATGACAAGATGAGAGTTCTCTTTAACTTATATGGTACTGTCGCTGGACGCTTTATGCCCTCTGTTAGTTGAGTCCCATTGAAGGTGGCTTTTTTTTTGTTTGAACTCAATTGGTCCACCTCAAATTTTGCTCCGCTACTAACAAGGCAAAGTCCGGTGGCAAGCACTTCTGTTGAGAAGTCTAGGGACTGTCATAGACCCCCTTCCTTTCAATCATGTCAACAGATTCACATCAGAGTTGGCTCAGTCCTGTTTGCCTTTAACAACAACAACAACAACAACAACCATCCCCCCCCCCCCCCCCCCCACCGAGTGGTCTGACAGATCACAACACACCCTTAGTCCATTCAGTCCATTGTAACACTGCTACTCCAGGCTTGGCTGTGCAGTCTTCCCCTCAGTCCGTTCAATCTCAAAGCGCTGCCCCTGGAAAAGGTTCAACCTACCTGCCCACTTGATGGTAGATTATTACGTTTCGAGATGCGTCCCGATTTTGGAGTCCGCAGGAAAGCGGTTTGAAACGTCTCCGTGTGCAAGCAGATCCTGTGATTGGTTTTATGGATGTGTGAATGTGATAAGATAGACTGATTTACAATCTTGATTTTTTTTTTGAGTCAAGTCCTGAGCAGAGTACTAGTGAGAGATACAGTGTTCAGCTGATCTGTAACATGTTTTTTTTTTCTTAATATGCAGTAATTCAACAGTGGCACTTGAGTAGTAGCTCTCTCAGTTTTATCATGTCCTCAACAAGAGGGAAATCTCTACTGCTGCCAAAACAGTCCAGGCTGAGCCACGTCAGGTTTATAAACAGCAACGGTAACATTTTTGGGGTTGATATATGATGTCAAGAGGTGAGGAGCTGAAGAGTATGGCTGATGATGTAGATCAGAGTCTCTTTGTTTTAACCCATCAAACCCTTCCATCTTAGAAGCTTTTTCTTCAAGAGTTTACATCAAGGGACGTTCTGGGTTTAGTGTGTGTGTGTGTGTGTGTGTATTTGTGTGTGTGTGCATGTGTGTGTGTGTGTGTGTGTGTGTGTATGCATGTGTATTTGTGTGTGTGTGTGTGTGTGTGTGTGTATGTGTGTGTGTGTGTATGTGTGTGTGTGTGTATGTTTGGCCCCTGTTCCTTCAATTGAGCTCACACACTTCTGTGGAAGGGGGGAGATCCAAGACTCAGGGTTTAGGTTTTTGATATTCCGATGTTTTGGGTTTCATTTGGCCGAACACCTTCCTTCTGACATCACAACAGCTCATACTGCCGCAGGTGCATCCGCTGAATTATGTCTCGACAGTCATTGAAGACTCTGCGGATGTTTTCTGTGTCAACAGCGCAGGTGAAGTGGGGGTAACAGTAGTGCCTCCCGTCCCCACTTGCTGTGCTAATCCTCTGTAGATGGAGAAAGAAAAAGAGGAAAATGCATTTTGTGATGTGTGCGTAATATTGCTCTTTATTTTCCAGATCCAATGAAATGACTTAAACCAACAATGTGGCAGCATGCCACTCCATAAATGTATGTCACACGTACATTTATGTCACACATATATTGTTTCATTTATTAAACTTAAGGTCAGTATTTTTGGGGTTTAGTAGTGTTTTGCCCAGGGACACCTTGGCATGTGACTGCAGGAGCTGGGGATCAAACCCAAGACCTTTCAGTAGAGAGCCACCGACTCCACCACTGACCCACAGCCCCCATATGCAATTCTCGACTTGTCATTTACAGCATGTCAACTTTTTTAGAATCAACTTAAAAATATACTAGGAGTGCAAATTTCAATCAATGAGGCTGCTGTGACTCAGTTGGAAGAGTCGGTCGTCTCTCAACCAAAAGGTCGGGGGTTTGATCCCCAGCTCCACTTTATATAGAAATTTCTGCCGTCAGTGTGTGAATGGTGTGAATTGATAGGTGTGACCTGCGGTGTAAAATGATACCCTTACCAGAAATTCATCTCTTATGAAGTACTTAGCCCTCGTTACACGTGGGTCTTCTCCAGGCTCGGGGGTCGCTGGAAGATAAAGAGAGAGACAATCTCATATGACATGCAATCTTTCACGTCTGATATGAATGGATCATACAATAACCTGGATAAGGAAGCATACATCATTATGTGAGTCATGACTAAAGAAATGTCACTAAGATGTTTCTGCATGCTAGGTAAACTTTAAGACAGACAAAGAAAGGAATTTGACAAGCTTAGGAAGCCTACGGCTTAGTAGGAGAAAAATTGCCACATCTGTTTTAAGCAGTTTAGTGGATCTTGTTGTCACCCTGCTAAAAAAAGACCTCTGATTACTCTCTGAAATAAAACACTATTTATCAAGTTTATATTCAAGTTAAAAAAAGGCCAGCTGATTACATTCACATCTTTCTATCTAAATTAAAGACAGTAGAAGTATGTCAAAACCGTCAATATGTGAATAATAGGGTTGTACTACTACTCACCATCGTCAGGTGTGGTGTAGCGAGCAAATTCAGGAAAGTAATCCTCGATTTTGGACTTCCCTGCCAACACCTTCTCTGCCAGCAGGTCCTGTTTATTTAGGAACAAGATGACTGAAATAGTCCGCAGCCACCTGAAAACAACAAAATATTATGAACCAACAGCAAACACTGAGCCATGAAACGCTATGAGTGAAGATAGACACAAGATCAAATCACTGCCACGAGTTGGTCAAACAAATGAGAACAGATAAGTGGCAGCTCTATCAGCAGATGGCATTAAAAGTGTCCATACTTTTCAGAATTATCTAAAATTATAATGATCAAAATGACATGGGCATTAATTTACAACTCACTGTGACATTTAAACCTTTTAGATAATTTAAACAATGCAATATATTTGACAAGGTACATTTTGATATTGTGGATTTCGTAGTACTACAAAACATTACACTGAACTCAGTAAACACTAGGGCTGGGTGATACGACCTCAGATCAATATCACGATTAACTGAACATTTTACCTCGATAACGATTATTTGGTTTATTTGTTTTTTGCCCTCGCAATTCACTGACGAGGTCTCTACTGTAAATATGCTCCACTATAAAAGCAGAGATATGTCTTCTAATGAAAGAGTGCATATCTGATTAACTGTGGTTATTTATTTAATATTTCAAACCGAAATCAAAGCATCGCTTGAAATTAAAACGACACATTTTTGTTTTTAAGTAGAAATTAACTTCTCTGGGGCACTGGTGGCACAGTGGTTAGTGTGCGCCCCATGTATGGAGGCTGTAATCTTCCTAGTGGGCAGCCCAGGTTCGAATCCAGCCTCTGGCTCCTTTTTCCGCATGTCATGCCCTACTCTCTCTCTCTCCCTGATTTCCAACTCTATCCACTGTCCTATCTCTACATTAAAAGCACAAAAATAAATCTTAAAAATAAAAATAAAAAAATACATGAACTTCTCTAAAACTGTAGAAAATAAATAACTTTTGTCTCTTGCAAACAGTTTTTCCTCAGTGTTTACATTTGACTTCCGTTTGTTTGGCGTCGTCTTCCCTAAAGACAAAATGTGTCCAAACATTGCTTCCATGTCGCTGACGTGTCGTCACGTGACTCTGCCCTCAAAATAACTGACATGGGCAAGATGACGTCGGTAAAAGGTTCTGAATGTTTCTATTAATTTTCTATTACTTTCCCAGTCCTAATAAACACTACGTCTGCTATAATGACAGCATGCCAATGATTGCGGATGTTTTCTATTCTGCTTATTTTATTTGCTCAAATAGAAGTACAGTAAAAACTAAATCTACCCTCCATCTGTTTTATGCTGAGTTTGTTGCACTGTTGTAAGTTATGCCATCATTCAAAAGAAAAAGCATTTTCCTAAAAACATTCTCAGCCTCAGTCTTGATTGATATTCTTTTTCGGTGAGAATTCATAAAAGCCAAAAAAACAACAACCCTGAAACTGATTTTCACATAGGATTTTTAAATTTGAATATCCTGATAGTTCCTTATCATCATTATCAGACTCTAAAAAAAAAAAGAAACATGTGCCACCATCTTTACTTTCCATATGATCAGCCATACACAGTCGGTCTTTCCTCACCTGTTGTTCCAGATGTTCTTAAAGAGATTTAGGGCCTCCTGTAAACGGTTGGTCTGATTGTCCTCTCTGATCACCATATTGTAACTGCTACTGGCCACCACGAAGATGATGGCCGTTACATCTGAGGATGTGACAGACACAGAGATAAATGACGAGATTTTAAAAAGAAGTAGTGGAGTGTGAGAATAAAGTGCAAGCAGAAAATAAACCAAAAAGCTACCATTAAAGCACTGAATCCATTTACGGCGTTCATCTCTTTGACCGCCGACATCGAACATGCTGTGTGAATCAAACAAGAGACATGAACGTAAACAGATGAAATACTGCCATCATGTGGACAAACTGTACAAAAGTCAGAGCAGTCAGCTTTGTCAAATAACACTTCACATCATCTACCTTCAAATTTATACTCACTGAAAATTAACTTTGTCCACTTGAAATCTTGTCTCAAAGATTCCTGAAGTCAGTACTCTGCATCGCAGCAGATCCTGGAGTAGACAACCAAAAGTGTCATAAAAAGAGATCATAGAGATACGGTATAGAAGGACATTTGAATAATTGCACTGCAAATCTGGAGCTGAATTGCCACCCATTCATCTTTGATAATTCTACATAAATATAAACTCCATTTAAACACTACCCACCCCACTAAAAAAGGTGTGCTTTATTCAATTTGAGTAAAGGTCATTAGCCATGTAAAAACACTGAAAGGTTGTTTATTAATATCTGACACAAGCCGCATTTACAGATGCATTCCTCCTGAAATATCTCATTTTGAAAAGTCAACTTATTTTAATAATGAGGAGTAGTTTGGATCTATTGACTTTTTGGTGCCACAGCTTTTACCCACCTGATCTGTTGGAGTGTAATCACTCTGCTTCACGATGTCAATCTTGTCTAGAAAGCTGAAAAAAAAGAAGTAGAAGAAAAATGTGACACCAACGAACACTGTTCATTTTACTGGAGACAGTTGAGCTCAGATATCAGCATAAATTGCAAAAGAAAACCCTTTGACAACCTGAAGAGATCACCACAACATAAAAGAAGAGACATAAAAAAATGTCCCAATTTTCTAGCACTTAATATCATACTGGTGAGGACAACTGGGGAAGCTACAGGCTGACAAACAATGGTTCTTTCATTAGAGCAAAAAGTAACAAAAGAAAAACAAGAAACATGCTTATTCAAAAGTGGATATGTAAAAGGAGAAGTCAAAAAGAGAGAGAAGAGGACAGAGAAAGAGAGAGAATGAAAGCGTAGTGGCGTCTGTCTGACATTACTGAGCAGTTTTCAGAAATAGCTCCCCAGCGCCCTGGCCTCCAGCATGGTTACCATGGAGACCCAACCACAAGCGCTATTAATAGTCTATCTGCTCCCAATCTACAGTGGCTTGAGTAGCTTAAGAAAGAATAAAGAGAGGAGATACAGATAGAGGTGGGGGAAAAAAAGGAAGTAAAGCAGGATGAGCTGGTTGTGTTTTTGAGCTGGATGTGAGTGAGACGATGGACACAGCAAAAGATTGGGAATGTACCATCTCAATTAACTGGGGGAGAAATACTGGGCAAGGTTTTGACTTTGAGTACATCTAAACACTAAACCAACAGAAAGTGATGATACAATAGTTATTTACTCTTGCTAAATATATGAGCTAACAAGAAGCAGTTGAGCTGTGGGATTGCAATCGACAGCTGAGCAGCAAAGATGTCCTCCCCAAACTTCATTCCCTCTCCCTCCTTTAAACCTCCTGTAATCTGGGGATGACTCAGCCTCGGCCATATTTGCTCCCAAAAATTGCAAAATGCTACTGTGACAGGAAAACTATGATTCCTCCTTTTTATCTATTTTACCTGCTTTTGCTTTTGAAATAACTCTGGGCTGTTAAAAAAAAAAAAACTAATTTGCCATTGTGCAAAAAAAAAGAAAGAATCATATAACGTTATGAAAATAAGAAGTTTTTTTGGGAGATATGTTGGGAGTAAATGTTTGAGAAACGCACGAGTCAGGGTGTTTAAAAGAGTAAAAGTCTTGTAGAGGAGAGAGATATGGGTTCAGAAAATCAAAGGGCTTTACAAACCCACACTTGCATGGATTTGTATCTGACCTCATTTCAGAAATGTTGAGTTGTTGAATATATAAATTAATGTAAAAACAGTCGATTGCCTCTTTTAAATAACAGAAAAAGCTTTTTTTAATAGGTCGAACTTACTGATGAAAATGGACCCAATGAGCACAGAGCTTGTTGTGATATCATATCGCTGCCACTAGATGTTACTCAAGAGCCAAATGTATATGAGCCGTATTCTTCCAAGACTTGATTGTATAAAATACAGGACAGATTCAAGTTATTATGCTAAAGGATAATCTGCCATGTTTTAGGGTATACTAATACAATCCATTGAAGATGGAATCTGCAGTCTTTTTTCATCACAGCAGCCTCATGAGTGAGTTGAATATCAAAACAATTAACTCAATAATTCAATGATGAGATGCCGAACAGGTGAATGTTTGATAGATCACATCTTTCAATCCCTAGGCAGTAAACAATTAGAGCAACACGTCACTACAGTGGGTAATAAGAAAACCTCAGTCACTACTTTACTGTTCCTAACTTTAAGAGACTAACAGCCAATCAGCCAGAATAGGATGCTGACCATATAAGAATTAAACACAGATCATTACTTGTACTACACAAATTACTTGTGCAGTGAAGAAAATGTCTAACTGACTGCAAAATAAAGCAGTGAAAATATCCAAAACATGGAGTACAGTACTTAGTCCAGTCTTAAATAGAATCAATATAAGTCTCTCTGTGGATGGGGTTTGACACAATAACCATTTTGCTAATATCAACTTACAGAGATCCACAGTTAAGCAACTGTGTTGGTTCTCCAACCAGCCTCTAAAAACAGAATGTGCGCTGACTGCCATCTACTAGGGGTGTAACAGTAAACAAAAATTTTGGTTCGGTACGGTTCTAAGTTTTGAAGCTTCAGTACAGTAATGGGACCTGATGCAACACTTTTTTTTTTCTTTATTAGGAACATTTAGAATTTCCATTTTACACATTGGGCTAAGTGCAGCATCTACAGTTCAGACTTGTACACCTGCTCAGGTTACTTTTTAATAACATTTTAAATTAAACATTGTAAAAAAAACAACATAAAATAAACTTATGCTGCATCCTTCAACCAAAAGAGTCTCCAATAAATAAAAGATATGAATGAAATAAAGTATTTTAGAATGAAATTAAGTAATTAATATAACCTATATGTAAAAATATTTATTTGTAATTACACTGACAACTTTTAAATTATTAAGCCAACACTTTTTTGAATGCCCTTTGAGCACATAATAAACCTAATCACATGGACAGTATAATTTAATCGCAGAACTATTAATAGTTCTCTCTGTCGATATAAGAACTTCAATGGCATTTGTTATGGCTTTGGCCCGTTCAGAATTACTAGCAAAAGGCTGTCTGTTTTTTCTTAGTTGCAGTGATGTTTAGATTCGCGTGGTGCCTTTTCAAGTGCTTTAATAAGTTGGATGTATTGCCTGCGACGTACACGATGTCCGCTAAACAACGACAGCACACTACTCTTGTCTTGTCAATGGCTTGTTTACAAACCGAGAGCACAGTTCATCAAAGTTAAATTCCTTGTGTGTGTAAGCCAATAAATCTGATTCTGATTCTGAATCCAGAACCACCATAATGCTGGCCTTGGTTTACTTGTAAGTATCAGTGTGAACTCAATTAAAAAAAGAAAACAACTACAGAAAAGAAAGAACTCGACTCAGCCGACAAACAGAAAAATAAACAACCTTTCGTCAGTACCTCACTGCTATGGTTGGATTGTATTGTGATCATTGTACATGTAAAGTAAAAAACCTGGTACCTCAGTGGAAAGACCTTGTCACCATATATCAGAAGTGGCAGGTGGTTACTTACTATTGGGCACAGTCGATTAGCTGGTACTCGTTGGATCTCTCGTAGCACGCCCTAACCCCCTCGTCCTGCCACAGTGTCTTCGCATGGTCGTAAAACTCCTGAGGTGCAATGAGGAAAGAAAAAACACATTAATGTCAGAAGACACTCTGACGTCACCAAATTAATTATTGCTGCTTCTGGAAAAGATATTTGTGTGGGATGCAATAATCAAAAGCTTGTTTAAGCTGAAAGTGGGAAACAAAAAGCAAGTTCTCTCTCATGGCAACGTACGATTGAGCACCTGTTATCTTTTAAGTGTACTATTCGACAGCCTTTGCTTGATTAAATAATGTCCAACAGCTTGTGTGCTGAATAACGTATTGGATTGCTACTACAAGCAGGGAGAAGTCAGTATCATTCACTGTGCATCTTACACCAAATGTGACAGGTATGGCACAGCACAGAAAGAAGAACAGGGTTGTGAGCCATCCACAATGTGTTGTTTCTAAGGGCACCAGAGGCTCAGCACTCTTGTTGACACCACATGCAGTGTGAGTTTTACCTGGGCAATGCCTGTGTACATGTCTATAAAGGTAAATAGAGGTGGATGGAAAGAAAGACACCCAGGCACTATGGACAAACTCACTCCCATGCATCACGGATTAACCTCTTCAACATTTCATTTGAATGGTTGTTGGAAAATTGCCTTAAAGTCCATGATCCAGGAAAAACACCTAGGCTGGTGACTTGCACAAAAACGTTAAGAAACACACATCCACAGCTTGTGATGCATATTCTAAGCACCACTGCATAATATATTGTTTCACCGATATATGTGCAACAGTCACATCACAGGACGTGCCATCTCAACTAAATGACCTGAAGCAGGTCGTGCTGCTATATTTTGATGCTTAATGGAAACTAAAATTCTCCAGTTTCTTGTTGACCATGACTAATAGCCGATGTACAAGAAAAGTCTGACTGATGTGACATTAGTGCAGCCCTTCACAAAATCAGAGCATGCATGGACCTCTGTGCATGCAGAGTCTGCATGTCACATAGCTGTAAACTAAAAAAATAAACACTACTGCTGTCAAAAGCCCCATTTCCACCAAGCGCTCCGGTTTGGTTCTGTACAGTTTGGTTCAGTTCGGTATGGTGAACCCTGATCTTGCTTGCGTTTCCACAGCCAACCATACCTTTATTTGTTAAGGTGGAGAGTAAGCCTGATGAAGATAGCAGTCAGCTACGAAATAGTGTGACATCATAGCAACAACACAGTGTAGCCAGCTATTAATTAAGTTCAACGAAGAAGAAGTATGGGACACAGTAAACAAAAGGGACCCTTTAGGGTCGACACAGACATAATAAAAAAAACACACATACATGCCTAGTATCAACCCTCTCTCTGTGTTCTCTAAGGCATAATATACTTTCACCATCCAGTTTCCCAACTCGAAAACTATTCCTTTCCCCTGCTCGTCATAAACAAGTCATCAACCAAAAGGAAAGCAGCTGCCCCCCCCTTTAATAAAAACTCACATTCATGGAGGACAGCCACTAAGGATTATCCTTACATACTGTGATTATTTAATTGACACTTTCCTTTTGCCTAAAAATGTTTAGAAAATTCCTAAAAATACGTGTTGAGTGTTTTCCATCGCCGAAGTCTCTATCTTCAAAAATTCTATTGGACTTACAGTCCAGCACTGATGTGTTGTACCAGCTATGTGTAAGTTAAATCGTAGCGTAGATTGGAAGTCATTTCTAATTTAGGAAGGAGTTTAAGCACTGCTAACATTAGAGGTGCTGAATCGACTGAGAAAGTTTAGGCTTAATGATGAAAGAACGTTTTTTTTGTCATCCTTTTGACCAAAGCTCTCTCTGTTAATGTCCCTCTGTTAAAACTCTGCATCAGTTTTTTTTAAATCAGCTGTCCAATCGCCCCCAGGATACGTTATTACAAAGTGAATATATCTTCACATTACAGCCATGAAACGATTGAAATGGACAACAGGGAAAACTCCTCAGATGTGAGATATGACACGTTCTATCCCCATAAGCAGGATGGAGTTTAACATGAGCGTAAAATCACAGTACCGTATTTTCCGCACTATAAGGCGCACTTAAAAGCCTTTAATTTTCTCAAAAAACGACAGTGCGCCTTATAATCCGGAGCGCCTTATATATGGATCAATTGGTTAATTGGTTGATCCATACTGGTTGTACACGGCGCTCAGCGACACTGACTCGGATAATGACGAGAGGGAGCCGGGCATGTTGGATGCCGTACTCGCCCAACTGTTCAATTCGGACACTGAAGAAGAAGAATTCGAGGGATTCGTGGACGGGGAATGAACTGAAAAAGTGAGCTTTACGTGTTATACGTAACTGAACAATGTTGAGTTATGCACTAACGTTTGAATTAGCGGTATCAGACTGTGTTTCTTTTACGTGTTTACAACTGAACAAGGCTGGGAGATATTGTGAATATGCACATTAACGTTTGAACAACGTTGAGTTATTGTGAATGCACTAATGAATGAACAATTTCGAAAGTTACTATATTGTGAATGCACTAACGTTTGATTTAGTGTTATCAGACTGTTTCTTTTACTACGTGTTTACTGAATCAGGGAAAAGTTCCCCTCCACGTTTGGGAGAAGAGGAGTGGATGCATAACGCAACCCCAGTCAAACGTTTGACTGCAGTATCTTCTATTCTATGCGCCTTATCATCCGGTGCGCCCTATATATGAAAACAGTTCTAAAATAGGCCATTCATTGAAGGTGCGCCTTATAATCCGGTGCGCCTTATAGTGCGGAAAATACGGTAACTTTGAGCACCCTGGTTACAACGCAAGTCATATTACAAAGTCAAACTTCATCCCTCAACATTTGTTTTGTTGCATGTCCAGGGAAAAAAAACATCTTTTAAAAGCGCACACACACACAAAATAAAACAGAGCCACTGGAGCTGGTAGAAATAAGTGTCTTGCCCAAGGACACTTCTGCAGGGTTGATGTGTGTGTGCTAGTTTGGCAGCACAGCTGTTAGCTGAAGGTCATCATTTATGGCTGTATGTACACAAACAAGAGGCGCTTTGAGCCGTCTAATGTCCTTCCATAATCATCATAATACAATAAACACAAGCAGTTATACTAATTAGATCCTTATGCCAATGAATACATTATACAGTGGCAGGCGAATCAAAATACTAAGTTCTCAAGAAACCATGGAAGGTATTAACATAAGGTTTCTTCGACAACTTGGGCATTTTAAGACGTATAGAAGCTGGTGAGAAAGCCTATCTTCAGAATATACAACCTTTAAGACAATCATAATAAAACAATTCAAACCCCCCTTTTTTAATTTAATTATTGTTGCATAGAATTTGAGTTCAAGCACTGATTTAATGGACTTGAGCTTGTATTACGCTTTTCTAGCCTTCTGATTACACAAAGCGCTCACACCTACCCATTCACACACTGATGGCAGAGGCTGCTATGTAGACTGGTCATTAGTATTAACTAATCCCATTCATACACATTCAATTGCCGCTGACGAAGCAGAAGGAGCAAATTGGGGTTTAGTGCCTTGCCCAAGAACTCATTGGAATATGACTTCATGAGCTGGGGATTTGAGCCCTCATCCTCCCGGTGGCGAGATGACCCCCTCAACCAATGAGCCACAGCCGTTGCTCTGAAAAAAATGTTCAGTTGCTGGCTCTTAAGTCTCTATGGCCTTCTAGAAGCAAGTGAATAAAAGAGAATCAAGCCTGGCCCCACAACTGTCTGTGGATAAACAATTAAATCCCCCAGAGTCGGAGGTTAAATCCCTTGGCTTTGACAATTAGTTAATGAGAAAATCCAAGGGAGAATACTAAACTCACACAGAGATTACCCATGTCAAGGGACTATCACCTGGGATTTGAGATAATGACCTACCATCATCCCCTGAAATAAACACAGGTTAGAGGATACCTGTACCTGTTTCCAATGTATTATGTTAGCCCCAGCTTTACAACGACATCAAACAGGGAACACTACAGTACATCTCGTACGGTTCCTACGATTCATTAAGAACTACAAGCAACAGATTTTAAATGCAGTAATTCCAAGTTTAGGAACAAAGTATTTCTACCAACAATTAAAAAATTGCAGCCGCATGGGTCTCTGTAGCTGTCACAATCATTTTCCTGATAGTGGTGGTGGTGTGTGTGTGTGTGTGTGTGTGTGTGTGTGTGTGTGTGTGTGTGTGTGTGTGTGTGTGTGTGTGTGTGTGTGTGTGTGTGTGTGTGTGTGTGTGTGTGTGTGTGTGTGTGTTTCTGTACTGTTTGTTATGTACTACTCACAGAGGGAAACTCAAAGTCCTTCTGGCCGATGAGGTTGAGGATGTATTCAATCCGATACCTGTTCGCTGGGCACGCCAACTGCACTGGTGGTGTCAGAGTGCTCATAGCTGTAACTATGGTCTGTCAAAAGCACACCAATGAAAAAACAAACAGATTCAGGTTGTGTGACAAGCACAACGATATTCTAACATTAATAGGAAAGCAGGACTAACTATCTGCTCATATGTATGATCTTGATTAAACCCACTGAAGGATATGACTAATCGTTGGCGTTTTGTGTACTAACAAGAGGCACTATCACAGCCACTTACCTCAATAGCTTCTTTAATGTTATTCTTGATGTCCTGAATTTTCTGCTTCTTCTCTCTGAAACAGACACACAGGCTCAGTGACATTATGTTAGGGATTACTGTAAAGACATTACATTCATACAGACATAAGAGTGTTTGCAGCCCGAGAGTACAAAACACTACAAAAGATAGAGAAGAGTACATCCATCTTCAATGTCATTCTTCTTACTCTAGCTACTTTTGCTATGTGGAGGACCACTATGAGCGGCCTGAATTCCGATGCATGTTTTGAGTTTAAACCTCCTTACTGTTTACATTGATAAGGAGACACTAAACATTTGGCTTTTTTTTTTTTTACCCGACATAGAAAATCAGCCCTCAAAGAAAAAGAGGATTTAGTTAGCAGTACAAAGAAGGCACTCCATGTTACAATGACATGGAGTTTGTTTTTAATCTAGGAACTGTAAACAGACCTTCATTGGCAGCGTGGCGGATAAATTATGTCTGCTGTGAAGATAGCTGTAGACATTTGGACTCTTTGAGACTGAAATTACAACAAAGGCAAGTGGAGAAGCCAGTTCAGCTAAAAGAGCTTTGTGTTTACAGTTGATTTGACAACATTCACCTACATCGACAAAGGGAACGATGGGCCTCTTTGGCCTGTGCCAATGTTCAACTTTTCACAAGAGACATGGCTGCACTAAATTATATCCATGCGAATATACTGTATATTAATTTCTATAGACCAGGGCCATTTACATTCCAAAAAGTCTATTTAACCATTTGGTTATCCCCCCCAAAAAAGGGCTGAAGCATTCCTTCACAGGCTCATAATCAGAGAAGACATAGAGGTGATCAATGCTACCTCTTCCCATGCCTGAAATTTCAAGGGAACAGTAGATAATGCCAGGTGGTGTGGTGGTTAGCGCTGTCACTCACAGCATCAAAGTTCTCAGTTTTAAACCTGCCTACTGGCTGAGGCCTTTTCTGTATGTAGTTGGTATATTCCTCCTTTATCTGATTTTTCCCACCTCATGCTGCAACTTTTACAGTCCAAAAAACATGCAAGTTTGGTCACTCTAAATTTCACCGTAGGTGCGAATCATAGATTGTAAATATTAATGGATGAAGCCTGAGTGACGTTAGCCATCTGTTACAGCAGGGGTTTCCGGAGGCTCATCGGCAGCCGCCGCCATGCTAGAAATCCTGCCTCAGCCTAACTTTCAGTCAATCTAACGACAGGCTCAGAGCCGGGGTCTTGTCAGCTACGCGCCTAGCTATGGATAACACGTATCGTTTTCAAAATCAATGAATAACTAATCAGACCTATTGTCTGAATTATCTTTACCATACAAATGTGCAACACAATATACTGTATATAAATGAAAATTAAATAATAAAAACATGAAGCACAAATTTACTTCCAGTATGCACAGTTGTGTTAGACAAGTTCTTAACATGAGTTTTTCACTTAGCTATTAACTCATTTCCCTGCAGGAAGATAATCACATATATAGCCTTCAAAAAGCCACAGCCCTCAGTCTTGACAACTGCTGCTCAACTGCATCCAGGACATTAACACCTGGACCACCCAAAACTTCCTGGCACTTCAGACTCCAAACAGCCTAATTTGTAATAAACTCTGCCGGATTGTCAGCAACATGTTGTGAAAAAATCTTGTGGGTGATTTTTTTTTTTTTTTTTTTAATTCTTCTTTCATATTTGATAAACAGACTCTGTGGTGAGACTCTGCTCCCTCCAGTGAAAAAGTCATCCATCTTTTTATAGCCTCTCATCACTCTGGACTATATCTACTATACGGTTAGAAAGGACGTTGATTAGGCCTTGTTTACATTTTCATCCTGACAGTCATTAAAGAGGGGGGTGCAGACAAGAAAGCATGATAACACAACTGGTTATAGTGATGACATCCAATCATGTATTCAGGTGAATTAACTATTAGTTAGATGGTAAGCACATGATGACCCTTTGGGTCCTAGCCCAAAGGCAACTCAGTCTTAGTTGAGAAGAATAGAAAGAGAGCCTAGTCAGTCATTCATTCCTTCCTTTAGAAAACCAGGCCAACCTTTGGAACCAGAACTCTTGTCACAAGCAACTTACTCTGACCTTTTGGCCACCACAACACTTATTCCATTCACCCAGACTGTGTCGTCACAGACATATTGAATTCTTTGAGACCAAAATCAGTAAATGTATGCTCTATCTCAGGATCCAGGCTTTTTAAGACGTGTTTCTAGGTTTATCATGTGGAGGCCTTAGAGCCACTGGCCTTAAGGATTGATTCAGCAGAAATTTTAAAAACAAGGGTGTTTTTATTTTTACACACTAAAGGGATAACATTTAACCCCACGTTCAACATCTAACAGTTTAAGTACACATATAGAGCAAGTTAGCAGAGTGTTGTTTCCCTTAGTACTCCAGTTAACTACACACAGAAATAGAGGAGCCATACAAGGGCTGGATAAACAAAAAATCCAACCAAAAAATCCAAGCATCAACCAGTTGAGAACCACTGTTGTAGACTGCTTAAAGCTTCCTTTTACACTACAATGAATGAATGAATGAATATTTGATTTTCATGTCAGAGCATTTACAAGACCCATCCCACATGGAATTATACTGACACATTAGCTGAGAGACAATCAAATGTTCCAGCATGTTATGTGGCCAACATCACAACAGCACTATTGACATGAACCCTCCCCCAAATACAAACACTCCAATAGGCAAGATATACAACCAATACCAACAGAGCCCCCACAACCCAAGGCGCAATACACCAATACAAACAAAACACATAACTACATGTCACATTCACACAACATTCACACACTGATGGCTGATATGTAAAGAGTCCATCAGTATTGATTAATCCCATTCATACATATTCACACACCACTGGCTATGCCACTTGGGAGCAAATTGTGGTTTAGTGTCTTGCCAAAGGACACTTCGACTTGTGGCTTCAGCAGCTGGGGATCGAACCCCATCCTTCCAGTTGTGAGACGACTGACTCTACCACTGAGCCACTACCCCAGCTGTACTTGTACAAGCCCTCCACAGACACCTAACAAAAACACATAGATAAACACACGCTTCTCTCTAGCCTCTCGCTGTGCTGAAGCTAATGGGGATCCAAAGGATCCAAAACATACAGTTCAGTTGTATGAAGTTATTTGCTGTGGTCACAGACTGCAGATATACACAAATGGACAACGTGCCTCAGCCTCTTCCTGTTGAACAAAGACGAAGCCAAAATATCCCTGCAAATTTGGAACCACACTCTGTGCAGTAGGGAACAGCTGGAAGACCCTCGGTATTAAATTAAATATATGCTCTCTTTTGGTGTAAATTATGTAATAAAACTTGGCTTTTATATATTCTTTACTTTAGCGCCCTTACATGAGCTATCTGGATAGCCAAAAACTAAGATAATATGGTGCAGAATTTTCCCCTGCTGAGATTTGGGGTGGGGCAAAAGTATGTTTTTTCTTTTCAAGTTTCTAAATGTTTTTTCTACAATAACTTAATTTATCCTGAATTTAGTGCTATTTAAATGAATAAACTGGAACCAACCTGACAAATAGATACAGCCAACAGCAGCTTTGAGCTAGCTGGCGACCAGCTGAAAGGCTTTCCTAACTGTCAGCTGGATCCAGTCCGAGCAGTCCCTGTGACGCTGCTCCAGGAAACAAGATGAGAATGCTAATGAAAAATGCCAGATTTTTTCTTTATCCACCTGGATGGAATACCTTCCAGATGAAATACCAGTGTGTCTAATGTCCTTGTTATTGTGACAAGATAAAACTAATAAATGGATTCATAACAGAATTCAACATAGTTCCAATGGAGGTAAGATAGCATTAATTTTCAAGCAAACTGGCATCTATTTTTTTACTGTAAGTTACAAGCAGAAGATAAAAAGTGCATCAGTCAGATCTTTGCCAAATCTTCTCTTTTTCTTTGTGAGCAACTGAGATGTATATGAAAGATAAAAAGAGGCCTTGTGTACCATTTTCAAAACTCATGTTGTTTTCACATTTAAGAGGAGAAACAACAAATGTCCCACTGATTTTAACTTCTCAAGGAAAGGAAATCGAGCTTGTCAAAAGCTACAAGTACTTGGGATATATTCTTGAGTGTGATCTGTCTTTTAAATCACATAATGCCAATTTGGCCTCTAAACTTAAGGTGAAGTTGGGATTTTATTACAGAAATAAATCCTGCTTTTCCCTCAGAGCAAGGAAACTTATTGTTTCATCAACCTTTCTTCCTTTGTTGGATTATGGATATGTACTGTACATGGCCGCTTCAGCCAAATGTTTACAGTCATTGGACACCGTGTATAACTGTGCGATGAGATTTTTGACTGGTTGTAGACCCTTCACTCATCACTGTGACCTGTACAATAACTCAGATTGGCTATCTTTGAAGGTAAATTGACATGCAGTTAGAAAATCCCAGATCCAGAAGTCGAACAGTATAAATACGTAGCATAGCAAAAGTCATGTCAGCATCTGCCCCTTGAATATCTGTACAATATGAAATGTACAGAGCTGTAAAGATGTGCATATTTTCACTGTTTGGTAGACCAGGGGTTCTCAAACTTTTTGGGCTTGTGTACCCCCTTTCAGAATTATTTTCAGCCAAGTACCCCGCTATCCGGCCAAAGACATTTTTCAGGAAATCATTTGGGAAAAGAACAAAGCTGTTGGCTTATGTCACCCTGCAAAAGACAAACAGTGCTTTGGGAGGAACAGAATACGTGGCGGTTAATCCCATAAAAATGTATTAGTGGTGGGCGATATGAAAAAAATATCATATCACGATCACAATTTTTTTCCATTGAATAAAATTTTTTGCAAGTTACCAACCAGTTTAACCAAACTTATTTCCCTGTATAATGTTTTTAATTGCACAAATAATGTGCTTAGAAGTTTAGTTTATTTATTTTACCATTTTTTACACCAGAAATGTCTTCCCCTGCATTCTGATAAATTTGTATGTACAATTGTAGGCTTTTATGCACCACTTTAAATTAATGATTTAGTATTGTGTCCTCTTTGGTGTCTTTAAATCTATTTTAAGGTTCATCAGGTACCTTTTTATACAGTGATGCATTCATTTAAAAACATGTAGACTTCAAACATAATCCAAAATGTGATTATTGTGTGACACATGGTCAAAGTAAGTTTTACTGAATTAAAGAGCTCATATTATGCCCTTTTTGGGGTTTGTATATTTAATCTATGTACTGTACACACCGGCTCGCTTCAGACTCTCTCTCTAAGGCTCTGAAGTGCCCATGTTCAGAGTCCCCACGTATGCCAAGTCTGATCTGACTGGTCGGCCTGTCAGCTCTGCCGTAATTGGTCAGTCGCTCAGCACAGTTCTCGGAAATGTCCCGCCCCTTTTACCATATTGGGAATGCAGCCACTTTGGCTCCGAGGGGAGCAAAAACATTAGCACCTTCGCACTACTGTGCTACCGCAGGCTACGGCATATCGTGGGCGTGCTACAGAAGTTAACGGACGTGCAACATGAGCTGCAGGGCTTGCCAAACGAGCCAATGGGCTTAGATCAGTGATCTCACACTGACAAGATGTCACACTGGCAATTTTTTTCGAGGGGGGCTGGAACGGAGCGTTACATGCAGCTAATGCTGCAGCTAACAGGAGGACATAGGAGAAGCCGCATTTCCGCGGACTTTGAATTTTTGCACATAGATGTGCCTAAACATGCACAGGACACTTGGAAAACACACTAAAGAGCATATAAAACCAGAAAAAGTATAATATGACCCCTTTAAGAGTTTTATTCACGGCGGGGCGGGCCATCGTTGTTTGACGGACAGACAGTCACCATGGTTACTCACTCTCACCTGCCTGCTGCACACTGAACGAGATGAGAAAGAGGTGCTGACTGACATCACTTCAAGCAGCATGCATAGATACTAATGCATGGAAATAAATGTTTGTAGGTGACTGTTCAAAAACATTTTTTTTAACAACTGAGGTCCAGACCTCGCTGATATTATCGCCTCCCTCTGTTTCATTCTCGTTTCAGTTATTACAACAGGTGAGCTTCGAGTGGAGAGGCTTGTTAATAACTTTAAAAACTGCATCATAAAATGAACACATTAGCTCCGTTCTACGACATCCCTGTATTTGCAGATTATCAACACGTTTAAATCCTTCACAATCTAAGATCGTTATATCTAGTTTGCTGTGATGCAACTTTTTTTTGTATGACATTTGTCACGTACCCCCTGCAGTACTCCCACGTACCCCTAGGGGTACGCGTACCCCCATTCGAGAAACACTGCAGTAGACAACCAGTCTGGCGCTTGCTAACCCGTTTAGCATGGTCAACTGGAAGAAAGTCTAATGGCAACTTGCTGAAAGGGGGTATACCGCCACCTATCATAGCAGAGTCTAACATACGGTAATTCCTTAAATAAATGGATTCTTCCCAGGTGCTTGTACATATACTGGGGACAGTAGTCCAATCAAATTAAATGGTCTCATCGAGCTGTAACTGTTGCTCGACTTAACTGTGCATGTAGACAAAGTGACTGTGAACCCAGGCCTCACAGAACCAGCAGTGGTGTAACATTGATGGCCAGACTTTAGTGGACCTACATTGAGTTGTCAATTACAGATGTGACAATTTGATGAGCATAACTAAGTTTCTGGTCCTCTGCAAGGTTCTAAGGAGATAAAGATTCTGCCTTCGATTCTGGTTTCTGGGTGCAGCCTGAAAACTTGGAAATATAATTGTTTGGCGCACAAAGCAGATGCAGCCTTGACCGAACAACGTATTTTCAGCTACATCTAACCCTAACCCTCCATCATACTTACTCTGCATTGAAGCCGTTGACATGCAGGATTCTCATCTGTTTCACTATGGTGCTCTTTCCTGACTCGCCAGCTCCTGGGAGTGACACAGAAAGAGAAACAGAAATTAGGAGACTGTGAAACACCACACACATAGACACACACAGTATTAGGATACAGTAGAACATTCACATTAGTCAGAAATGCCACTTTATAGTATTTGTATTAGTGTAAAGGAAACTTTACACTGACAAACAGCAAATTTAAAAAAATGATGTTGTATTTAGAAAACTAAGAGAAGACTCAAGGACACTGCATGGTTACAACTGAAATAATAAACTGGATAATTTCACTAGATACAGTGACCAGAATCACAGGCTTACATTCACAGACTTCATGATGTGTGCCTATGAACGTTTCGATAAAATAAAATTTAAACATGATCTGTGCTCATTACTTTTATTGGTTTTGATCTTAACAATCCAAGGGTTGAATCAACAACAGCCCAAACCCTCGTCATGTGGCGTCTGTATACGTGTCAGGGCCTTTTTTATTTTCCATTCATGCGTTTGTATTTTTCTCTTTCGCAAAGCGTTTTGGCTAATCAATTTGTGTTTGGCTAATCAATTTGTGGCCAGGGAGTCCTGGCCACCTTAACAAATGTGAACATGCAACAAATAAGATGTTGTGTTTACAGCAAACAAAATAACTCCCTTGTTTCTCTGTAAATTTCCAAGGCGCACGCACTTGTCAATTGCTCTAAGAAAAAAAAAAAAGAACTCTGTAGGACTATGAACCCTGACCTCTTCTCCCAAACTAAAGAGGTACTCCTAGGAATAAACTGAAATGTATAGTGATGGGATGGCACATAATAATGTAGGAAGTGTGCCGAGCTCTCAGCTTTTTTAATGATCTGTGCCTTATAAAAATCTAAATAAATCACATTTTTGGCTATACTATGCAATATATGTAAATGAACATGGACTTTAACAACACAAACCTCTTAATAATTTAAGTCTTACGATTCAAACCCAATACAACTATTTAGTGATAGAGAACAAGAAAATAAAGAAAATTTAAATAAAACAAAATGAGTTATTCAATCCTTCTCTAATGAAACACCCACTGATGTAAAGCTGAAACTGGTTAAGACATTAAGGTGTCAACGTGCAGTACATAGTGTACATAGTTTTCAAGGTGTAGGAATCTTAAACTCAGCAGTGATAGTTCAGAAGTAGCCCAGAAGTCAGTCAAGCTAAATTCTGATTTACTGAGGACAATTTGTGCTAAACTGTCTGGTTATCTCTAAGTTATGAGTCTAGTTAGAGAATGTTACATGCTTTATGGTAAGCTAGATATATCTAACGCTATGTTCAAATCACAACACTATATCACATTTGTTCTCAAATGTCAAAGGCTTTAACAAATAACAAGCAGTAGTAAGTGAAAGCATTAAAGAGGACATATTATACCCCTTTTCTACCTTTTCAAACAGTCCCCTGTGGTCTAAATGAAACATCTGTGCTGTGCTTTGTTCAAAATATAACATGATTCAAGCACCAGAGGAGGTTTGTGACGCTCTCTCCCCTCCAGGGAGATTTTTTTTTTTTACCAGAATTCAACTTGTGACATCACAAGAAGAGCAAATTTGAAAATGAAGCATTTTTCTCTGTGTTGTAAGACTTATGCAGACCACAAACAAAGGACTGGATGGGTTAAATTCACATTTTGTGGGTCGGTAGACACTCAGGTTACCCAAATACATGTTCAAAAACACTGTGAAAGTAGATTTTTCATAGTATGTCCCCTTTAAAACTTATTCTTCACAGTTCCTAATAAGTACATTTCAGCTTGCATCAGATGTTTTTTCCATTGCCTACGTCAATAATGCTTCTTAAAATTCTTAAACCCACTAATTTTGAGACTGCAGATATTAAAGGAGCAATATGCAACTGTGACACTTAGCGTTTAAAATTGGTACTGCAGTCCATATTCAAAACATTGAAGGGAGCTGCCCCCCGCCCCCTCCTCCCTAGAGTTGATGATAAACTGTCATGTCCCACCAAAGTTTCTGCGTTTAATCAGCTTTGCCTCAGTCTGTAAACCTTTCTGTGTTCTAACCTCTCTCCATTTTTCAAAAGCATCTCTAATATTTATCCTAGTTTTACCACGTTTCTGCTCGTGGAGCTTGATAGAAAAAGCTGAGGCTTTTGAGGTCGGGTAGAATCACTTATATCTGAACTAGTTTTATTGCTTGTTTCACAACTAAGGAGGAGGACATACTGGCTGCTGCATTGTTGTCAGAGAAGCCAGCACTTGAACATAGCATGTTTTCTAAATGTCTGATCATATAGTAAGGTCATTTTATTTTTTACTTCAGTAGATATGTTCCATATTGGACCTTTAAACATCAAGACTTATTGCAAAGATCACATTTCCTTAACTCGAGGTTGTGTGATTTGAAAATACTACAGCAGCAATTAGTCCCACGCGGTCCTGAACTCCATCATATCGCTGGCAACATAATCTTCCTGTCAAAAATGGATCGCCACACAGGAAAGGGTTGTGAATTTAATTGTTTAAAATAGTGAGCTTATACGAAGAGAGTCATCACACGCACATGGACACATTTGATACGCTTCGACCACTACGTTTCTTATGCTTTGAGATACTGTTAATTGCATCTATTCCTGGAAAGGCTCCTTGATCGCTTACCATTACACAATTCTTTTTTTTTTAAAGTGTAGAACTGGTACACTTTTAAAGGTGTAAATAAGCATCCTTCATCCAGCTTTGGACCATGCCTTTAAACCCCCATTAGGCAAAAGGCTCCCATGTTGTTGTCCCATTCTTTCATTGATGCAACAACTTTGGTGTTTTCAGGACAATCAGAGGGCATACTTCTACCAAGGCCAATAGTTGAGTCTTTTTTGTAACTCCTAAAGGCAGCTCTACATACTGTAAGTCTGGATAATTCACTATAACGCAATAGTGTGGTGAAAATATAGTTATGCCTAGCTGAAGAGTTATCATGTAAGTTGTAGATTTAGTATGCATTTCTAAAATGGAAATATTCACATATTTGACATACATACATACATACATATTTGAAAACAGCAGTATACAAAACACTGTGTGGATAAGGAAGTCATGTTTAGATGTGGACACATTTCAAGGGTTCTTCCATTGTCCATACTAAACCTCAAACATCATTAGTTTCAGAAAAGAAAGTTGTATCTGTAATCTTGCAAGCAGACAAACAAATAGAAAACATTTGCTACTGGCAGAGCTTCTTAAGAGAACGATTAAGTTGCCTTCATGTCCTGTGAGAAAAATGTGATCACTGTTCATGTCTGTGATACACTGCTGTCGACAACTGATATTAGTAAAAAGAAGGACTAAAGTCATTTTGTGTTTCTGGCATTGCAGCTGTATGCTACAGGTCCATAGATGGCCTGTGAGGCATCTTCTGTAAGAGTCAAACTTCCATCTGTTGCTCTGGATCCACACCTGCAGTGTGTACAACTGCATGAGAAGAGAGCAGCTCAAAGTTCAATGTGTGAGCTCTGTGTTCGCAGCTCTTTCACACAGTAGGACACCTTCCCTGTCCCTAACATGTTTTTTTTTTTTATTCTGCTCACTCTCCACTTCATCTTTAGCAGTCGATCCACTATTGTTTAAAACTTTATATGGCAACAATCTACAAAATATAAATATTATTTATAACTGTCTCCTATTTTACAATGGAGTACTCAAAAGGTCTGCCAACAGATGACAACTATTTCTGTGTTACTGACACATAACACAAAGACTCCACAAGTATTAAACTATTTCTCATGTTTTGGTTCCTGATTGTCGATTTCACCCGGAGATTCTTTGAGATTAAAAACAAAAGTACTATCTTTTTCCCAAAATGTATACAAACCAACATGGCCTTGAATACACTTTCAGCTGAAAAAGGTTACAATGGAGGGTGAGCCTTTCATGCTACATTTGGCTTAGCTCACTGTTTTAACATATAAATATATAAACATGCCCCCCAAAATATTACAAATCCCAAATTACAGCCGGCAGATCCATGGCCTTGGCATATTTTAAGTTAAAGCTATCTTTACAACAGATATATTTGTTTTGGAATTCATGTGGGTCCTGTTCTTCTGCTTTCCTGAAGTAAACACAACTTCCTCCCCACTATAAATACAGGTGTGTCATACATTACACACCCACACTAATGTTTCTGTAATCAGGTATAATGAATTTTACAAAGAACACCAAGACTTTTTGGGAGCGTTAAGCCTGCGATTGGACAAACAAGGAGGGTACAGAGGACAGCAAGGCAGGGAAAGTTAAAACACTCTTTGTCTCTTATGTAATAAAAGACAGAGCCCACCTCCAGATCACTCTCTCACACAGATGACCACATGTTGGGCATTATTCACGTTCATTTCTCTTTGAAGTGTTGTTTTTTTCTTGCAGTCACACAGTCACACACTGTTTGGGCTCCAAAGATCCACAAACTGGTAGGCAATGTAAAACAAGAGTTAGCTTAGCTTAATGTTCAGGCATGACGAAAACCACCACAAATTTAGTATTCAGTGTGCTTTACAAAATATAGAAGGTCATGTTGAATCAAACTTTTGTTATCTTTAAATTAACAGGAAACTCTGGTTGATTTGAGTCAGTGCTTGTTTTGTTCTATAATGACCAGTGACATTAGAGTACCCACTTTATACATTACCTTTGCATCACTGAATATATTAAAAACCAACATATAGGCTCTGCTAAAGGATGTTTGGGCGTTTGTAGTGGTAGATGGTGTCAATTTGACAGCAACCTGCTGAATACCCAGCGCAGTGCTGCATTTTTAGTCTTATGCAATAGCAAAGTCACACTGTTGACAATGTTTCCCAAAACAACATCCCAGAAGGTTATGCAGGGAGGAAGCAGCGTCTCAACTTTGCAGACTAAAACTTGACTGTATGAAAGTACGTATGAGAAAAATCAAATAAATTAAAAAAGAATTAAAAAATAAACTCACCTAAAAGTAGTAGTCTGTGTGTTGCTCTGTATATCTGTTTGTCTTTTTGGAGCTGCTTCTCTATCTTTTTGTTTGCTTCTCTTTGTGCCTTCTCCTCATTTCTCTGGTCTTCGGTCTTACTGTTGCCCAAACAACCCATCTTCCCGCAAGAAAAAAAGAAAAAAGGGGGTCAAGGGGAGGAGGAGGTGGTGGAGGGGAGAAGTAGTGTAGGTGGAGGGGGTATATAAGGAAAAATAAATAAACTAAACTGGTCTAGATTCCTTGTTGGACATGCGGTTTCTGTTGCAATGTTACCCTCATTCACACCATTTTACGTCCCTGGCCAGCTCCAAAAACTAAGCGTTTTGCAGCACTGTAGAAATTATGTGTCCATAACGCGTATTTTGCTGTCAGAGAAGGGCAGGATACTGTTGCTGACGACACCAAGGCCGCCTTCTCAGTTTGCTGAATCCTGCTAGGGCTTTTTTCCTCCTTCACATGCAGTATAGTTTAGATTTTCCAACTCGTACCCCTCGTCAACTGTGTCTCGCAAAGAACCGAAATCCACAACGTCTCTTAGGACACCAAAAATCGGTGTTTCACCTCAAACGGAGGCAGACTTAACAGCCTTATTTGCATCTCCGAAAAGCCCGGGTCTTGCGTCTCACTGCTGCCCGTGACAAGAAGCCGAAGTCGGCCTGTCCGAAAACCTCGCCAGTGCTGTGGCGCGGCTGGTTACCACGTCTTCTAGCATGATAAACACTTCCATAGGTGTACAATACTTCGATATCTCCGTCACAGTCGTAGAGGGGGGAGGGGGGGGGCAAAGGGACAGGAAGTTGAAAATAATATTTACACTCAAACGAGCTACATGTGTGATACTCTGGTTGCTTCCGTCGTCATCCGGCTCCTTTTCATTTGCTGCATCAAATCAACCCTAAACAGTCCCAAACTCACTGCGGTTGTCTTTTCGACTGGTCCCCCACCACCTCCAACCCTGACAGGAACCAGTTCCCCCCGAATTGTCCTCCTTATTTGTGATGGCTGTTCCTTGCAGTGTTTTCTCCTCCAAAGGGCCTTATTTCGCTCCCAACCCCTAGCTTTTGTTGCTGAAATGTGTTATCAGCCCCGCACATCACCAACGAGCCTCCAAAACTGCGCACCTATTCTTTTTTAAATTCTCGTGCTGGGCCCCGATTAATCCATTCAAGTTGATAATCATTAAAGAGAGAGAGAAAAATGGAAAAAGATGTGTAAATCCCTCGAAATGCATCCACGTTCCTTGCAGGTGAAAAAGCAACCCCGCTGTCAGGCTCAGTTTCTTTAGCCTGCATACGGCCTACATATGTCTACACATGAAGACACTCGTGCAAACATGATACATATTCCTGTTAAATCCGAGGTGGATAAATTGGCTACAGGCTTAAGACTACATGTGCATACATTCACAAAAAAAGGACGCGGGGTTGTTGTAGCAGCACATTCCCAGCGCGAAGGCCGCTCCCCTCCTGGTCGCTGATCGAGGAAGGTGAAAGAGAGGAATAACCAATTCTTGGAGGTTATTATTTTTTTCCTTTCTCTCTCGCACTTTCTCCGATAATAGTAGCCTACATTGAGGAGATAGACAGCGCCGAAGAGAGACGGGGTGGGGCCACACAGCGCTCATTGAACCCTGGGAAGGAAGGACCGAGAGGAGGAAAAGAGAGGCCGCTTCACCTCGTCACGTGGCCCGGGTGCGGAGTGGCGTCAGCGGCATGGCGCTGCGGAGAAAACGGCGCTATGTTCAAAGCAATTGCGACCACATCTCTTTTCTCTGAGAACTAGCCCTTTTAGTTGGACTCTGGTTAAAAAAGCCTGTTTCATTAAAAATAGTCTAATTCTTACCTCAGTAGAGCTGCAGCAAATCCCATCTACCTAAGGTAGCCTGTTCACTTTGTTATGTTAATTTCCCTAAAAAAATATAATACAAATTAAAGTTGAAATCCTTTTTGTACAGTCTTTATCATGCATTCTTCTCAGGCTTTGGTCGTCTGCTGTAGCTTATCTACAAATTAAAATATAAGACGTATCAACAATGTCACTGTTAAGATATAGTCAAATAAAGCCGAGTAGTCGCCAAAGTTAGGCTCCCAGCCTTCAAATTTCTTTAAAGCCTCTTCGTAAAAGCTGTCAAATATTGTCATATTTAAATGTTCACACAGTTAATAACATTTTTTTTTTATTCAGAACGTGATACTGACATTGAAACTAAAATGTGGGCTTTTGTGTAAACAACTGAGTGTCACAGTGTTTTCTGGGCCAAATATTATACTTCTGTAACACTTAAATGAAATCATTGATTCCCAAAAGTTTTTTTTACTAAAAACAAGCTTCATTTTAGTCACAGGACAAGCCACCGCCTTTACTGCAGTTAAGCGTATTAAACGATAGGTGGCAGTAGTATTCTAACTCTGAGAAAAGGGATTTGAGTTCAATTTTTGCAAACAGATCAAACAAAACAATGTCATAACCCATAAACAATAAATAATTTGAAAGAAACAACTAAATCTTTGCCTTTAATTTTTTTTTATGTCAGTCTAATCTAAATAATCTAAATGTTCTGATTTAATCTAAATGAGTGGGTTTTAATGTTACACCTAACCCTTAAGGGACATTGCCTTCTAAATTGAAAAATAAAATATTAATACTAATTTGTCTCCCTGTTGTGTTGTTAAGGTATCAGGCAGACATTATAGCATTCAGCCATTTACTGGGGCAAAACATCTTCTTACATCATTCAGTGGGATCATGTCTGTCAATATCAGTCTCAAGTTATTCCTATCAATGAAAATTTCAAAATGTAATTGCTTTTATATCAATCTAATATAAAAAATAAAATGTTGTGACCCATGAGAACTTTATATAATACATATATATATATATATATGGTTTGTCCTAATGACAGGGACTAAAAGTGCTGGAGAGCTCTTTATTGGAAGCCCCCAAATGTCCTTTGGGCTTTGTGGTGGGCTTTGTGAGTGTTATGCTGACCTGGTGCTCTCCAGAGCTTCAGGCCAAATCAGTGAATATCTGAGGAGCAGCCATCTGTTAGACTAACATTAAAAACATTACTGCCACACCGCTCTTGTCCTGATTGTTTTTCAGGATAATACTATAATACCAGAATCTATGGATAAGTGTTCATGATGGACTAATGTTTGGTCTTTGTAGATAATATAACAATGAGTACGGTCTTTTAGCTGCTCTTTTGCTATGGGGAAAGGATTGATTGATTGATTAAAGGGAGTCACACAAACAGAAAACTTGCTCAACATGAGCTGAAAAATGAAAAATTAACCTGAGTCTCATGTAACACTTGATGCCTGGTGTTGAGTCAAAGATTTAAAGACAATCTGCCTTGTGTTCCTATTAATCTATTAATTCAATTTTTTCCCCTAAATATTTATTTTTGGGCTTTTTGTGCCCTCAATGGAGAGTAGGACAGTGGATAGAGCCGGAAATCAGGGAGAGAGAGTGGGGAATGACATACGGGAAGGGAGCCACAGGCGGGATTTGAGCCTGGGCCGCCCAGTTGGAGGACTATAGCCGACATTCTTGGGATGCGTGCACTAACCATTGTACCACCAGCGCCCCATTTATTAATTCTATTTGACAAACATCTCTGCTTGTTTTGTTGTCTGGATTTTTTTTAGAATTGTGCTTGCTTATTTTTCTTCTGAACACACACACACACACACACACACGCACGCACGCACACACACACACACACCAACACACACACACACACACACCGTTAGCACATTAGCTCTCAGCTCTTGTTAACTGCACTGTCATGAAAATGTTGCTGCCTCCTCAGCACTCATTCTCATCATAATCAATTTAGAACTGCTGCTGAGGAGTAATTGAATGTGTTTTCCCTTCATTGAGTTAGATTTTATCGGCCCACAGATAAGCATCAACTGTGATAATCTACAGACAAATACACACAAGGACCCCATACGTTTAGTTTGGCTTTCGTTAACTAGGTTACCATTGTCTGGAGTATTTGTGGTGCTACAATGATTAAATCAAAATGAATCACTTTTATATTGTGGTATTGTGAGCATATTTGCACAATTCTAAAGAAGAAAAGCACCTGAAGCTAATTTTGGCCTCCTCTGTACCCATTTCATTTATTACCTCTATTATGTTGAGCTGGATAAACCTAGGGAGTCTTTTAACTAGACTGACTTATAGTTTCAGCTCTGATCTGACAATTTATTTCTATGTTGAAGTTATTCTGTCCTGAATGCAGCATCCTCATGATGTTTACATAAATACCCATAACTCAGCTGATTTCACCCTTATAGTTCCACTAAAACACCCGACTCTCAAATGAGCCTTCAGTCTAACTTTCAGGAGAGTAGAATAAAAATGCAATTTGCCATATTCTAACCTTACAGAAGCCCTCAGCACATAGAATAACTATCAATTTTACATCTTGAAATGAATAAGAAATAAGAAATGAAATAAGACATGCATGATTTTTTTTTGGATGACTTTCTTTTTCAAATCTCGGTTACTGGTAAAAACAAAAACAAGACAAAATCACAGCCTCTGTTCCAGCAGGGTTATGTTGATGGGTTTTTTATTTGAATTAAATGTAATTTGACACACATAGATTTCGTTCTAGATTTCCCTAGAGCACGGTGTAGTTTTTCTTTTTTCGCATAAAGTTAATGTTTTTGTTAGTCTCAGTCTTTGCATTGATCATTCCTCTGTAGTCACACCAGCTCTTAATGGCCTAACAGCCATGAATATTAGATACACTTCCCTTCACCCCACAGGGTAAATATGATGAGCCAGGCTGACGCGGCTGTGCGGAAACAAACAGTACTGTGAGTATCGGTCTGGGTTCAGAAATCAACGAATTAGACTGTGGATTGAACATACTGTGTGAATGAATGCATATCAAGACGCATGAAGTGTGAAAAAAAATCCTTTGAAGCACAATCCCATTTAGAGCTGTCATAATATTGTGTGTGTGAAATGCCATTGTCTGCGTTCCTTTTTTCTCATTTTGTTGGTCTTTTTGTATGTATTATTGTATTTTAGTCATGAAATGATAAAAATATTCTCAAGAGTAAGATTACACTCATGAGCATCGTATCAGAGATGCAGCTACAAACCATTATGTCTGGGAGGGAAACAGAAGGAGAGAGAGAGAGAGAGAGAGAGAAATAAATGGAGGGGAGAGGAGGGTGTGACAGAGACACGAGCAAAAAGTGGAGGGGATCATCATCGTTACACATTTTGAAATCAAGATTCTCCTCTCTCTTCAAAGTACTTCACACTGCTGCCTGTTACTGGACCGACATCACCTCCAGTATGCCCAGTTAAAGAGTGTGTTGGACTCAAACTATATTTACAGTATTTTCACTGCTGTATTAGGGGATGTTTTTACTGAGGCTGAACACATTTTCTCTGGAGAAATGTTTGAGCAGGTGAGACTGTACCTCTACATTGCTGAGACATTGACACATTTGTGCGGACATCTAGAGGCTGTTAACGTCTAAAGGAGAAGTGTCGGTGTCCCTGAAAGACAAGAGACATGGCCGGGGAAATCGTGGTGGGGTTGCTGTATAACTTTTTACTACCACTGCTCCTGTTGACTGGTGAGTTGAAGAATGTTTAATTATTTTGTTATTATAATATGCAAATGATTTGAGTTAGTATAAGAGTTAGTCAGAGTAAGACTTGTCTTTAGGAGTCTAGTGGAGATGCAGTGCTGGAAAATAATCCAGCTAAATAAAACAATATGTTTTTCTTCTGTTTGTTTTGTTCACATTTTTAACAAACAGCTAAAACTACTCAGGTAAAAAATTGCAAATGAAGCTAAATGTAGCAAACAAAAAAAACTCATGACATGATGGTTTACTTGTCTCTGTTCAATTAGAGATTTTTTTGTTATTTTCAAAAGGCTAGACTGTAAAACTCCTATTTTTATTTCAGTTGATGAACTGGTCTTTATCTTCTTTCCCACAAAGTGCTTTTTGTGTTGGCTTTTTCTTCCAGCATTAGAATATTATTATCAGTCTTGTTTTTATATATATTAAAAAAACAAAAGGTTTTTAGAACAGGTGGGGTATTGATGAATTGAATGATGTGCTTATGGAGGCCAAACATGAAAGGCAGCTGGCCTTTTGCTGAATAGCACTGAGATCATTTACAAATTCCCAGTCAGAGAATAAAAATCATTTAGATGCATTCAAATTATTCCCAAGCGTTTGCATCGAGCAGCAAGTTTGGAACTGACAAGAGAAGATTTACCAGAGCTGTATTGATATATCACTTTTTAAAACAAGTGAAGAGTACCGTCATCCTGACTGCTGTCTTACTTATTGTATAAGGTCTTTCATTCTGTTCACCTGCACACCAAATGCTGCTTTTACCCCCCAGACCTCTCATTAGCTTCTTAACGTACAGCACGGCGTTGTTCAATTAAACATAGTTTGATGCTAAATTCAACTCAAGACACCAAACATTGGCTGAATAAAAGGAAATATTTTATGTATAGGGCATCTTCAATGTGTGTTATTGTTATTATAAGTGTTGAAAGAAATGTCCCTTATTTGATTAATTTAATAAACAATTAACTTACAGACCAAGCACATATTAAATGTACACATCACACAGTGTGAAAATTAATACTTTTAGAATTTAGACTTCTACGATAAAA